TAAATGATGCTTGAGGTGGTCGGAGTGAAAATCCGCCGCTCGATGGTATCCGCCGCTCGGTGGTTGATTACGTTAGTATATTATTATGTTTCTGCAGAGTAAAGTCTATATAAAAAGGTAAACCGCAAGGGGTAATGTGGGTGCCTGAGTCGGCGGGCATTCCATTCCTGACACGATTAACCGCCTCAGGCGCCCGTTTGCCTCCCCCGCGCTCGCATGATCCACGCCGCCTTAACCGATTCGGGCAGGGCGTCTTCCCGCCCCAGACTGAATGAACTGAACACTGCTCCTTGAGTCCTTCATCTCTCCATCCTCTCTCGTCTTCTGCTACTTTCATCCTTTCCCTTCGGCTCTCCCCTTTCTTTCTTTTCACTTCTCTTCTCTGTATTCCTCGTTGTGGTTGCCCTCCCTAAACCATCTCTCTTTCCACCACCACCACCCCCTCCGTCGTCGGCCTCCCCTTACTTCGCCGGTGCCCTGAAACCCTACCAATTTAATTAGTCGGATCCGATGTCATCTCCTCCCTTGGCCTAACTCGCCTCAATGCCGACCCCGAGTGACAACACACCACGTCTCGATGCCACATCAATCCTTGATGAAATTTCTGCTCGCACCACTTGTCCGCCCGAGTTAGAGAGGTCTTCGTTGTGGAGAGACTCGCCCGAATCCTCTCCGACCGCGGAGAGCGACACTCCTGATAATGCGCTCTCCCGGGCCATTGCATCGGCGCAGTCTGCGCTGATCCGCTCGGACGATGCTATCGCCCAAACGGTTTCCGACCCTTTAAACACCCCTGGCGCACCAATGAAGGACACAACCAAACCCGAGGATGAGCCCGTTGTCGGCAGATTGAGCCCTACCGGCGACCAGTCATCACGCTCCACCAACACTCCCTCCCCTCCAGTCGCCACACCCTCAAGTGCCTCCCTTTTAAGTTATGAGTTTTCCAACATCAGAGTAGGTTTTTCTCTTACCTTGCCTGATTGAACCCATGTGGCAGGACCCCTGCTGATCCTTACAAGCTTCTTCCGAATTACACATCTTCCTTTTTGCGCCCGGGAAGCAAATTCACGGGCACCCAGCAGTCGGATCGTCAGATCTATAATGTGGACGTAGAGATAAAACATGTCGACATGGTTGAATCCTACCTCTGTGGATATCTGCGCATTCAGGGTATGTTGAATCGTTCCGTGCCTCAAATCGATGCGTGTCTCAATTTTGCCTCTAATCGACTTTGGCTTTTCGCACAGGCCTCACGGAAGATCACCCCACTTTGACGACCTTTTTCGAAGGCGAGATCATAGGCACCAAACACACTTTCAAGACCCGGAATGAAGCATGGGGAGCTACGGAGAAAACCGATATGCATCATTGGGCTAGATTTCCCGCGTGGCGACCACTGGCTAAGCAGGCGAAGAGGCCCGATTTCACCTACCGCAACTTTGCCCAGCGCGAGCATATCTTTATGCGATGGAAAGAATACTTCCTCGTCCCCGACCATCGGGTGCGGTCTATCTCAGGCGCAAGCTTCGAGGGGTTCTACTACATCTGTTTCAACCAGGTGGCGGGAGATGTCACCGGTATCTACTTCCACGCGAAGAGCGAGAAGTAAGTTCGATTCCTTATTTCCATCCTATTACACATATTCTAACTGAAATTCCAAGGTATCAACAATTGGAATTAAAACACGTCGAGGATCACGGCTGCACTCCTGCGATTGAATTCCGTTGAGGTGTATACTCCAGCATTTCCAGTCATCGACTTTTCTCACCTCATCTCTTCACCTTTATTGGTCCAATTAATCGCCATCATCCTCTCTATATTTATCTCCCTTTACTTTGTCCATGATTGCGTCTCCCATGGTTACGGTGTTTTTCTTTTCGAAGTGTTGAAGACAGCAGGCTTTTATCCTGTCTATGGTTTACGATGATTCTTTGAATTGGCGTCTCAATTGGTTGTGGTCTCCGATTACCAGGTTTTCGTTTTTCTTTCTTCTTTTTGTCATTACCTCCTAGTACTACTTACTACTCACTTGTGTTGTCTGTTCCTTGCCTTCGATTCATGCGAGCAGCGGTATCTCAGCTTTCCATTGGTAGTTTCGGTCCTCATTTCATGTCTTACCTTTGTCGGTTTTCTCTTTTTCTTTACGAAACGAACGAAACGTTGTCTACCCCCCCGCCTTCCCATGCAATTCATCTAGATAGGTTGTGTTTTTCTTTGCCGCTATCTAAATGAAATCATTACCATCTCTTGAAGAGGTTGGTTTTTTTCTTTCTACCATTGTCAAATGATCTCATACTTTTGTGATTCTGTGTGCTTGTCTTGATTATGATAACGTTGGTGACTTTCTCATTTACCTGGGACTCTTGTTTCAATTTACCTCCAGCTCAATATATACGTCCTTGATTTTCGACCCAGCTCAGCCATGATCTCACCTACTAAGTAGACCTAAGCATACCCTAACATAATCGGACAACAAAGCGACAACAGGCCAGCATGGCCCGCTTACAATATTATGAAGCGCTCAAATTTAATTATCTAGTTTAAATCGAAGAGACCCGACCCTCTGGAAATCAATCTAGAGAAAATACTTCAAAATTATAACAACCCACACTTCCAGCTTGCTTCGATTGTAGTCTGTCTGAGTCTTAAATGCGTCTCTAATCCACGAACGCCCACTCTCAGGCTCGGAAACACAGCACCGCGAAACTCGCCCATTGCTCTCGTCAGTTTCAGCGTTGCCTGCAGTAACCTCCGGACTTTCGACGAGAACATCATCAGTCCTGATCCAGTAGTTCAACTGTTTCTATTCCCCACATTGCATGGTATGTTAGGAGTAAGGGTGTCTGTATCATCTCCCATATGGAAACATAAGGAGCCCGAACATGCGATTCACCACGAATGAACAGGCCCACGGTGCATCCAATTCCAATTGGCGTTCCGATATAGCAAGAAAGTTACTTTGTTCATCGCTCTGCATGAGGCGTTGCGACCAGCTGGTATTAATGCATACGGACGAGGGATGGGACAACAGTAATGAATCTACCTGCAGCTAGTAGGTTTGTTTATATAAAAGCGAGAATTCCTTGAAGTTTCAACATCTCTCCAAATAGATGCTGCCGGACTCGACTATTTCCCATCCCACCGAATACAACCAAACGGCCTCCACATGTCATTATCATCCCCAACCCCCATTCGATTGACGAACCTTCCATCTCTCGTATGGGACCTCTCAAAAAACGATATCCCAACCTTTGTCCTACCCAATACAGCATTTGGAATAGCTTCAGCCATCGTAGCACCAGCCCTAACCTATTACCCCGAGAGCCCCAGAATCGGACCCCTCCTGGTCCAATGTACGCCGTGGATCCTCCTTTTCAACTGGTCCAACCTTCTCGTCTTCAACCTCGCCAACCAGCGTCTTGCAGACTCCATTCAAAAGGATCGAGTCAATAAGCCGTGGCGGCCGCTGCCTCGTGGCCGTATCACTCCGACGCAAGCAACGCGGTTCTTGCTCGGCGCCGTGCCCGTCGTAAACGCTGAGCTGGGCGCCGTGAGGGAAAGCGCGGGGATCGTCATTCTGGCTTGGAAGTATAATGACCTACGCGGGGGCGATGAACTAACCCGGGATCCTATCATAGCCATCGCGTACACGATCTTCAATGTCAGCTCGTTGCAGATCGCCGTGGGCTCTGCCTCTGCAAAGGTGCTCGAGTTCACGACCACGGGATACTGTTGGCTCGGGATGATTGCCGGGATGATTCTGACGACTATGCAGGTCCAGGACCTCAAGGATCAGCGGGGGGACTGGGCCCGGGGCCGGAAAACATGGCCTCTTGTCATGGGGGATCGGCTATCACGTCGGTGGATTGCTGGTTCTGTGAATGGGTGGAGTTTGGCAGCGGTCGGGTTCTGGAACGTGTCGGTCTACCTATCCGTCGGTGTGGTGTTGCTTGGGGCGTGGGTTGGGAGTAGCGTTGTGCTTGGGACGGGCGATGGCCGGACTTGGAGGTGGTGTCTCTGGCAGTGTTGTTCTCTACACTTTGCCTGTCTGGAAAACTTGGAATGGACGTTTAATGTAGCCGGGGAGAGGGGGGTTTGTGTCCCTTGTGCATTTGGGCTATGCAATCGGTTATTGAATGTGTTGCCACTTTTGGGAAGTAGTATCTCGAAGGTAAACTATACCGTTACTACACTCTGCATTTCTGGAGAGAGAGAGAGAGAGAGAGAAAACAAGGACAATGAACACACACCCAACAACGATGCAAGGGGGATGGATAGGCTGATCAAGACGCTCGTATCAAATCCGCGGCCCGTTCAGCCACCGTATACACGGTGGAGATGGGATTCGCCCGCGGAACGAGTGGAAATATGCTTGTGTCTACAACCCGGACATTACTCACGCCGTAGATCTTCAGATCCGGTCCAACCACACCACCGTTCTCGCAGGGAAGCATAGCGGTGGTCCCGCATGGATGGGCAGTCGGGATAGTCATCGACTCGCGCACCAATTGAGTGAGCGTTTCTGTATCATTGGGCTGTGGTGCATCGACAAAGGACTGGAGGTGGGCGGAACGAAGAATCCCTTGCAAGTGCTGAACGTGCCGAACCATCGAATCGAGGTCTGAAGGACTGGTCAGAACTTTGGATCGATCCTGGGGGCGTCGGTCGGGTCCGTCGACTGGAGATGAGAGCTGCCCCGGGAGAAAGAATAGGATGGATAGACGCCCACGACGGCTACATTGCCGGGATAGATGGCAAAGTGAATGCATGCGGACGCCTCGTTCGGGCCAGCCAGGATCCCTGAAATAGAAGTGTGATCGTTGCCCTCGCGGGAGCGAGCGAGAATCTCTTGCACGTCTGGGGGACTTAGGCGGATGAAGGCGTTTGCTTTCATGCCGGGTGAAATGCCCTTGATGTCCAGGTGGTCCCTCAAAGGGGCGGTCAGAATACTCATGGCATGGTTGGACAAGTTCTCTCCCACCCCGGGCAGATGGACGAGTGGTGGAATGCGGAGCTCCTGGAGTCGATCTGTGTCCCCGATCCCAGACAATTCGAGGATCTTGGGATTGTTGAAAACCCCCGCGGCCATGATGACCTCCTTGGTGGGTTTGAAGATGATGGTCCCCTGGGCTTCTGTTTGCACCTCCACTCCAGTTGCAGTTGGGTTACGGTTGGGGATAGCAGAGTCGAACCAGATTCGAGTCACGTTTGCGCGCGTGAAGATTTCCACATTAGCGCGAGAAGCAAGTATGGCGCCGTATCCGCTAGCTGCACTGCTCCGATTTCCTGACTGCGGGTCGATCGTCGCAGTGTATGGCCGCGTGCCTATGGTTGTCCCTTCAGGAACGAGATCGCTGGTGTAATGATAGCCGCTCTCCTCGAACGCTCGCTTCCAAGCGTCTAGCAGACTGGTGTCGGCCTTCTCCGTAGACACCGGGTAGCTCACTTGGATGGGACCTGTAGTAGGCCGGGACTCCTTGTTGCTCGGATGCAAGGTGTATGCCTTGTGGAAATAGGGTGCCAGCGTTTCCTAATTCCAGCCCGGAATGCCCAGTGAATCCCAGGCATCGAGTCCCGCTGCAGCCCGGGGAAGGAAGATACAGCCATTGATCATGGACGACCCGCCCAGACAGAGCCTTTCCCGCAGATTGGTGGAATTCGCGATTGTTCAGTCCGGCCTGAGGCGCCATCTTGAGGTTCCAATCCATCTCACTTCCCGTCAGAGACTCGTACGCCAGGGGATTCTTGACGCAAGCATCATTGGATTCATCTTTGCCTCGCTCCAGGACAATGATGCGCGTATCGGGGTTTTCTGAGAGCCGACAGGCAACGACTAGAGCGGCCGTGCCGCCGCCGACGATGATGTAGTCGGCGATTCGAGAATGACCAGCCTCTTCCATTTCTGCTAATGAGCTCAAGACCTGGGTTAAGAGATGCAAATCCAGGCAGAGTGAAGATCAATGGTTTGTGGTTAAGGTATTAGACGTGAGGGGAAGGAAGAAGTGGGGGGAACTTTATGCTTATAGGGGAAGTAACTAAAGTCTAGGATGTTACCGGGACATGTCGATGGGGCAACGACCAAACTACACTGCAATGCTTTCTTTGTCCAGGGTACGCTCGCCCCCCTTGCTAGCCCAGTTCCTTTATTACGTTGCCCTAAACCATTCGCCGGACGTGAGTCTCGTCTATCTGCATACTCTGCAATAATTTTCTGTCCCCATCCGCCCTATCCGAGTCCCCATAAGGCGTCACTTGGCCAGAGTATCCCTGCTCGCTCTCCACGCTCTCCCCCCGCGCCGAATCGAGCATAGAATCCACACGATGCTTGACGTGGATACTCCAAATCGTATGCTGCGCTTCGCGGAGCCGGACGTGTGCCGGACTCGGCGGTCTCCGTGATATAATTGGCGTAATGTAGCGTTTGAACAAAGGCGCCAAGGTAGGCAAAGAGACCACGATGATGCCGATCCACAACTCCAGGAAACTGGTAAGCGCAATGCGCCCGAGTCCGTAGATAAAGTCCGATCTGGTCTCAGGGTGCAGCGTTATGACCAGCCGCCATATCATGACCGCCACGACGCTATGCGTATACAATCTCTGGTCAGGCCTCGAACTATATGGAGCATCACAAAGGGTCCTGGCATGTAGACTACTCACCTCATTCCCACCAGAAACATGGTTCTGATCGTGACTTTGGTACGAAGGGGTAATTGAAGCCGTAGGAATCGGCAACGGGGCTATTGCGGTGTCCAGGACGATATTGAAGCTGATCGAGGTGACCTCCGTGGGAAAGCCAGACCGACACCGTCCGCCAGGCACCGGTTTTCATCCTTGAGAGGTGGGTTGGCACTGAGTGAGGAATACGGCTTGGAATCCGAGGTAATAAGCTGATACAAACACACATGCCACGAGAATCAAGTAACGATCCAGTGGAGATGTTCGGAAGAGGGAAAGGTATAGGAAGAGCATGGACAGCTTGCTTGACACGGTTCCAACGAGCCAGACAACGCCGCGGTAGTAAACAACTAAAGAAAATCCCGAACGAGAGTCGGCTAGTTTGTACGGCATCAGATGTATGCATGTATGCAGATTCAGTCACTATACGTTTGCCGACTGGGCATGCAAGGTGACAACAGTTGTAGCGCCGTACAGGGATCGAAATGTTGTTCGTGAGTCCTCTTCTGAAGCGTATACATACGTCAAAGTCGTATGACGTAGTTCTCATGGTTCATTGAATTGAATTGTATGGAATTGAAGTGTAGTAAATGAATGTATCGAACCCTCCCTTCTGGGATGCAAGATTCAGGTCAGGTGTTGTCTGATTCTTCAGCTTCATCAACATTGGCTATTTTACAAGGATCCGTCCGACTCTTGTTTATAAAAATTATATTCTCTACACATGTCATATTGGACCTCTGAGATTTATTACCTGACTATGGCCTGTTGCTGACACAGCTGATCCAAGACAGAGAAACACCTCCAATGCAAAAACTTCCGAACTTAGAACCTTGACACAGATGACACCAGGCTCACATTCGCCAAAATGCTTCCGGCGCAGTGTCTGTTGAAAGCCCGAGGTACTAAGTGGCTGCTTTAAGGCTGCTATGTTGCACGAGAATACGAGGTAGGGATATTATGTACTTTGGATGAGCGCTTTTTTGCTCATGATATTTCAAACCGCTTGAGAAATCTGTTGGGAAGCTGATAATCCCAACGCGAGTGGCTAAGCCATATTGAAGGCCTGGATTAGAAGCTGAGCTGCTGAGATTTTACGAAGCTTCACGAAGGCGAGCCCTAGCCTGGACTCGAATCCTCCGGCCCCTTGAGGCCAACCATGCCAAGATACTGCCTGCGTCTAATGGGCTTGATGATTAGTATCGTGGTGACTAGCTGGGATAGAACCAGGCCAAGCTCGCAGGATTATTGGACGACTCGCGAGGCAAATGCTGCAGGGGTGTGCCACTAGTGGAGCGGGTTCACTTGAATTCCCTCTGTGAAACCGTACACTGCAGTTGCCTAAGTATGCGAGAAGATCGAGATTTGTATATTCATTTCTGCCGGAGAATTACCTTATTGGTCGGATCTGACAGGGGGGTTGGAAATTGACAATAGGATGAACGTCACTGGGACTTTGGTCAACTGCATCTATGGACGAATAGTGTAACTATGAAACCTTTATCAGATCTGGAATCTAGTATAACGTCTTCACATTCTCAACTTGCAGGAATACCCGATGAAAGCATTTTTGAGCATTTTCATATCTCCAAAACTGCCATGCTCAGATAAGTGCGCTTCACGGGGGCACACAAAATATAACCTTGCATCCCTGTCCTTATTACGAAAGAAGACATCTAGATCAAGCCAGAACCAAGCCAGAACCAAGCCAGAACCAAGCCAGTGACTCAGATCTCGATCCCCCAATTTTGCCAGACAAGCATGACAATGAATAGAGGCTCATACACAGTCAGCGAAGGCCGACTCTCCAGGGCTGGTGTCAACTCTATCACCCCAGCAGCTTCGTATAGCATTGCTTTTCCGCGTGATAGGCAATAGCAGATACGCATACGATCTGATGTTGTCGTCGTGATTGGTCTAGTGTTAGGCGTGCTGTTCTGTGGTATTCGAATCTCTTCTGCTTTGGGACCTGGATGGCTCGTTTTTTATTGCGAGTGGCTGTACTCGTACGAGTGTGAGCGGGATGGTCATGGTCATTATCAGTACACTGGGTTTAATATTATGACATCGAGAGTATAAGAAGTGCCGTCCCTTCCTCTGTTCTTCATTGCCCAAGCTCTTTCTGCACTCTCTCAATCCTACTTATCATTGGCCCTTCAAGAAGACCAAAGAATACCCTCAAGATGCATCTTACTTCCATTGTCATCGCCACTCTCCTGGCAACCGCAGAGGCCGTCCTGATCATCAAGCCTGCAGCAGGCGATAACGTCGATGTGTCGAAGAATTGGGAAGTAGATTGGAGTGCTGTCGAGTATGAATCTACCCACTCGGAGTCAATAGATAAAAATTTGATAGACTAACTACTATCCTCCAGCACCGACCCTCCGCAATTCTGCCTCTACCTCACCAACTTCATCGACTATCCTCCGCAGATCTTCCCCCTGCTCAACCAACAGCCCGTTCAGCGAGACGCTCATAGCGCAACGATCCCCGGAAGCTGTTATCCGGGTCTTCGGACGAGGTATGTGTAATCTCTAGCCCACTCCCACCCAACCCTTTGCTTCCTTTGGCTCTGGACTGGATATTAAGATGTGAAAAATCCGGGTTTAGTCCCTATCGCGTACGAGCTGCTTCCTGCTCGTCTCCGGAGACTATTTTCGCTGAGTCTGGGGACTTTCACGCTTCTCAGTCGACTTGTGCTGCAGCAGCTTCGACCATGCGAAAAGTAATGCGGATGTAAGCGGCGAATAGTAGTGTCGAATTGGGATATTGGGGTGCTGGTCGTATTCAACATACGCCAGTCCAGGTTTGGTTACTCACTCATGGTTTACTGCTTTTTGAATAACTGGGTATTGATTAGGGTTGGACAAAAATGATGGTTTGAGGTTATAGGTAGGGAGTGAATTTCAACAACGCTCATAGCGAGGGCTAAGGGCTTACGAGAGTAATTGAATTTGCTGGGCTTTACATAGTAAGGTAAATGAATGCGATTTGTCTGGCTCGGGCTGTCCTCGTCTTTAATCCTTCATTTAATATGTTACCCCTCGAAGACCATTGTAGTTCGTCCTCGATCGTCCATCCTCCGCCTGCTAGCCGAATCATAACACTAACTATCTACCTCAACCCCTACAACTGCTCCTCGTAGCGCACTGGGCCATCTATCTAGCCTTCCCGCTAGCAACCGCACCCACAGGCCGGACACCCTCTCCTCCCACACGCATACGTCGTAGTCCCGCAGTGCTGCCACTTACTGCACTCCATCCAAGCGCCCAACCCGGCCTTCGCCGCTGTCCAGCACCACTCACCCTTGTTCATGTCCCCGCAGGCCTTCCGGCAATACCCCCCAGAGCACCCATACGGCGCGTCCTTGTAGCACGCCCGTTTCTCCAGGGCGCCGTCGAGGCCATCCAAGCGAGCCTCCACGGGACTGGTGTCTGTGTCCACCGTGCTGTTGTAGAACGAGGCATCCACCGCGTCCAGCAGCGCCAGCGATGTGCCCTTAACGCCGGTTCCGGCCGAGCGGGTGGTCCAGGCATTTACGGACGTCGCTGGGGGCGACGGTCATGACGCCAAGTTCGCCGCATTCGACAACGCGGTGCCTTCCGCGGCGAGCGGGGTAAGGGTCAGCGCGGAGGAGAGGGCGAGCATGCTGATAATGGTGATGGGGAGCTTTATCGTGGATTGCGGTGGCTAGAGACGGCTGAAAGGTAAGTATGCTTATCGAGATGGAGAAGAAGCAGAAGAGAGGATAAGGGGGGCCTACCGATTGTAGATGAGAGATGTGCGTTTCTTGGACAAGTGGAAGGACTGCATATCAGACCGTGTTGTTGTAAGAAGGATAGACCTAGCTGGATTATACCTTGGATGGATGGGAATAGTCTTGCCTTTTATACCACATCTCGTAAAGAAAGGAGCGTCTACATCCGAGAGACGATACTACCATCCACACCCCCATGGGTTCCTGCCTCCGGTGGGCTGATCACCGTGCTTGGTCCCCGTCTCGATGAGCAGGATTTTGACGAGGAAGAGCGCTGGCGAGGTCGGTAACCGCAGGCGCAACGCAACCTCAGCCCCCGTTGATCCATGTAGTGTAGGACTGGCGCGATGCAGCTAGAGAATGTCCGCATAGGTCTCGTATTACGGAGTAGATGGATAGCCTGGAGCAGCTGCCTGTTCATTCTGGTCTTTCCCCTTGTCCTGAGCTATATTGAACCAGGTTTATTCAGTAACATACTGGTCTTCTAAGGCTTTTTGCGCCGACATACACTATATATAGGGCAAGGCCAGTAGCCTCTCCCCAGGGCTTTTGCGCTCAAGCAGGTTATCTCTCAGTCCAAGGATCTGTGATTAGTCTCTCAGAGCGGTTCTCTACTTACCTTGCTGTATGCTACATTCCGCCAAAGCGCCATCATGATCGCCGCCAACCAATCAACGCCTCCTATCGTCTGTTTGTTCTCTCGAACCCTTAACAACTCAACCACCTTGAAACCGAGACACAGGAGCAATAATAGCGTCTTTTTTTTGCGCTTGTTCACAACAGGCAAGAGCTTCCCTGAGTGCCTAGCCTCTCTATCTGAGACTATCTCCGTGGTGGCACCATGATTTGCCGTGCTAAAAACTCGCTCTCCGACCCGTCGGCAGATCGAAGCTTGGTAGATCTGTTCACCAAGGATCTAGGAGTAGTTAGGCCACTTGAAAGGTGCAAGGATGTCCTCTTCTCTCCGCCACCTTGTTCCGCAAGAATGTGACGCGGATGTCTCATTGACGGTTCGGCTGTGAAATAATGGCCAGATTTTCATGTTCAACTCGGATGACCGATGGCATCCTTCCCCACAAGACTTGGTAAGTAAGTATTATCCCCAAAGCTTCCTTGCTATGCTCATGGTGTTTAGGCAGTTTTACTACCCTGTATCATTGAGGGTAACTTGGCAAGAGCTGGCGGCGATATATGAACCTTGAATGGGGAAAGCCGAGATGTCTCGGAAGACAAAGAGCTTTGGGGCAAGGCGGCAAGATTTCTGTTTGCCAGGGCGATCTATTGTACGTGATCGCGGGATGATCTAGTGAGCTTTGTTGTAAATCGATGCTACAATAGTATCTATCCCCTGGGCCAGTGAAATCGTGAATACAGTCATTCTAGTGCCTTGGCAAGAATACCTAGCTAGAGGCTTCCTATAACAGGCCGCCAATCCTATGCAGTTCCGTCCAACACGATTTCACCGGCCCAGGGGATAGAGGATCAGTCTAGTATAGAGCTTCGTGTACGGAATAGGCGGTTCACACGCCGAGGATCATGGTTTATTCGACGTAGAAATAGTTACTCTACAATTTAATGGAAATTGCTCAAATGTCATTGTCGTTGGTCATATCTGAATATTATCCTCCAGCCAGACTAAATCAATCAAGCTTGTTCCGAAAAATCAACATCAAACCACACCATACATTCCCAAGAGTTCTATTCATTCCCAAACAGCCGCTCCCACCGTACAGCGCAGGCAACCAGACCGGGTATGAGAAACTGGCTAGCCCGCTGCGAGAAAGCCTAGCGTGTCGGATTACCTAACAGGGCCTCGACCCAGTCTCCCGGGCCCGTCCTCTCAAAACACCCAACTCGGCAAGAACCGACGGAACCTGGCGAAAGCCCCAGGACCCGAACCCGGGGACGCCCCGGGGCCGAGGGGATGGTCAGCGCACATGCGGACGTCGGCCATCGAAACGTCCTCGGGCAGCTCTGCTGGATCGATCCTCATCACGCCCAGGGACCCGCACTCGGCTTCCGCCGCGGCGACCTCGTCGGGGGTTGCGTCTGGACCGAGGGCGGCGAGGGCGGTGGTTGCGGAGATGCCGAGGAGGAGGGAGAGGTAGGTGAGGGGCTTCATGTTGGGGTGGATCAGGCGATGATCTTCTGGGGTAGTGTAGTTAGCCTTAGAGAAAAAAAAATTAAAAAAAATAAAAAAGTTAAAGAGCAAAAGAGCAAAAGAGGGCTGATCAAGAAAGAAAGATGGGAGAAAGGGGGATTTCGTACCTTTGAAACTCACGTAGGAATACTGGAGGGGTATAAGATATGAAAATGTTGGGAAGCAGCGGGCTTGATGCTGGATCTCAGCGGTTAGCCTAGTAAGGAGCCTACTTCTTTATACAGCAAAGACCGCCGGCGTCGGGCCAACAGGGTATGTGGTTGAAAGTCGCCCTTGGCAGCCTGATTGGTTGGTACCTTCGTTTGCTGCCTGGTCACAGTGCAATCTTGATGGACAAAGGGGCTCACTTTCCAGGTAAGGATCTATCCAACCACTGGGCCCTTCGAGTCACACAGTAAGTCATGAGTGTTGTAGGGAAAGAAAGGAAGATGGAGGGATCTTCCATCTATCTATGTACATATACCCGCCTGGGTGCCTGAGGCACCCAGCTTATGTGATACGTCAGGGCGGACCCTGACATGGTTGAGAAGCCTCATGAAGTAGAAATTTTGGTGGAAGAGGCGCGACTCGTTGGTAAGCGCGGCTTGGTGGTTGAATACGTTAGCTAACTAACTACTGTTGACAAGTTAGTAAACTAGCTATCCTGTTGCCTAAATAACCACGAAGGCGCAGCACCTCTAGTTCAGGCACCAGCTGTTCCAAGAGGCGGGGCAATAAATCAATGGTTTATTGTATTTCCCCTGTCTATAGTTAGGGACCGAGGAGCACGCAATAAGGCAATCAGCCAGGTCGTGCCGGTCGACGGGTGTCGCCGGGCAACGCAAGTACGATCTAAAGCGCACCCAGGGAGCTCGCGCTAGACCTGGCTAGGACCCGCGGGGGACCCTTCTTGAACAGGAACGGATGCGCGAAGGTGTGTATTCCTTTCTAGGCCTGCAGCGCTCAGCTGTAGGCATTGTGGGATGCACTAAGCCTAATCGGGACATGGAGGCAAGGGTGCCTGGAGGCATTCCCAACGACCCTGAGGGTCGTCAAATTTGACAAACATGTAATAAACATGACTCGACATCAATTGCATAAATTATGTAGAAACAGGTTGTATTCCATTGTAATTGTAAACTACAATCTCAGTACTGTATCCAGTCATAGTTCTCAAAAGTTAAGGGTCAAACTATATACCTATCTAGTAGTCTCGACTTCTTCCGTATTCTACCTGATACACGATGCTGCATATCAGGTAAGTGAGACAAGGGTAATACTCCGTTCTCATAGTGATCCCTAAGTCTATCGGTATCAGAGTCTTCCTTATCGTCAGAAGTGACCGCAGGCCGCTTTCCAGTGGCAACTGCTGAGAGTAGCAGTACGTTCGGGGTTACCTGCATAATTGATGTAGCAACCGGTATATTAAGATATATCTCGACATCCTACTCCTTATCATCACTAATGGCCTCGAAGATATGTGTCTGGATATCAAGTGCTTCTACCGAAGCTGCTATCTTATGATCTGAAAGATACTCTTGGAGAATCAGCCGCTGTTCCTCCTTGATATCGAATCTTGTTGTACACATATACAACATGGTATCACGAATAGTCTCTAGGTTCAACGAGGCCCGACGGTAGTAGTATACATCCCGAGCAGAGTTAAACAAACGCTCAACTCCGGCACCAGTCGCTGGAATTGACATAATATCACGGGCAATGCTTGTAAGGATGGGGAATTCTCTCTAATAATCTCTCTAGAAGATCCGACCAGACCCTTTGATAGTATCTAATTGGGTAAGTATAGTTATATAATTTATAAAGTAGGCCTAATTACTTAAAATCTCTCGGTCGATCAGCCGCCTCTTGTTGGTTCTCTTGATAACTTAAGGACATTCAATAGCTGTAGTCTCAAAGTACCCCCAGATCCACTCTGTAGCAGGCGCTAGTCGTTTGGAGCATCGAGAGGATACGTAGCTTATGATTGAAGCACTAGCATCTGTTGAACTCTCTTGGGATACTAGCACTTGTGATATAGACTCGGAAGGTAAGAGTTCGCAATCTAGTATATTAGTGAGGATCCTTGCGTCTTCGTAATAGATTGAAAAAGTACGCGTAAGATTATTCAGTAACTCGCTTGATTCGCTTGGTTGATCGGTTGATTTTTGGGTAAAGACTCTCTATCGCTCTCATCATTCAGAACTCGATAGTTGATGCGTTTTTGCCGGGTACGCATTTTATGTTGGATACACTGGGCCACATGTGCAGTGCGAATGAATACGACTTGCTGATCGCAGGTTAGTAATGATATGGATGCAGTAGCTCAGTAGGACCAGGATTGAAGAGTCATATGCGGAGTTAGTTATTTTCTTAAAGGGTATGTCACTGTCAACAAAGAAGAGGTCAATGTACGCGTCCAAATAGAGTTGAACCATAAAATGGGGTTAAACCCTTGTGACCTGATATTCTGCCATATAGTATAACGAAAGAAGGAAGGGGTGGCCATAGGATAAATCAGGTAATATAATAATAGTATGTTGACAGGAAAAAGCTAATAAGGTAAATACACCTATATAGATGTGCCGAGGAATAGGAGAAACTTAGAATTTAGACATATACTTTGCAATAGCAGAGTTAGTTGATAGGACAGAAGAGTAACGTAAAATATATAAATATCCAACTACATAGTACGGTAACAACACAACGTAGGACTACATAACTGAGGTGGATTGCCCTGATTAAGGAATATCTAAGCTTATATTTAGGACCAGGAGCTATTCTATTATTGTCCAATTACTGGTAACGATATATCGCTGACGATAATAATGTCATTTGCCGATATCGTATCGTTAACAGCTCTAGGCGTTAAGGAGATCTTTGGCTCTCAAACTTTTCGCGCTCCACTTCTAAGCACAGGGCTACAGGCCCGACTAGTTAGTTGGAGTACTAAGTAAACCCTGGATAGTGCCCTGACCGGTTCCTGATCTAACTGTGTACGCCCTAATACTCCGCAAGATGCGATGCGGCTAATTCTGCCATTGTACGGTTGAACGGAGATCTTCCTCAGTCGGTGATGGTCTGACAAATAGTTTCATGGGTTTTAGCCCGATAGTGGACGCCCTCCACCGGGTTTACAATACTACCCTATGCAGGTGTAATTGCACTTTCGGAGACGAGGCGAGTGTGGCAAACGAGATCTCGAGTTCCGGAAGGAGAATTGTGGAAACGGCGATAACAAGCCATGTGATCATCGAAATGGATATTATGAAATAGGATTTGCAGGGGAAACGGCATTGCCCCTTTTTGCGGCGGAATATGGAAGGCCTACTCGATATCAATAAGATATCATTTCCTTGAGTAACATACCACTTGCTCTATCTCCGCTATATGTGTGGCAGGAAGGTGCGAACACAGAATGTTGGGGATTCAAAGACCTTCTTTACGGGTCTTAGGCCTGACCGTTGCCTATCTTTTGCTGTTTATTTTCCCTACCGTGTTTGCGCAGGACTGCAGCAAAAGCAAGCCCTGTTCTACTGGGTGTTGGTAAGTGCCCCGTGTCCGGTTCTTGCAGTACTATCTGGGTTCTGATGAAAACTGTCAGCTCAAAAGAGGGATACTGCGGGACCACCGAAGCACATTGTGGTGATGGATGTGTTGCAAACTGTGATTTCAAGCTTGGCTGTGATGCGTCTAATCCCTGTCCAAGCGGATGCTGGTAGGAAGACTACAAAGAATCCACGAGAGGTGTGAACTGACCCCTTACAGCAACAAGTTCGGTATATGTGGACTTGGACCCGACTTCTGTGGCGACGATGTTTGCGTCGCTGGGTGTGATTCCAAGGCAGAGTGTGATCCGGGTTTTGGATCCAAATGGTCTGAGAAATCCGGTTGCCCACTGAATTTGTGCTGTTCCAAGTTTGTAAGCATGCGAGTTCACGGTCAATCTATACACAAGCCCGTCTAACCTCTTGACTAGGGATTCTGCGGCGTGACCAAGGAGTTCGTAAGTAGTCTCTGCGCTTGAAAAATCTGGAAGTGAGAGATTGACCGACCTTTTTCTTTGTCGCAAAGTGCGGAAATAAAACCGTTACGCATAAGACGTGCAGCAAGGATGGTTACCTCTCGCGGGTTGTAGGCTACTACGAAGGCTGGAGCACTCGGCGAGCCTGTAACACGTTTTGGCCTGAGATGATCCCACTGGGAGTCTACAGTCACATCAACTTTGCTTTCGCTACTATTGACCCCGAAACATACGAAGTGCTGCCTGCCGACGAGGCGGATATACCACTATACGAACGCCTAACGACCTTGAAGCGATATGATCCGGACCTGAAGGTTCTGATTGCGTTGGGAGGTTGGACTTTCAATGACCTAGGACTGATAGCCACTGTTTTCTCTGACATTGCGGCCTCTGCGGAAAAACAGGAGAAATTCTTCAAATCCTTGGTCTCATTTATGTCCACGTACGATTTTGATGGAGTAGACCTGGACTGGGAATACCCCGAAGCAGATGACCGCAGTGGAAAGCCAGTGGACTATGATAATTTTCCTAAATTTCTGGCCAATTTGAAGAGCACCCTTGATAAAACACCTGGGCGAAACGAGTTGTCGATTACTCTTCCCGCCTCATATTGGTACCTTCAGCATTTCGATCTCAAGAAACTGGGGAAACATGTCACCTTATTCAACATCATGACGTACGACATGCATGGGACCTGGGACCGTGGCAACAAATGGACTGGCGAATACTTGAACGCCCATATCAATCTGACGGAAATTAAGAATTCGCTGGATTTGCTCTGGCGCAATGATGTCAAGGCCGAGCAAATGGTGATGGGTCTTGCATTTTACGGCCGTGGATACACTGTTGCAAGCCCGTCGTGCGTTGAACCTGGCTGTCTGTATCTCTCTGGAAGTGTGAAAACGAGTTGCAGCCACGAGACAGGCATTCTGCTTAACAGCGAAATTGTAGAGACCACGCATACCAAAGGGTTGTCATCGAAGCTCTGTAAGGACGTGGCTGTCAAGGTAGCTCACTGGGGCAATCAGTGGGTCTCCTATGACGATAAAGACACACTCAAGCTCAAGACCGATTTTTCCCGAGAATAGTGTCTGGGTGGTGTCATGGTATGGGCAATCAGCCATGATACGAAGAATGCCACTTTCAGCGAAGCCCTCGCCAAAGTGTCTAACCGCCGAGCTATCGCACAGCGTCAAGTGGAGGATCAAGACCATAGCACAGATACAATCGAGTACGACACGTGCAAATGGAGCAACTGTGGTGAGCCCTGTCCTGCGAAATGGAAGATGGTCGGGCGCGACGACGAATGGAGAAACGACAAAGATGGATATATGCTTGACACAACCGGATGCAACGGTGCAGGCGTCCGATCCTGGTGCTGCCCTCCCACAAAGCTCCCTAAATGTGGTTGGTACAGCTTCGAAAACGGACACTGCCACGCTCAATGCCCAGACGGGAGGGTGGAGGTTGGATCGACATCAAACAGGTGCAAGAACACTGAGACTGGCTACTAGGCTGCCTGCTGCACTACCGAGGACGACGATGGCAATGAGCTAATGAACATGGTCCTTTACAATGCAATGAAATGGGGAGATTCGCCGTCTTGTGATTTGGGGGCATGCGGTGCCAAAGGCACTGACACGCCAGATGTACTGGTTGAATCGGCAACAGGTAGCGGGGGGTCCTATTGCCTGCCAGGCGATGTGTATAAGGACGGCGTGTTCCCAAAGCAGCAGCTGACAGAACGCAAGTTGTGTTAGAATGGGGCGGACAAAACCCGGAGATGGGACCACTGCAAATGGCATAACAACCTTGGGCTAGGGACAAGTGGCCAAAGGTGCTGGTCTGGATGTCCGGAAGACACCGTCCGCGTTGCTATGGACACATACAACGAAGACTGCTACGCCCATGGTGGCAAGGCCTTCTGCTGTAATGCTATCTACTATCTGGTCAAGAATAGCATCTGCGGTGTCGACTGCGCGTTCCTTCTCAATTACTTCACGCAGGACGTCTTGGTAGATCCACCCCGTCTTCCAGGAGGAAACAACTTCAAGGCATCATCAGACCGCTTTATGGACCCCCTTGGCAGTAATCAGCTTCGAAATAACTTCCGGTTGCTTGATAAAGCCCTCAACACCTTGAAAGGAAATGTAAGTGGCTGAGGTTCCCTTTTTCTATCGCATAAGGAAATTGCTGGACAGACTTGATACTGATACATGAGTTAGCTCTAGTAGTCAGAAGGTAGAGACGAGCTCGAGAAGAGAATGAACAATATTTTGCGTGCCAAAAGAATTGGCGAGGGGCTCAGTGTTGTGCGTGATGTAAGTAATCTCCCCGATGCGAACGTGAACGTATGTAGAGGCTAACAAACCCAAGGTCATTTCCTTATTCAACTACATGAACTTGCCAAATGTCTGGAAACGTTTTAAGCAGACAAACGTTCTCACTTGTCAAGAGCTTGAACGAACACAGGATGCATACAAAGAAGCCAGCTCAAAGGATCTAAAGCTCCTAGAATGCTAGGATCTCTTTCTATACAACCTTATGAAAGAGATAGCCGAAGAAAGCCATGAGTTTGTGAAGAAATATCTGGCAAGCTTCATAACGTACTGGGGCAAGAGCAACAAACCAGGGGACAAGGATTGGCAGGTGAAAATGGAGCAGGTCCAAGAATTCGTCAACGCGATTGAGAAGCAGCTGGACAAGATCCATATCAATCTGAAGGATCTATTCTAAATAGCCGCCAGCACATTCATCAAGCTAATAGGGCTTATGATATCATTACATACTGTCATTTGCATATAAATGGATTTGGTGCATTCGTAGATTCATTCTCCAGTGCAAATATATATCACCGACATTTGGAGTGACACTGATTAGTATATGGAGGCGAAAATATTCATCCTCTGTGATTCCGTAACTATGACCAGCTTGAAGAAAGACCTTGACATTTTCTCTGCAAGATAGGCTGAAGGTGGTCAGTATAAGAAAAGGTAAACCGTAACATGATATAACTATCAAGCAGAACCCATAATACAAAAGGCATAACGCGATCTTATTCAGTTGAAATTCCATGCTATCGCCAGACCTGTGATAAGAACACACGGGTCATTTTACAAAAAGAGCGGCAAAGACGAAGAAAAATAAGAATGGTTTAGCATTTAAACCTACACCACATATGTACCCAAAAAGCCCATCCACAAGAGCTACAGACATGTTAGGTGCCTACCCTGATTTCTGGATTCCGGATTGAGGGTTATCTGGCTGTCCATGCTTTCATCTTCCTGCGCGACGCTAGTCCCGTTAATTCCTGGTTAATATTACCGGACTGTTACCTGCGATTGTCTAGGTACACTAGACGAGATATCCTGGAAGATGATGAGAGGAAAATTCGTACATACGTAGTGTCTAGGTGAGTTCATATCTTTCAAACTAACTTTCTAATTACTCCGGAGGGGGTTAGTTAACTTCCCCCTCCCCACTCTTCTTTAAAAGGCGCCGAACCCCCTCCAAAGAACCAAACCTAGCGGACCTCTGCCCCCTTGATCTTTGTAACATGTTAGGCCCAACTCAGCTATCGTCGCCCGATTCTCACGAAGATTTCTTCCGCCGCCAATCCTGGCCTGAATGGAACTCATCGGAGTTTTCGCGAGACCAAAGGAGAATGAAAATTTATGATCGTGTCACACATTCGTCATCGTCGTGCAGTCTCACTAGGGCATTCCTACGTGCATTAATGCGCGATGGTTCAACTTGGCCGTGGGGATATTTTATCTACCGGACAACATACGGGTCTGACGAGGACTGGAACCAGGCTCTTGCCAAACTTCATCGCCATATTCGCTACGCCATACGACACCAAGTCGTGCAATCCATGAATGATGGTCCTGAGAAACTCGAGGATGATCCGGAGGCAGCTGAGATTGTTTGGGAGGGCTGCCACAATGTTGTCGTTGAAGATAAAAAATTGTTAGATGGAGCTTCACCTACCCAAGTTCGGCGACTGTTTCAAGAATGGATGAAACGGAATCCGAAATACAAACAGCTTAGCAGACCACGGTCGACCTATTGTTTGATGATCGATGATCATGCCATGCGGTCTATTCTGGCGAGCTCGGAGCCTTGTGCGGACCATAGAGAGTTTATGGATGACCAGCCCGGATACGTAATCTTGATCGATCGCCGACATCCTGGTAAGGGGGGGATTAAGCACGAACCTTATAATGTGGGATGGATGAGGATCACGATGGAATCACTTTATACGGCTTGGATGTTTACGACTGGGCGCAACGACTTGGAGTTTGAGGACGTTTATCCCGCTATCGGGAGAAGGGGCTTGATCCCATATTATGATGGCTTTTGGAGTTGGGTGGAGGATGTGAATGGGCAGAAGGTGGAAATTTTTTCTCGCTCAGAGAATGAAGACAAAAAGGATGTAGATAAGCAGGATGTGAAGAATGCTTCTCATTCAGAGAATGGAGCAGAGGAGGATGAGATTGAGGAGGATGAGGAGGACGGTTATCCTTTCCATGATATCTATGAATATCTAAGGGAAGGGGGATGTATTTGATTTTATACCTCTTCAACATGCGGTATGCTCGTTCCCTCTAGCAAATGCTGCATGTCACCGCATATAAGAAGGGTCGTGTTAGACCGACACCCCCCCCCCGCCGGTTATCCCGACACCCCCACATGATGTACTAGTCCTATTCAGGTTTAGACCCAGCGCAAATTTCCTTTTTTGGCTGTATTATAGGGCTCTTATCATAGGGTAAGCTGTATACAGTAATAATGGCTTCATTAAATGGCTATCTTCAAGGCTATGAGAGCGACGATCCTCCCAACGAGCAGTGGAATGAACAATTCGAAGAAGAGGAATTGAATGAGCAACTTCATGATCGTATCCCTCTTCCCCCCGGACTACAAACTCAACAAGAGAAAGCTCTACTGAGACGATTGAAGTTAGTAAAGACGATAGGAACAGCGATAACGAGAATGAGGCACCAACAAGCGAAGAGAACGGGGAAACCAGCGAGGAAGAGAAAGTTGAGCTACCACGACGCAGTCAGCGAGCTGGCCGTAACAAGGCAGCTCGGTGGTTGGGGGACGAGAACTGACGGACTTCGAATTCTGAATGGAGGCCTATGATTGCTTAATGAATGCAGCGTTTTTTGTACGATTAAAAGAATGATAAATGTCCTGTCTAAACGATTATGCTAAGTGCCAAATTTCCATATCACATGGCCACGCTAAACCGAATAGGAAATGTCGGTCTAACACGACCCTATATTAACTCATCTGGCCTAGATGGAAACCAGATAGACGATGGGGCAAATAGCGTAGATGGTCGCCCCCCACCAAAGTTGCACAGCAATGCAGAGAAGCTCTATACCATGGGCCGGTAGACACAGGAGCTCTCTGTGACGGTCTACAAAGGAGCTTAGTAAAAGACAAGTTTGTTTCTGACTCATAGTCAAGAATTTTCCCATGGAGAGGAAAGGCTATCTAGGAGGGAGGATCTAGGGCCTCTATATACTGCCTTCAGAGCATCCGGGAACCTTCCTGGATGCCTACCGGAGGGTCCCTCGATCCTATACTAACTAACCAGAACGTTCCTCCGCACCGGGAAGTTCCCTGGCTTCAGGAGGTCACAAAGATAGTGCCCTACTCGAGGAAACGGCAATTAATGGTACAGACCCGGACAGGAAGGATTCGGAAGAAGCCACGACTACCAGACGGATTCGAGATGGGCAAGCCATAGTGTAACTATATAATACGCCGAATGAAGCAGTTGAAGAGTGAACTAATTCGATAATTTCTGTATCGCGAACATGTAATTAATTCGACAATATATAACACTGGTAGTACAGAATATTACCTTAAAATCTGCGGAGCGGATTTGGATTTTCGCGGATGCTGCCGCAGCCTAGTTCGGTCTAATACGATGGATCGAGATAGGTAGTTTAGTTCGATCTGACTTGCGTTTGTTTATCTTACCACTCGGCCACAGCGGCTTGCTTCTGGGTACTTTCTTCTAGAATATCTCTTACTGGCTTGTATTGTTCGACTTGGAGTCTTGGAAGTAAATCGGTTCCGAGTCCTATGGAGAGGTTCATCTTCTCATGACCCACGCAGATGCGTGAATTAAGCATACAGTAAGCTCAGCACGCAGTACCATCTGGAAACGGATCCAGCAAACTCTTTCCCATACAGTTGAAATAACCAGGTACTGTGCCTTACTCGGACCCTCTGTTTTAGCACAGTACGTCAAGTCTAATTACATCCATCATTCATCCACCTTCGCAACAACCGGCTCCTCAACCCTAACAGCCCGTATCAAACTCCTATCAAGAAACCGCTCCTCATCAGCAGCAAGTCTCTCTCCATCCGCCATCAACGCGCCATGAAATGCACCAAGATGCTCAACATCCCGAAACGTGAGTTCCGCATAAACATCGTACTGGAACTCCGCGGCGTCCCCAGCCAAGATGGGGGCAGGGTACGCGGTATTCGAATGATCCGTATCGGCAGCATCTGAGACCCGTGCCCGAGGGAGATAGAAGCGTTTATGGGCGATGGGGAAATGGGCCCCGGCGATGTCTTTGAGGAGCGGGATGTGAGTGGTTTCGTAGTAGGTTTTGAATTCGGTTGGAGTGAGACCGGGTTTGCGGCTGAGGAAGGCTATGATGGTGCAGGGCATTTTGGATTTCTTTCTTTCTTTCTTCTCCTTTATTAGAGATTTTGGAGGTTTTGCTGACACTGACAGGACGGGAGGTGTCTTAGGTTGGTTTAGATAGACAAACTCCTCCGAGGTCGCTGCTTACGGACCCGGCTTACCAGCACTACACACAAACAGCTAACGGGGTCTAGTACCTCGATAGTAAAGATATCAGGATCCTTTAGGTCTATTTATAATATTTAGGGTTTTTAGTGATTATATATTAGAGAAAACCCTTTTCCCCTTTGGGTTCAAGGCCGATTAGAGGCCTTGCGCAATTGTTGGGCTCGGAGGTCTGTTCAGCCTCGCCTCCGGAGTTTCCACAGGATTCTCGAATCCTGCAAAAGCGAGGTTTCTTCGTCATCCTTATTAGTCTACGAAGGACACTGGACACTGCACTCACGCCACGATGGCTAGAAAGGTGGAGACCATGCATACAATCACCTGTAGGGAGGCTAGAGAGATAGAGTGGGTTGAGTGGTTTGAGGAAGCTCTAGATCACTATCACGTCTGGTAACCAAGCTTAGGCCAGACGATTGTAGACAATGCGAGGATTGAATACAGATGTCCGATTCAAGGCTTTTCAGGAGGAGCAATCTTGGCAAAAATTCCATTCATACCATTCCGTACCTAAGTACTACTTAGGCAGATCAACCACCGACCTAGAACATCTAACTATACGAGCCCTTCGTATTTTTGAGCATCGATATATACAGAGCAAAAAGAGACAAAAACGACAAAATAGAAGGGAAGTTGAACGAAACGAACTGGACTGAATCGACTAGCCAGCCAGTCTACTAGACCAAGAGGAAGAAAGAGATAAAGGCAAACAAACAGAATAACTTCCTCCCAATGTTAGGTGGAGAATTGAAGTAGACATAAAGAGCTTGATATCAAAGAAAGGGAAGCGAAAGATAAGAAAAGTCCAGCTAGCAAAGACAGTGTCACACGGAACAAGAGGTATTTATTTAATAAACACATGTCTGAAAGAGATTGTGGCAGTTGTATGGGTATCAAATGCAATCTTTTGGTGTATCGGGGATGGGGTAAACAAAGAGTACGCGTGGGGTGTAAAACATGACAGGAAAGGCAGAAAAGGGGAGAGAAACAGGGGGTAGAAAACAAGGGGACGCAATGAAAAGACGGCAGTCGTTGATGATAGCAAGGAAACACATGAAAGAACGAAGGGGTGCTTAAGCATAGTAATAGGAGTTGTTGCGACTATTGGAGGAGTTGGAACCCTGGCTGCTGCCGTGGTCACTGCTAGGGGTTGAAGGCTCGAGCACGACTTGCTGTCTGATGCAGACGATCCATTCGTGTTGGAGTAGCTCGGCCGCCGTTGATCGCTTCAAAGGATCACATTCAAAGCAACGACGAAGGAAATCAATACCTACATCGCTCAGCTGATCTCGGCTAGGCAGCTGCGGCTGATTTCCTTGGGCAATATTGTACATGATTGCCCATTCATTATCCAAGGTAGACCAGGGACGACGACCGGTGGCCATCTCCAAGATCACACATCCGAGAGACCAGATATCAACAGCGCCCTGGCGGTGGACCAGCTTCGAAGAGTCTCCCCGAATTACTTCAGGAGACATGTACATAGGCGTTCCGGTCATGGTCTTTTGGTTCTTGCCTCGTTGTTGAGCAAGCTGCGCGTCTTTGGGAACCAGCGCTTCCTTGGGCTGGTTGCCAGCAAACGCATCCATGGGGACGACAGTACGGCCTTGGCGGGCGATTATTTTGGCAGCACCGAAATCGACATATTTGATGATGCCGTTGTGGTCAAGCAGAATGTTTTCGGGTTTGATATCTCGGTGCACGATACCGGACTGGTGCAGGTATGCCAATCCCTCCAAGAGTTGAAGGGCATAAACCATGATGACCGTCTCATCTTCGACACGGCCGTGCTCCAACAGACTCGCCAAAGAACCTCCGGAGCAGTATTCCATGAAGATGTAGACCTTATCACGGTGCACCTCAATGCCATGGTATGACACAATATTCGGGTGATCCAAAACTTCAAGAACACCCATTTCGTCCCGAATTTGCTGGGCAATCTTGGGAATGAGCTGTGGGTCTTGCAGTCGGATTTCCTTGACGGCCATGAGGTAGTTGCTATCCAAGTTGATAGCAGCATACACGGAGCCAAACGTTCCACCGCCAATGAATTGTCCCTGCTGCCAACGCAGAGTCACGTTGGTCGCAGAAGACGAGAGGACAGTCAAGGACCTGTCAGCTTCGTTAGACCCTTCAAGCACCCTACCCAAAGCCTGACGCTTCGCGTTCTCCTCAACTCTCCTGTCCTCAATCTCATCTAAATGAGACAGGCGCTGTTCCCGCACAAGCTTCGTAGCTTCTTCGTCCGTCAAAATCCGGCCGGAACCGAATTTTCGCCCTCCGACTCGCTCCTCCATGCGCTGCTTTTCGGCCTGGGCAGCGCGCGAGGACCGAGCGCCCATAATATCGAAGTGAGATATCAGAAGCGACATACAGCCGGCGACTTTCTGCCTCAAAAAGGAGAATTGCACATCGTCGATGGAAAGAAGATGCCTGCTGGAGGTGATGGCCATGGCGAATTCAAGTGCGGACACGGCCCATTTGAATGTTTTCCGATCGGCGGCATCGCAGTCATCACAAACGAAAGACACCCAGTCAAGGGATAGCTCAACAAGTCTCGCGCTGTTCATGGCCCGTCTATTGGGGTCGACATTGGAAGAACGATTACCGAATTCAGTAGCAAAGGCATAACAAGCCTGGATTAGATCGAGGTTTTCGATGCCTCTTTCCTTGAGTTGGTCCCTGATGATAGCCACGCTGTCCATGATGGTCATAGAGAGTTTGAATGATGTCTTTTTGATCTTGTTGAGTTCCACGTTCACACGGCCCAGGTTCGCGCGTTGCTCAATAGCCATATCAAGCTGGATTCCGGTTAATTGGGCCAACTCTTGACGAGCATTGGACAGGCGTTGCTGTGTTCCTTCGACCACGAGGCGAAGTTTTCCCATTCGCAGGTCTGTAGGTTGTTCCAGCACATCCACTTGCATCTCCCTGCCGGCCCATGTCAAGGGCTTCTCAGGCCGAACTACCAGCAGGTACGGCGCAAGAGGGGTATCTTTCGGTAAATCTTCTTCGCGAAACGATGTTCCGAGGATTGCCTGGATGCCGGTAAGACGATTCCACAAGGCAGGGTGAGCAAACAGATACACTCCTCTCTGACCAACAGAAAAAGGAGATTTGATGAGAAAATGGTCCGAGATGAGAAGGGCTTCGAAGAAGTCATAGGCGATATCAGTGGAAAGGTTGTATTCGGTGGCATTTTCGAAAAGCTGTCGCAAAAACCTGGAGAAACGATAGAGCTTTCGCTGACGGATCCGAGTCGAGTCTAACACGCTCTTGTAACGTTTGTCCATGTCGACCGGGTCTTCATCGGGCATTATAGTCAATTCTCGCTCGAAATGAAGCATTAAACGCTGGAGTGATTTTGCGGTCAAAGCACTAGCAATTGGTTAGCTGATGGACATGGAGTTTTTTTTAGCCAAGACTGGAGATCTTACCTGAATTGCTCGGCGACTTCGATATCTCCACCTTCAAGTTGGCGTCCAATGTGATTCGAAAATTCCCAGTCTTGTTCGAGAATTTCTGCTTCTTTGAAAGTGTTTTTGTTCGCATTTAGCTTCCAATTTAGCAGTCGAAAATAGTACTTCAGTGCGTCTAAGACCACCGAGTCAAAATTCTCGTCGATACAAGGCGGAAGATCCCACCCAGGTTCAGGTCTAGCAATATCCAAGTAGCGTTGCTTGATTTCGACTGCAACTTTCATCAAGATTTGAAACTGAGAGATCATTTGATCGACCAAAATGGGAGATTGAGAGGCCGGGTCTTTCATATTTTTAGCGTAAGAGAGGCGGACCCGGATGATTTCTTGCATAAGACGAGAGGGGAAATTGATGAGGGTCAGAAGTTCTTCTATGTAGGGAGGCAGATGACGCTTAGCGAAATTGCTCGCATTCTCGATCAGGGTGCTCTTGGCTTTTTGGATCACTTCACCAATATCCATTAGCATGTTGTGATCTCCCTGGAGCGTCCTAAGTCCATCCTCCTTCATGATACGATCGAGGAAAGAAGACTCGTCAGAAAGGTCGCTGTTGGTCGTCTTGTCTCTCGGCTTGCTGAAGTCCAGCTCGTCGTTTCCAACCCACTTCCGCAAGATGGCGAGTTCCGTGTTGATAAGGATTGTAGTATTGTGCCATGCAAAGACCGCCTCACGGCTAGAGCAAAATTCCTCTGAGGCAACGCGGGGCTGTTCGCTTTCGAGCTCCTTGTGCGTCGAGTAAAGCATCTCGCACTTCTCAATCTGCTCCACAATATCCTCAACTTGTTTGATGGGCGTTTTCCCAATCTCCGTCTCGCCCTTGATCTCGAATTTGATAATATCTTCAATGATGGGTCCCAGGCCGGCGCGTGATTCCTCAATCAGTTTGCGTTGCAGAGCGACGCTGCGTCCGCACGTCCTAGCTCTCACACCCAACCATATGGCACTGTTCTGAGCCGCCAAGTGTTTTGTCTCCGCAGAACCAAGCAGTCGCTGCTTCTCCTGCTTCACAACATCTCCTTTCAGCACCGAAGCCAACATCGAGTGCCATTCGAGCCTCTCCTGGTTTTTGGGGTTCTTAAGTTCTTCGAGCGTTGGCTGGTTATCGTCCGACAGAAAGAGCTGGGTATCGGGGTCGTAGGCGTCATCCTCGAACGGAACCTCCGAGGAAGGTGACGGTTCCTCTAGGTCCGAGTCTCCGACGGCCGGTCCCATGTTTTGAGCCTCGTCGAAGTGGCTATACCACGCCTGCGGATCCGCGCGGATCCGCTGCACATATGCCTTTTCCTGCGCTCGATATTGTGCATTGGGGTCGCGTCTTGGGGTTCGCTTATTGGAGGAGGAGCGGCGGTGGTCATTCTGGAGGCTGATGTACTGTGGTGGACGACGTTGGGGGGCGTAGGTGTTGGACGGCGTTCTAGCGGGGCCTGACGGGCGTTGGAGTCTCGCGTCGGACAGAGTGCCGTCCAATGGCGGAACCTGCTCTAGGGCGAGAGTGCTGACGCTAGAACCGCGAGGGCGCGAGGATGTGGTGCTAGGCCAGGAAGAAAGGCCAAGAGGATGCGATGGAGGAGGCGAAGAGGTGATGGTGGTGGCCGGCGTGGTTTGGATCTGAGGGTCGAAGTTCTCAGGGTAGCCCGGATTCGAAAGAGCAGCATACGGTTGCTGGAGGAGCTCATCGGAGGACCCCGAGCCATCCGAGTCATGATTGTTCATGTCGGGCAGCTCCATGATTTGGGGAAACCCACGGTCCTGGTGCGGCTCCATGATGAGCTTGATCGATGACGGATCGGATGGACGGCCTCAGGCGGAGATATAGGGGCTGTGGCGGTGCATTCCGATCGGTGGCTGAAGGAGTGGAGTGAAGTGGAGTGGCGGATCAACAAAGACTGCTTCTTGTCTTCCATGCGCTCACAAAGTAGAAATAGAGCCGTAGTGTGGAATCTAGCCAGAAAGGTCTTCTAAGCGAATTCAGAAGGTGCAGGAAGACGGAGGGTGCCAACGGTGAGCTGGAGTGACTACAGAAGTCTATATGCTAAGTCAGCACCTGGGTAAAGTCAATGTGCAGAGAGCCATGGCTTCCGTCCGAACAAACCAGACTTCGCATCCACGGGGAAGGTCCAGAACCTCTTTAGACATCTTTTCCAGTTCTACGGAGTACAAAAATGGTGTTCACAAATCTATCTGCCCAAGAGATGGTGGCCACGAAGAAAGAAAGTAGTCTACACGGAAAGAAAGAGCCAAACTATTCATATCAGCGATTTTGGCTACCTTTGGTTCGTTTATTTTCGAGAGTAACTGCTATACATACACCCGATAATCAGTGTAAGGTCGAAACAGCTTGATTTATTCGGGCTCGAAGAACCAAACCATGACCTCAGGTCAATGAGCGGGCTGACGGCATGCAAGACTATGAAGGAACGCCCTTGCCAGTCTTCCATTCAGGAGCATACTACCCCGTACCGCTCCTCAGATGCTTTTTGCAAATCTAGGGATGCAGTCTAGGTATACATGTAAACTTTCAAGTCACCGTTGGCCTCCTAGTGAAAGGAAGATGGCCGAATAAGACCGCAGAATATCTATAAGCGGCAATGACATTTGTCCTATTGATCCTATTGTTACCCTATAAAACACCAGAATTTCCGGTAATAATATCTGATAAAGATACTTTAGACGGCGCCACGGCAAACATTTCTCACATCGAAATGACCGAGCTCGAACATCGATAGTGGCATGCATTGAGATGCCACCTGCTGATCAGCGGGACCGACAGGCCTAACTTGGCATTTGCGGGTCCCTGGGAAATCAAGAGGCCAGCAAGTACGTAGCGACAAAGCAAGAGAAAAACATGGACGATCTGCCCCTGTTCATGGTGGGTTCGATAGGAGAAAATGTAACCCAAGGGATTTATTGGAACGCATCGTCTTGCATGATCGACCGGAGCTCATTACAAATGTTGGTACCTGAACTACTCCGTAGATGGCTAGTATTTAACTGTCGTGTGGGATGAAACGAAGCTGAGTCCTTGAAATAGTCCAGGATTTGCAAATACTCTCTATCTGATGAATAGAACCAAAGAAGACGTGTCAACCTCAGGCCAGCAACGCCAAGACCGCCCACCGTTCGGGATGCCGAACACCAATGAGCGCCCGAGGGCTTATCTCTACTTCCTCCCTGGAGGTACTTCCCTCGACTTTACAGCGCCCATCATTCTTGCCGGCTGGCGAGGTACCACTCGGTATCTTTTCTATAATCGTGAAAAGGATGAGGCACAGGACGATCAGCTGATGAGTCCTGCTGGGTGGTCTGTGGTTAATTCTTAGGGTTGCTTCTTTCCTCCTTCCCTCCATTCCTTCCAGATAGACGGATTCATTGCTGGCTGCCGATGTCGGGACCAAAACAGCCAAAGCTTCCTCATCCGCAGAGGTTCGTGTTTAATTGCCAAGGGGCTTGTCTATCGGGATCCGTGAACAAAGCGCCGTCCAGGATCCATGGTCAGCACAATGTGTGGGAGGAACCGGATGATAAGCACCCATCGACGCCTGCTGATTGGTAGATAAGGCACTGATTTGGCAGAGTGATAGATGAGACCGGCCTCCTCGTAGGATACATCTCCGATCCTTGTTTCTTATGATCATCCAGGAACTATTGGCCTAGCCTGTCCATCACTCAAGCCAGGGGGGAAGTGGTATTTCTCGCAAACTATCAAAGTCAGCCATGCCCTCCAACATGGCCCATCCTGTGATTCTCTAGGACTTCTAGGCGATCTCCCCACGCACTGGGGAAGCTCGTCTGGGCATCTGGGCGAGAAAGGAAGAGCAACTAACGGCCATGCTGATAGGCAGATAAAGGAACAGATAGTAGGGCTCGGATGATTGGTGGCTGAGCTCCTATCTCCCACCAGTCCCTGTCCGAGAGCATCCACTCTATCCAAATTGCCGGGTCCTTTGGTCCCATTTTGGCCTTTGGGCGCCCTCCGGTTCTCGTTGGCATTGTCTGGGGCTCCGAGACATCAAAGAAGACCCAAACAAAGAGGATGACTCGAACGGTAGCAGAAGGAAAAGAAGAACGAAGATATGACGTGGGGAGATCTAAATCCATTACTCTAATCTTGCAATTCATGGCCCGGGCTCGTAATCCTTTGACCTTATCCGCTCGGATAGGGCTTGGCTCTTGATATCAAACCCCCAGCTGACGGTGGACCTGATGGCGTTCGGACTGGATCCGCGCTTGCATGAGATTTATTATTTATCGCCTCTGTCCCTGTTACATTGTACTTTCCTCGTCAATTCTTTCTTTCGACCTCTTCTGCATAAAGTTCTGGGTCCCTCGCGCTATTGGATCCATCCTTCCCAGCCCGGTACTCAGTTCAGCATACACGTCCAATTCCAGGGGCAAAAACTCGACACCTATAGATAAACGCCTGCAGTGGTCCTATCCGGAGAGCCCAAAAGTTCTGACACTGCTTTGCGGCATACCACACCATGGCGGAATACCCTGTCCCATACAATGGAACGGAGACTGGCACCGGGGGTGACTCCATGACGGAGGATCTTAATATCTGGTACAGCGTGAGTATTCATAGTAGCCCTAGGAAGAGAACAGGATAATGTCGGCTAACCTTTCTGTCAGTCTGGTGACATTGCTTGGGTTATTACCTCCACAGCTCTTGTTCTGTTGATGATTCCCGGTGTTGGGTATGTGTGATCTTTTCTTTCTATCGAATGACTAGTCCCGTCCATCTTAGAATGATGTTGCTAACAACCCGGTTCAATGTTAGGTTCTTCTACTCTGGTCTTGCCCGCCGGAAGTCCGCACTGTCCCTAATATGGCTTTCCATCATGTCTGTCGGAGTCGTCTCCTTTCAATGGTTCTTCTGGGGTTACTCGTTGGCCTTCTCTCACACAGCCGGCAAATACATCGGTGACCTCCAGAACTTTGGAATGAAAGGCGTCCTGGCTGCACCCTCGGTGGGCAGTGACAAGGTGCCCGATCTCCTGTTCGCCGTCTTCCAAGGAATGTTCGCTTGTATTACGTACGTTACCGCATTATTTCAAATCAAGCCTCTATATCCCAATTCAAACCTAACGAATCAAATACAGAGTTGCTCTCGCTGTCGGCGCTGTCGCTGAACGTGGCCGTATGCTTCCCTGTATGGTCTTCGTTTTCATCTGGACCACCATCATCTACGATCCCCTCGCCTGCTGGACCTGGAATGCGTCTGGCTGGGTCTTCAACTTGGGAGGATTGGACTTCGCGGGTGGCACGCCCGTCCACATTGCCTCTGGCTGTACCGCTCTCGCATACTCCTTGATGCTAGGCAAGCGTCGCGGACATGGCACCCACGAGCTCAACTACCGTCCGCACAATGTCACCCACGTCGTCATCGGCACCGTCTTCCTCTGGGTTGGTTGGTTCGGTTTCAACGCCGGCTCTGCCCTCAGTGCCAACCTGCGGGCCGTGATGGCCGCTCTTGTGACCAACATTGCGGCCTCCGTGGGTGGTGTCACCTGGTGTCTGCTCGACTACCGCCTGGAACGCAAATGGTCGACGGTGGGTTTCTGCTCCGGCGTGATTGCCGGTCTGGTGGCTATCACCCCGGGATCCGGGTTCGTGACTCCCTGGGCAGCGTTCATCTTCGGGGTCGTCGGCGCGATCTCCTGCAACTATGCCACCAAGCTCAAGTACCTGATCCATGTCGACGACGCCCTGGATATCTTCGCTGTCCACGGTATTGGCGGTCTCGTGGGTAACCTTTTGACCGGATTATTTGCCGCGTAAGCCAACCCTCTTCTCCATCCATATGTTCAAGAAACACGGCTAATTCCCACCCCTCGCTTATAGTGACTACATCGCTCGTCTGGACGGATCCACCGAGATCGACGGCGGCTGGATCAACCACAACTACGTGCAACTGGGCTACCAGCTCGCCGACTCCGTCTCCGGCATGGCCTACTCGTTCTTCGGCAGTTGCATTATTCTCTTCGTCATCAACCTCATCCCCGGTCTCAGCTTGCGTGCTCCCGAGGAAGACGAAATCATGGGCATTGACGACGCCGAGATCGGTGAATTCGCCGTATGTCTCTCCCCTTCTCCCTTTCCCCCTCTTTCCCAACCTTGCTTGATCTTCTCGATATTTTATACTAACATCACATCTACTTTTAGTATGACTATGTCGAAATCACCCGCGACGTCATCAGCGCCCCAGGCAGTGAGAACGGAGACGCGGCTTCCAAGCGCACCGCGACGCCTGTAGAAGGCAACGAGACCAAGGCTTGAATATCTGATCAATATATCATATCAAACTGGACCCGGTTGGCGTCTAGGCCTGAGTCTGATTGATTGATTGATTGATCGTGTCTCGACTCACTTCCATTCCTGTTCCTTATTATTATAATTTCCTTTCTTAAAATACCCCTTGACTGTACTTACTCTTTTCTTTTCTTGCTTGATAATAGCTATGTTACCATAATTAATCCTTACTGATATTGACTCATATCGCCTTTCCAACAATTCCTACCTACCTCCTATCGGTTGTACAGTACATATGCCACGGACAAAATACAAAATCCATACCTACACATCGAACCCTCCATCTACTATCATCAAGTTAACGCATAGTCGAATATACGATCGCCCTGTTGGTGTATGGCTAATGCACTAAATAAGTTCTTGCTCCGAATCGAGATGGAAGAGGTAGTCGGTTAAGTTGGCTTATTTCGTGTTCGATGTCTATTCCATGCCCATTTTGGTCATGGACTCGCGGCACATTGTGCATGGATGCAGGATACCTACCATGGTCTGTCTCGATAGTCGAAAAAGTTAGTCGTCATCTTACAGAAGAACCAGTGCCTTAGACAGACGCGTGGATAATTGTTTTTAAACTATGTGCTATTTGGTTTAATTGGTCAAAGGGCCTTCGAGCCTTTCAAAATTAAGAACAGGAAAGAAAATTAAAAAACGCTCCGTCAAAATAATTCGGTGGACTAAGACCTGTACCCAGGCCAGAGCCATAGAGAACGTAGGCTTATCAAGGGTATTACTCTGAGCAGATCTCAATTCAAGTCACTCCAGGTTGGAGAAATTTACTCCTCACCCTCAAGGGGCTCCTCCTCGAGGTATTCCTCCTCACCCTCGGAGATGGAGGCGTCCTGGTACTGCTGGTACTCAGAAACCAGATCGTTCATGTTGCTCTCAGCCTCAGTGAACTCCATCTCATCCATACCCTCACCAGTGTACCAATGCAAGAAAGCCTTACGACGGAACATGGCAGTGAACTGGTCGCCGACACGCTTGAAGAGCTCCTGGATGGAGGTGGAGTTACCGATGAAGGTGGAGGACATCTTGAGGCCGCGAGGAGGAATGGAGCACAGAGCGGTCTGGATGTTGTTGGGGATCCACTCAACGAAGTAGGTCTGGTTCTTGCTCTGGATGTTGCGCATCTGGTCCTCGACCTCCTTCATGGAGACCTTACCGCGGAAGATAGCGGAGCAGGTGAGGTAGCGGCCGTTACGGAAGTCAGAAGCAGCCATCATGTTCTTGGGGTCGAACATCTGCTGGGTCAACTCGGGAACGGAGACGGCACGGAAAGAGTGGGCGCCACGGCTGGTCAGAGGAGCGAAGCCGACCATGAAGAAGTGGAGACGAGGGAAGGGAACCATGTTGACGGCCAACTTGCGGAGGTCGGAGTTGAGCTGACCGGGGAAACGCAAGCAGGTGGTGATGCCGGACATGACGGCAGAGACCAGGTGGTTCAGGTCACCGTAGGAGGGGTTGGAGAGCTTGAGGGTGCGCATGCAGATGTCGTACAGAGCCTAGAAGCGAGTCAGTCTCTCGTATCTCTCATGTTAAATATCCATTCCCAATGCCTCCACGAATGGCGTCAGGACATGCCGAAACATACCTCGTTATCGATACAGAAGGTCTCGTCGGAGTGCTCAACAAGCTGGTGAACGGAAAGGGTGGCGTTGTAAGGCTCGACAACGGTGTCAGAGACCTTGGGGGAAGGAACAACGGAGAAGGTGGCCATCATACGGTCGGGGAACTCCTCACGGATCTTGGAGATCAAGAGAGTACCCATACCGGCACCGGTACCACCACCCAGGGAGTGGGTGATCTGGAAACCCTGGAGGCAGTCGCAGCCCTCAGCCTCGCGACGAACGACATCGACAACCTGGTCGACGAGTTCGGCACCCTCGGTGTAGTGACCCTTGGCCCAGTTGTTACCGGCACCAGACTGGCCGAAGACGAAGTTGTCGGGGCGGAAAAGCTGACCGAAGGGACCGGCACGGACAGCGTCCATGGTACCGGGCTCAAGATCGACCAGAACGGCACGGGGAACATACTTGCCACCGGAAGCCTAGAAGATAAAACAAAGCGTGGGTTAGAGTCTTGTACGGGGCGTTTCGGATAGGCGAAAGGAGATAGAAAATTTTTGGGTGACGAACCTCGTTGAAGTAGACGTTCATGCGCTCCAGCTGAAGGTCGGAGGAGCCATTGTAGCTGTTTATCCCATCAGACAATCAATCCCACCATGGTCGTTTCTTTGTTTTCGCTCTTCGATTCTGAATTCGATAGGCGTAAACGTGGGATGTACTTACACACCAGCGCCGTCAAGGCCGTGCTCGCCGGAGATGTTTTGCCTATTCACTCCATCAGTATTCAAGTACCAAGGATTGATTGAGAATTATTGGATTCAAGGTATCGACAAGGAATCTTGATAGCCCAGAATGCCAATGTCAGTGTGCAGACCTACCAGAAAGCGGCACCAATTTGGTTACCCTGTTACCCCGAATCCAGTTTAGTGGCAGCTCCAACAGCAATCCCATCCGGAGGGATTTCGAATTTGACACTGAGTTGCACTTACACACTGGCCAGTTTGAAGATGGACCTAAACAGAGAAGATATTCGTCAGCATTCCAGGTCGCAGTGAACCGGTGGGGTCTCCAGGACGGAGAACCAAACAAAAAACGCGTCTGGAGAGGGGTTCAGGGGATGGAGGGACACGTACGATCTCACGCATGTTGGGTGATTGTGACGGTGTCAATGGGAAAAGTAGGTTGACAAAAGGCGGATGGGGTGGATTGAGGGAGATTGAGTCGACAGGAAGTCCGACAGGAGGAAGAGGAGGTGGAGGAGAAAGAGGAAGGGGAGAAGAGAAAGGACGGGTTGAGCGGTGAGAAGGAGGAAAGGAAAGGGAAGTGTGCGGGAAGCATCAACAACTCAGTCAACACCCCGTTGCGGTTTAGCGCCGCTGGCCTTGGGCAGGCAAAAAGGGGCTGTCCCGATGCGGTTAGGCGCCGTCACGGGGGGGAGAAGAATCGGATGCCCGCTCACCGCCCGCCTCCGGTTTAGGGACGAGTTACGGAGTACGCGAACCAGACTTGACTAAGGTTATTGCTTTGTCTGCCCAATATCCCCTATGATAATAATACAAATACACATGATTCCATCAATCATTTCGCCGTGTTCTCCACCGTATGAGAGCTTTCCAACCACGTGCCAAACTCATCCAGCCGTTGCTCTTCGTCCGAGTCTTCCGCATCGAATCCCCTCTCCGCTAGATCCTCCAACGCCGCTCGTTTCTCATTGCTCTTCTTAAACCGCTCACTGCCATTGGAAATATATGCCTCAACGCGCGTTCCGCCAAAGTAGCGGCCATCCATGACCTGAGAGAGGCAGTGCCATCGTTAGCTTCCAATTTCTGTTGGGAACCCGTTACATCCACGTCTCTCGCGCTTGTATTACAATCCACGTGACCTAGATTGTATCCAGCCCACCAAAACCGGCGAAGGTACTCCGTACTATCCGTAGCGCTGGTTTACCGGCCTTCATGGTTGGTTTGCTAACCTGGATCACGTGGTACGAGCGAGAGAGGCGTAGCTATAACAAGTATTGGAACAGGACTCGGGGATGCACTCACCTGAATGCAGCGTTGGGCTGCTTCGGGCTCGAGAAAGCGGACCATAACAACTCCATCGGCTTCCTTATCGTAGAGAACAACGTTGGTCACCTCCCCCAGTTTGGAGCATTCTTCACGAATATCCTCTTTGATGTCGAGAATGGCGGCCGGATCCTCCTGTCGAACGGGTCAGTCATGGGAAATATTAGTGATTAGGAGGACTTGGGGGCTCTTTCGTACGTTGAGTTCTTCCAAAGTAAACATATGCTTCAAGATGACGATTTTCTCAAACTTGGAGTTGGTTTCCGGTAACGTGGATGGGTCGTCATCGTCCCAATCGGCGAGTTTGCTATAGGCATGTTAGTTCGGGCAACTCGCACCAAATACAGCGATGTCAAGGGCGCCGACGAAGTTTCCGTCGACGGGCACTCGATTCGCCGCTCATCCGACGTATGATGTAGGCCGTACCTATTTAACTTCTGGGTCCTCTGTATGATCTTTCTCTTGTCTTTCATGCTGGTCTTAGCCGGCTGCTCTTGCTGGCTCTTGAACGAGAAATCTGCGATCTGAACTCGCATGGGTCCCTGAGGACCTTCCTGCCCGATCCTAAAGTTCGAATCATCCAGCATCTGAATGGCGAGGTTGACCGACTCGGGTCGGAAGTATACGACAAGGGCTTCACCCTTGAACTTTCCGTCATCGTCGTTGTACATCTTGATGCGAGGACGGCCGCTGTCGATTTCCTCGGCGATCACCCCACATTTAGAGAAGGTATCTCGGATTTCTTCGAAGCCTGCATCTAGAGGGATTGAGGTGACGTATACGGCTGTATTAACACGCTGTTTCTTTGGTTTTTGTCCGTTGCCCTGCATCGTATCTCACTGCATTAGTCCAGGATTTCACAAATGATAAAGACTGCCGTCAAGGGAAAAGGAAATCGTTCACTCACCTCGTCGGCATTTGCCTGTTGCTTCCGTTTTTTCTTCAGTTGCTGTGCCGTCACCTCCTCGTTCTCATCCACCCCTTGAACTTTGTAGGCTTCTTGCTGCTGTCGGAGCAAGTCATCATCGACCTGGAAAACACCCACGGGCGCGCAAAGAGTGGCGCCAACCAGAGGATCAGTTTCACGAGCCAAGCAAAATTCATGCGAGCCATAGCCTTGCTGGCAAATCTACAACAGAAGATATTTTCTTCGACGCTTCGCTGCGCTGTGGCAAAGCGAATAGCGATCGAAAAACGAACAACAGCAAGGAAAGACATTGTATCGCAAAGAGGGGCAGTTTTGCCGTTTTTCATTCACCACCGCAAAGCACAGCAGGGGGCATCCAGCTGGAGAAAAAGCGCGCACACACCGTCGGAATCCACCGCTTCAGCACCGTATCGTATTCAAACTCGTTTCCTTCATCGGTTTCCAGGATGAACTTGTTGTCTAGCTTGGAGAAAGAGACTCGCGGGTCGCTGTCGAATTCGGACGGATCCTGAGGGAAACTGATCGCTGTCGCGGAGTTTGAGGCGGCGTCGGGGCTTTGGGTCGCCATTATGGTAGCTCAAATCGAATAGGAGATCCCCAGGGATGCGAAGATGGTTGACATGAATCGGTCCAGGCCTTGTGGGGAGATGCCGTCCGGCTTTACTTTCCACCAGGATGCCAGGATGCGCCTTGCTGCCTCAGGCATTAGATTACGTAGCTCAAGCCCGCGGCTCTTCTTAGTCATTAGTACCTACATCTCCCTGGTCGATTCGCGACATAGCTTTCAGGTAGTGTAACCACGCCGCGGTGGATTGTACTAAATTAAGAATGATAATTTTTTAATGGGCCATGGTCCACTGCTAAGGTTCTCCAAATATTATTCCTGTCGAACACCTTTAGGGGCATCCCAACTGAGTGGAATCCAGCAGGATTGCCTCACGGAGCCACCAGTCTGGACCTTAACTATTATATATCCTACCTGTCTGTCTAACCTAATTCGAGGAAAACAAAGAATGAAACAAGAAGAAGGAAGGAAAACAGAGCACTATATGGAGTATAAATAAAAAAGAAACGGATATGCATAAATAACCTTTCACTAAGAAAGAAGGGTTGACTCTTTCTAGTGCAGTGGTAGAACTGCCAAAAATGGCAACTCAATGGAACGGACATTGACCCGTTCTCGAAGTTTTCAATCTCTCGACGGTTCTTTCCTGGAACTCCTGGCCTTTCCCCAGGAAATACCTGGGCCCGACGTCGGGGATGCTGTAACCTTCGGGGTGGTACTTGCCACCCTCATCCCCCGGAAGCGGTCGGCCCATTATCCACGTAAGCCAAGCCGTTGGTCCCCAGCGATTCCAAATGGTCGGTTTCACGTAGTAAGGTGCGGCATCCCATCTGGTGAATGACAGGAGACCATTTTCATCGGGATGGTCGGTGAACGTGGTGTAACGGAGATAATCTGGTCGAGGGAGCGCAAGATAGCGCATGGCAAATCGACGCACACGAAGGAGGACCGAAAACACTTTCGTATACGATTCCGGGGGATCATCATATCTAAGAGAGTGTTAGTCCTGTCTGAAACGAAAATAAGTTACCCAAGTGGTCTGTCGCGCACTCACAGCATGGCTCTCCGGAGGCGCTCGTCCATCATGAACGACACCAAATGCAGCCCAACCTGCTGTATCGGCTTCGGAATCATGTACAAGACGATTGCTGTAGTCTGCGCGGCGGTCTGGTGGTTTTTGATATCCGGACGCATGCAGCGAACTTCGTAGTCATCGCTCCATGCCATGATCTCCTCAAGCCAATGTAGTCCGTCACGGAATCCCGTCTTACCTGACGGAAGAACATCATAGCTGATCTCCAGCCCATCGCCCAAACTTTTCCAGAACGTCCCGATAGCGCATTTTTCCATGTCGCTCAGGCCGCGCCATTCGTACTCCTCGATGAAGCGCACCGGCTGAATGGCGAACAGACCCAGCGTGTAAAGCATGTCGTCATCTAGAATCTTTTTTGAAGCCCGGTAGCTGCTATGAATAAAATTGGTACGCGCAATAGAAGCTCGAGTGCGGGTTGAAGACGGAGCCGAGCCGATGAACTCCTGGATGAAGACGGTGGTATCTGCATAGCGCTTGAGAGATAACTCCGGGTCACATAATTGCTTTGTACTCGTAAGAAGCCCCGATATGCTCGGTATGCCATATGTCTATTGTTCGTGTTAATTATTCGGCGTCGGGGCATGACAAAGGGAAGAACATACCCTGAATAATGCGAACTGCAGAGACTTGATGTAGATAAACGGGAACTCCAGCTGTAACAAGACTTTTTGGATCTCCCAGGCGTCGTTATCGGTCATGCGCGACAGGGACTCCCGCGTAGGAAAGTGGTACCTTCGGTGCAGCCATCGGACACGGCGGAAACGCAGCAGAGAAACCACGACTGGATACACGGCCAAAATCGTCACTAGGAATATCCGAACCTGACGCGAAGAGAAATCCAACGACGCTAAGGATGTTGAAGGATGAAAGACCCGACCATTCTCCACAAACGCGGCATGTGTCTCATTGTCCATCGCTTCAGAGACGCAATTACCGACGAGTTACTAGAACCAGTAAAGTGCTGATAAGAAAGGATGAGCTAGAATTTTGGGAAAGATAGGAAGCTTGGTGATAATAATAATAATAATAAATCGAACAATGCATTTGGAAGAGGTTACATTCAGCTCAGCGACAAGGCAAAAACGAAGTCACGCTTATCTCGGTTGTTTTCCCCGCACGGTTTCTTTTGTCTTTGGTCTTTCTTTTCCTTTCCTCTCCACTTCTTCTTCTGCCACACCGCATGTTTCTTTATCTTCTGAGAAATTGAACCACCAAATATGCCTGGGGAGATCGCAATTTCTTTCTTTCAATCTCGTTATTTGCTAGTTGTCCTTGCATTAATGCGACCTACGATTTGATTCGTCCACGTTGCATTTGAAGATCTAGGTCGTTGATTCTGATCATGACTAGACGTCCTTGTTAATCCAGCTTAATAATGATTGGCCTTCCAATGAAGGTCCGCTCAGGATAGAAAAACACTGACAACTGATTTTGATTCGCAATTCACACAAAGCATCCTTGACAGCATGCTTAGACGCAGCAGGTCATGGTACACAATGCAAGGAGGTAGCCGAGTGGGTACGTACAGAATGCGCTGGGGTTGCCAATTCTTGGGATTCTATCCAATGGGATCGGAATAGACCAGGTCCTGTCATACATATTGGGCCCTTACAACCCCTCAGAAACCATGTCCGCCCATTCAACGGCCAATGATCTTTAGTTCCAACAATCTGAGGGGTGGAAAAGCAAGGGCTGTGAATCCAAATCCAAGCCAGATGCCTAAGTCGCAACCGCCCTCAATCTCTTGGGCAATTGGCCCGGTATAATAAGCTTGGTCCTGCCCGGGAAAAGACGGATCAGCAACAGCCCACTTGCAAAGAAAGGGATGGATTATTAGAAAAGCTTACCATCCCCACAATAGCTCCCACCCAGCCGATGAGGAAAGCCGCGCTAGCAGCCATTCCAACCGGAAGTTTCTGCCGAACATTCCAAATGGACCAGTCATAACCAGTGCCTCGATTGAAGAGCAGGTCTTCCTCGACCACAATGGCAAACCAGATGACGACCCAGTAACCGATAAGCGGTAAAAAGTTCTTGAAAATCTCATACAACGAATTGCGGCCCCCGATTGCACAGGCTGCGTATGTGATGGTCGAAAGTATGGTGAAGACAGGCCGGGGGATCTTTCGCCACATGTTTCCGAGCATCTGAAAGTTCATTGCCATGGAATAAGAGCCAGGGGCATTGTTGGAGACCACCGTCACCACATTGATGACAGCACAAAATTTACCAAAGGCCCCAAGTCTTAGATATCCCGCCATCAATAAGCTACCGGGGCTGCCGTCATAGATAGCCGCCCACTTCGGCCGGTAGGCGACGCCAGACCCGAGTCCAGCTCCAATCAGCAATGTTGTCATCATCGATAGACATAATCCTATCGTGGTCATGGACCATATCTTCCATTTCCGAGTACTTGGCGGATAGTTCACGTAGTAATCCGAAGCTAATGGGACCCAGGAAAGGGCGACAGATAGACAAAGGGAGAAGAAGGCCAGGCGGTTTCCATGGAGCTTTTCTGACGATCCAGCAGAATAGCCCTGAAAGTTGAAATATGGGCCTGCTGATCCGGTGATAACACAGAGAACCATCAACTGAGGAACCCAGGCGAACCTAAATATCATGAAAAGGGTTACCATAGTTCTTGTTCGAAAGGGAATTTCGTTTCTGGTGGCTCCTACCTCTCGTATATTTGAAAGATACGCATGCCGAATGTTGCCATGATCCAACTTGCGAGGGCGACGATGACAATGCCCACAATGACGGAGACAGCGCCCCCTGACAACTTGGAAAGCAGCTGTCCCCCGATCATACAGTTCATCATTCCATATCCCAGGTTTGTTAATATGTTCAAGGAGCAGCAGACTTTGCTGGGATGGTAGCCCATGAAATATCTCGCCACGATCTGTCATGAAGCAAAGAAAATGAACCGTAAGCCATATTTATCTGGAATTTCGGGGGCAACAGGAGAAGAGGAGATAAGGTGCCGAATTCTGCGCAACGGATGGACCATACAAGTGTTCGATTTCCACTTCGGGGACCCCAAGTGCTCATCCACCCAACTGCCAGGCCTCCGAGGAGACTTCCAAAAACCGCGCAAAGAGCAGCATCGGCGTAGCTCAGTTGCAGTGTTAAAGTTCCTATTGATCCCACCACGATGTTGTTCAAAGACATCCCCATACTGAACCACATCAGCAACATATGGAGCGAATTCGATGCATTTGGTTCTAAGCGTTCATCCAACGGAACCGGTTCAATGCCGCGGGTCTCCAGTCCTTTGATGTGTCGTGTCCATCTTTGATACCTGGGTGCGGAAGCTGTCGTTGCGGGATCCCGAAATTCTAGCCCATCCTGTGTTACACTTTGCATAGAAGAGGATATACGGTCCTTTTCCACGTCTGACACCATGTTGGCACACATGGAAGTTAGAATGGTTCTCGGGAAGGGGTAATGAGCCGGTCATACACGCTTCTTCCTCGCGACAATGACGAATCGTGGGATGCGCGTCGGAATTTTAAAGCAAAATCACTCAATGGATCGAGAGAGCGGATCAACGGCGGCTTTATATAGCCTGGCAGGGAAACAGGAGAAAGGAGGATGCCAGACGTGTCAGGGCGTCCCTGTAACCGGTGATAGTGGGTTGAAATCAGTCTTTTCTTCCAGTGTAGCACCTGCACTACTTGAAAAAGAACATTCCACGGATAATGTGCAGCAGAGCTAGGCTGCTACTCTCTGGGCTAGCAGCACCGGAGCACATGAACAACATCTTGCGGGTATCGAAACAGGCACAACACCCCCCGATGTCTCCAAGGGGATGATAATCTTTACTGCAACAAGGGCTTGGAATCCTACGCCAGTTAGAGGTTCCAGCACAGACGCAATGCACACCAGTCCATAACAGGATGGATGCAGCTATCTATACCCCAGCTTTCCCAGCTAATGAACTATCGGGTAATTCCTGTTACGTTATTCGCCTTCGAACCATGCGTACCACATACCAGAGCCATCCTGGGGTGTCAAGCCGGTTGACTGGAATGCACCATCCATGTAAGGGAAGGAAGGTGATTATAAATTACCCCGAAGCGAAATTGAGTCAGAAGAAAAGAGTTTGACAAATATGCAGATTATGTTCCTATGGGTTTGACCTAGCAGGACTGAAAAACTTTCTGCGACACGGTGTGCTTTAAGGCCATGTGCAGCTCGACCGGGGACAGATGATCGTCTAAATTCATTGATATATGGCCAGGAGCGAATTGGTGGCCAGGAAGTTCTGACAAGGGACAGTATGGTATGTAGCGGTAGGCTTGGTAATTTCCTTTTCTCTCTCATCAAATAATCGCCGACTTTTTCTTATTTCCCCACTTGGGCCATAATTCGGGACAGTCTCCTTACCGAGAACACAGGGAACCCGTGCCACTAAATTAAGAAGAAACAGAATAGTGTAACATGAGTGTTCCGCTGCCTTGTTCTGGAAGCTTATAAATCCAACCACATACTTTGAAGTTGAGCATAATGAACCAAGAATGATGACCAGCAGGCTATAGCCAAAAGTATTTCATAATCGCACACTTTCCTGACAATGGCATTGTCCGAAACACCATTACCTAGGTCAGTTGCAACTCAATTTGGCTTGATTACAAAAATATTCATACATCATCCAGAAAAGTTCATGATCTCTTTATTCCTAACGACAGCCCTCCGGAACAAAACCAAGGGATGCCACATTGAGTACACTAGCAGAGTTCAGACATCACAATAGATCGTCCAATTGAACAACATGAAATCGATACCAGACGCCAAATAGCAAACACCATGTCCCTCACAGCCCATGAGTCGTTGCATCATCAATCATCATCTCATCCCCGTACCCCGTGGCCATGATGTCTACCATACATAAAAAAAATTGACACGAGAATCACAGGATCAAAGAGAGGATCAAGTCACGATACCTAGAGGAAAGGAGATGCCAAGTCAGCAACCAGATCCCAATTTACCAGACAGAAAGCCTACCCCAAAGACGCCTAGAAACGAGAATTTCCAATAAGCTGACCCTTCCCAGCCGAATTGCTAGACTTGCGCCGCTTGCGAGTCACAAGTTGAAAAGACTCGCCGTCATCCTCATTGGCGGGCGGATTCGAGCCTACTCCCCTGGCAATGAAAGATCCAGTACCCGAAGACGTGCTGGAGGACCTGGACGACGACGAGGCTGATGAGGACAGAGCAGGACGGTCGGCAATCATTGCGATGAATTGCTGTTCTTGCTGATATGAGAAATTCTCGTGGAACGGTCCAAAGCATTCGCCTTTCTCGTTCCAGGCCATGAAGGTGATATGCCGTCTAGGGTCCAGATCGCTCTGGTGGGCACCCTGGCTGTTGTAGGGCGTTGAATCGTCAGCTTCAACTATCCTGTCTGGGGCTCATGTCTCGAGGGAGGAGAAGCAATTGGGGAATATTCCTACAAGAGAGTGACCTTATATGCCCAGAGGGGCGCACAGGACTTCACCTTCATACAGTGAGCCTGGCGTTTAAGGCGATTATCCTCCCCGGAGAGGAGCTCAGCTGGCTCGAACTCGACAAGAACAGGCATGATGCTTGAACAGACGTGTTCAACAAGTATGAAGGTAGGGTCTGTGACGCTGGGAGACATAAAAAGTTGCAGTGGATGTAACGCTGAGGGGAGAGAAAGATAATTCAAGATCGCGACCACAGGAAACCAAGAAAATGAATGAAAGAAAAGCATGAGGTTGCATTTACTTGGGACTACGACTAAGCGGTATACTGATTACTAGGCGATGTGGCCTAAGTGATTAGATGCGGAGACACGTGGTTGATACAAAACAAAGCGAACAACGCGGGATATCACCGACAAAATCATTGCTGCGGTAGATACAGATTGCTGTTATGGGACTCGCTTCTGCGTGTGTGGGGTTGACGGCGGTGTACATGGTCTCTGATGCTGGGTGATGGCCATCTTTGGAGTGACCTGAGTACAAGATCACCCAGCAGATAAGATCAGTAGATCTGGATCAATCAGATCAACGGGCCAAATGAGCGAAGTGCGGAGATCAGCCTTACAGACACAGCTGCTGCCGGAAGATGCCCCCGGCGACGAGACAGTGCCTGTGCACGTTGCTATTTTGCGCGTGAACAGGAATCAAGTATACCACAACAAACCCTTCGCTATTTGCTATTTAGCCATATGCTAACATTTCTAAAGATGAGCACATTCACAGCCAATGACAGGGGAAACTATCCAGTTCCTATTATACCAAAGATAGCAGCCTCAGGCTCTTTCCTGCCGCTAGCGCTATTGCTCTACCTCCCAACCACTCAATTATGAGCAGCGAGCCCCGGAGCCTCGGCTTTCCGGAGGCGAGACCAAGGGCCATGGTGCACGGTCCTGCACAACGAGAGCTCTGGACCTCGGTTGTTCTCACGATGAATGAGGACGGTGATTGATTGGCGGGTTCTGTGCCGTTTGTAGACGCTAAAGCCGATATCCCCGTTCTTTGTTCACAAAGGCTTGATCGTGCGGTAGGCTTCACTGTTTGTCATTGCTATCGATCATAGCGTGAGAAGTCAGTTGACGGTTGATCTGGTGACTACTGTGACAAATGCACTGATAGCTAGGCTCTATCCGAATGATTTCTTTTTCTCCTACTGCAAATATCCCAAGTCCCCTGAGGGAACGAGAAAACAAAGCTACTTAGTCTCTTGTAGACTACTGTTAGACTGTTCTTTTACATCGTATAAATAATACGTCTAAAAACCAAACATCAGCCGTTCAACAGGCTCTCGAGTTTCCAATCCTGCAGTCCAGCATGGCATTCTAAAGAACAATCTCAGCTGAAAGAGTCAAGGAATCAACGACACCATCTAGCTCTGCCCTAGAAAACCATGCCCAAGCCCCCTAGCTCTGAAATAAATATCAAGAGACAAAAGAATAAATGGTGTCTCCAGTGACGTTGACATTAGCAACCGGTCTAACCCAACCCGGTAAGTCTACCCTAACCCCAAGTCCCAGGATTCCGGGACATCTCATCCATCTCTTTTCACATTGCAATCATGCCAATCCATTGCATCCAATTGACAACCCTCCCCGATAATTCCCTCACCAGGTCTACAAGAAAACTGAACCTCCTGATCTCCCCTCTCACAACAGCTCAGGTCACGGATACAACGACAATCAAGCTATTTATATCCCGGCTCTTCCGATAGGATGTTCATGTTACACCGCTGTCCGGGCAGTCTCGCGGGGCCTTCCGTCGCGTCTCCTCTTTGACCGGTTGTTTGGGGTTTGGGGCTCCTGGAAGGGTTCCGACAGGCTGTGACTAGTCGGTCTAGGGTAGACTTGACTTGACTAAATCAAGATAGACTAGACTAACTAGTTGGCTGGGTTGATGTTTGCTTGTCTGGGGTATGTGGTGGGATGGGGTGACAAGGCGTTTGGGGATATTTAAAGACAGTGGCTGTCCACTTCTGCATGTTTGTTTGCTTTTCTTATTGTTTCTGCAAACTAGGTCTACATCCTGAGGTGGTCCGGATTAGTGTGTAGGTATATCTACCTCCTCCTTCTACCTTCTTCATAGTCATTATCTAACTTGTTAGTTACCCCCATTCTCATCGCATCAAATCACACCAACCAAGCCTCATCATCCCAACAACAGCCACCAGAAGGAAAAGAAAACCAAAAATGGACCCCCCAACCCGCGACATCCTCACCAATCCGCCCGCCTTCCCTCCCTCCCCAGCAACAACTACCCTCTTTACAAACCCGCCCACCACGCCGATCCAGACCATCCAGACGTGGGAGACGCCTGATCGCATCCTCACAGGAATCCACATCACCTGGACTAATGGGGATAGTGCGAGGTTGGGAGTTTGTTCTGATGCTTCTGGCCCTGGTATTGGTATCGGCGCTGAGTCAAGGACTGACGTTGAGATGATAACGACTATCGATCATAATAATAACAGCAACTGCGATAAGAGCAACAAAGACAACAAGGCTACAGACACAGACACAAATCCCACGACTCCCACCCTCACCCCCACCACCACACCACCCAACAACCTCAACCCCAACACCAACAAACCCCCAATCATAAAAACATTCACATTCGACCGCCAAGAACGCATCCAGATCATGTACGTCTACGTCAGCAGCACACAAGTCGACGGCTTCTGGTTCGTGACCAACAAGCAAAAGAGTTTCTTTCCGGGCCGGTCCAGCGAGAGGCGCGAGATGAGCGATCTAGGGAGCGGCGTGTTAGTCGGGATCGAGGGACGGGAGAAACGTGATGAGGATCAGGTGGTGGGGATTTTGGGGTTGGGGGTTAGTTTTCGGAGATGATTTCCCCTGTTTCTTGATCTCTTCCTGCGTTGATTCTGGTGTTTTCGTCTTGTTGTATTTGGGAGGAGAGGCAAGGGAGATCGGGTGGTAGGGAGTATGGTTCGGTTCAAAGGCCATGGATGGGACGGGCTACATTAATTTGATTAAGCTACAAGCAGTATATCAAGTATCGATAAGAAGTATTATTCACATCAGACCTCAAGCAATATGTACAGAATCCAATTCTCACAGATACTAATCAAGCGATTGAACAGCAAACAAAAAGAACCATCCTCCTTTGCGCCCAGGCCAACCCTATGCGAGAGTGTCTATGAACAACAGCAAACAAGTGCCCTTTTTTTCAAATAACGGACGCCAACAAATCGCTAGACATTAAAAAGGTATTCGACAGGGGGAATTAAAGTCTCGAGAACTCGAAAATGGGGAATATGAGGTGAAAAAGAGAAAAACGGAAAAAAAGGAGACCCTTCTGTCAGCAGAAAGGTTGATAGACGAGCAATTCGTAAGAATACATCGTAGGTGAAATAAGGTGGTGGTGGTAGTGGCTCAAATGAACCCAATTAACGTATCAAGATCTATGTCTTTAATAGGAGACGATGGTCCGGGCTGTATTAATTACCCTTGGCTTTGGTGACTGGATCGAGAAAGTCGAGATGTAGACCGTCTACTGCGATGAGATGAAGCACGCTCCGGGGGTGTATGCTCGAAGAAGGGAAGAAGGTCGGGGTTCTGACTGGGCGGGGTGGTCGAGGTCGATAGATATTGGCCCACAATCTGGTCGTCGGCGGCGGTTTCTGGATGGATTTCAATGCCCTGCTGCTTGTCCAGGCCTCCGTGGGGACTGGACCCTCCAAACTTGAATGATTCACCATCGGACGGTGCCCTCTCGATTGGGGACCAGCCGGCAATACTGCCAGCAACCACGCCGGCCATAGCCGCGGCAGGTCCAAATGTCGAGTTCGACCGAGATCGAGTCCGACGTCGAGACCGTGAGTCAGGGCTAGCAGGCGGGGGCGGAGTGATGCTTCCGTCACCATTCGGCGTTCCGGGGATCGAGTTTTCTCTGGACCGCGAACCGCTGCGCGATCTCGGCAGCAGTTCTTGAGGGTGCTGCAGCTTGTGCTTGATGTGTCTCAGGCGACCTCCACGAACCGTCTTGAGGAATCGCAGCTGATCGCGGATCTCTTCCAAGGCAGGGTTCCACTCGAATCGTCGATCTTCATCGGACACCAGAAGTTCGGGTCTCTTCTTGCGAATCGCAAAGCTGGGAACTAACTTTTCAAACAGGAAGTCGGGGATAAGGCGAATGATCACTCCAACGGGAAGAGAAATGACGCCTAGAACCAAGCCGATTCCCCATTGAGGTCCGTTCAGCCGGGCAACAGAGAAGGCCTCTCCACCAACAAAGATGATCAAAACTTGACCGCCGATGATGATAAGTTGAATACCCAAGAACCATCGATTACGGATCATGCCCTCGAAGATATTGAATCGATTGTCGAGGCGTCGAGAGTTCCACTGGTTGAAAATTTGCATCCATACGAAAGTGTTGAATACCACCGTCTGGTGTTCTTTGCCATCGTATAAATGGGCGAAATTCAAGGCAAAAGTAACGGCGAGCTGGTAGATACTCTGTCCGATGATCATTTTCCACATAGTCAAGGTAATCAACGGGCTAGATTTCGGTTCAGGTTTACGATTGAGGACGGTGGGAGCCGGGGGATCCGTAGCTAGAAGGGTATATCATTAGCACATGAGACCTCGCGATGAGTAGACCAACATACCCAGAGCAAGTGCAGCAAAAGTGTCCATGATGAGGTTGACCCACAGCAGTTGTACCGCTGTCAAGACCGATTCCTGATCACCACTGGCGACTGCAGAGACAAAAGTGAGGAGAACCGCCGTAATGTTGACCGTGATTTGGAACTAAGCAACGTTAGCATCCGCCGGTCCCTTAGCGTTCCATATTTAGGACGGGGTTTCCTACCTGCAAGAATTTCTTGACCGCATCATTCACCGTTCTACCCCAAGCCATAGCCTTAATGATAGAGGTGAAGTTGTCGTCCATGAGGATGATATCTGACGCTTCCTTGGCAACCTCAGTTCCGGAAATTCCCATCGAGAAACCAACGTCGGCCGTTTTCAAAGCCTGAGCATCGTTCGTCCCATCGCCTGTAACCGCTACTGTTTCGCCCATTTTCTTGAGCTGAGTGACGAGGATCTTCTTATCATCGGGGCTTGACCGCGCCAGAACCTGCAGTCGTGGGATGATTTGATTCATCTGGCGAGTGCTGAGCTTGCGGAACCGAGGACCTTCGATGGCCACACCTCCGGGAGTAAAGATTCCACACTCCTGGGCAATAGCCTTGGCAGTCATGATGTTGTCTCCTGTGACCATTCGCACGAAAACACCTGCCTCCTGGCATTTCTGGACCGACTCCGTGACGCCCGAGCGAAGAGGATCCTGGATTCCAAAGATACCAAGCATGGTCATATCCTTGAAAATTGGGTCGAATGCGGCAAGGTTGCGGTCTTCCTCCTGCGTCGGTGCACCGCGCGGCGGCCATTGCTCGAAATCACGGTAGAGCAGCCCAATTGGCCGCAGCGACTGCGATGCGTAGTGAGTGATGATTTGATCCAGCGTGGAGCGATCATCATCAGACAAGGGTTTCTCGGACAGGTCCTGCGTGGGATCACCAATGACGCGGGTGCACTTGCGAGCCAGGATTTCCGATGCACCTTTGACCAACATACGGTACTTTCCATTGTCCATTTTGTACACGGCCGCCATGCACTTTCGACCCGAATCAAAAGGCACCATCTGCACCATTGTAGCATTGGACCGTGCCTCGCTAAGCGATCCCATCCCAAGATATGTCCGCGCAAATCCCAGGAGGGCAGTCTCGGTTTTTGAGCCGATGAAAGTCATCACTCCCTCCTGTTCGCCTTCGAATGCGGTGGAGTTGATTATGATAGAGTCGAGCAACAATTCCTTGACCGGACGTGCGAGGGCCGAGGCGAATTCAGAGGGCGAAAGAGCGCCGGACGGGTCATGGACCTCGCGGTTTTCGTTTTCAGCGTTGGGATTAGGAGAAGCGCTGGGAGTTGCCTCCCGCGATTTTCCTCCAAACTTCAGCGTCGTTCCTAGAGTAGCGGTAACAGCGGTCATCTTATTCTCCGTGAGGGTGCCCGTCTTGTCGGAGCAGATCGTTGTCGCATTGCCCATGGTCTCGCAAGCGCGAAGCAGTCGCACGAGGTTGTTGTCCTTAAGCATCCGTGTGGTGGCAAACGCAAGTGCTAGCGTTACGGCCAGAGGCAATCCTTCGGGGACGGCGACAACGATGACAGTAACAGAAACGATGAAGATCTGAAGGAATGCTTGACCTTTGTTGTCGGCACCCTGGATGGTCTTCAACTGGGCCAAGAATTTGATGAAAAGCACCACGAAAAGAAGCAAACCTGCAGCCAAACCAAGCTTCGCGATGTACTCCGCGAGCACGTTCAGCTTGGACTGCAGCGGAGTGGTCTGGCCCTCGTCCTGAAGAGACATCATCGTCTTACCGTAGGAGGAATTGACTCCGACCGCGGTGACTAAAAACGTACCGACACCTTCGGAGACCTTCGCACCGGATAGGATGAACGGGTCTAATTTGGAAAGATTTTCGTGATGTTCGATGGCGCGAGAAACTTCATGAGCCGCTGTTTTGTGCAATATGTCGGACTCGCCGGTGGCAGAAGATTCGTCACATTTAACATTGTGGCCATCGATGAAGATACCGTCGACGGGAATCAGATCTCCGGGTTCGAGGTACATGACGTCCCCAACAAGAACGTCGTGGACCGAGATTTCCATTGTATTTCCCGAGCGCATAATCTTAACCAGCCGATCGTCCTTCTTCTTGTTCAGCTTCACAAATTGACGCTCTTTCTGCCAGTCATTAGCCGCTCCCACAACCACCACAATGATAATGGCCACTAGAATAGCCACGCCTTCCACCCACTGCACACGTGCCTCGCTGCCCTTAGCCGTGACGGACTGGTAGATACCAATCGCTAGTGAGATGATTGCAGCAATCGTCAGAAGGATCAGAACCTTATCGTTATAGGCGATCCACGCCAGTTCAAAGATACTTTTGGCTTTCTTTTCCGGGAGTTTATTGTTTCCATAAATCCGCTTCCTATCCGTGAACGATCGATCTGCGGATTTCGAGAGGCCGGTGGTGGTTCGACTCGGGGGTAAAGGAGGCTGCGAATCAGACTTCGGTTGCGCTTCCGGTTGTCGAGAGGTGACATCTTCAAAGCTCACGGTGCCCTCCAAAGTTGTTTCATCTAGACTCAGGCCGCTACGGACGTTGGTGCGCAGCCCCTTTTCTAGGCCCTGGATCCCACCCACCGCATGGAACGCACCGAGACTCTTCGGGTTCAGCAGCTTATTCAGCTGACCCGGGGAAAAGGCGAATCGGTTGTCCTCCACGTTGAACTCCTCTTCACGACCCGGATCTGGCTTGAGAGCTTCGTCGTCATCGATGAGCGTGTGCGCCAGGTCAGAGCGGGACCCCTGGGATGTTGTCGGCACGTACGTGTCCCCGCCGTAGGAACTCGGATTTGTATCTTCGGACTCTAACGAATTTCCCCGAGACCTGGTGCCCGGGACCGACAAATAGTTGGAATTCGACATGGGTTCAGTCATCTTTGAGGTGGGCGAGGAGACGTTGTGCGGGGAGGTCGGTCTGCTTTCGTGGTCTCTTGGTTCCGACGAGGTGAACGAGCGGATTGATGCCGGCGACCGCGTGTCAAATGGCGAAACACTGCCGTTGCTTAGAAGCGCACTGGTATCCCCGGCGTCGACATTTTCCGAAGAGATATGGACCGAAGGCTGAGCCGAACTGGGCAAGAACTGATGCGGAGGATGGGTCTGGTCTGCGGGTGAGGTCACGGCCGAGGTGTCGATAGTGATTGTCGGCGCCCGTTCCCGTCGCAGGGGAGCTGGCTGCTTGGAATCCACTCCATCCGATCTGGAATCCGACATGATCGTCCAAAGGGGTGTTCAGAATGGCCGGGGATGGTGGGTCTCAAGGAGCGCAGGTACGGGATAAACAGTCGAAAACAGGGATAGTGATCTCAGTAAGAATGCGGCTGCAGCAGGACCATATCCATCGAGTCTCGTCGGATCATAAATGAAGACCAATCGTTGAACGGGAATACAGGTGGAATGTAGAAAGAACAACTGCTGAATACTGCCGATTGAGCTCGTCCCAGGTGGATCGAAGGTCAAGGAGAGACCGTTCAGAGATATCTCATGTGTGAATGTATTCTAGTTCATATCAAATCGACGTTTCCCAGCTCATATGGCTGAAGATTGGGAGATGCGCAAAAACAGGCCGTTACGGAGGAACCTATGAGCGCAAAACGATGCCGAGTTGTCTGGAAGAGGAAACTGCCCTTGAGCGCTGATGCTGCAAATCTGAGGTGAGAGTAATTAAAAGTAGAGGGACACGACTGGCGGTTGTTGGGTATTGTCGTTTGGGGGGATGAACAGCCACAACGATCTAGACGGGGAGTAGAAAAGGACTGGAGACCCCCGAAATTACAGGGGAGCTATGAGTCGAGACTGGAGGTTGCCGGAATAACAGCCACGTTGAGAGAGAGAGAGAGAGAGAGAGAGAGAGTGTGTGTGTGTGTGTGTGTGTGTGAATAACAATAATAAAGGCTGTCAGCCACGACGATTAGACCTGTGAAGTGTCAGTTCCCAGAAGTTGGCAAATCCGCGAAGACAGCGGCGGCCACACGAAAGCGCGAGCGACGAGCGAGGGAGACAGACACGAGGGGTGGTGTACTGAGTAATGCGCCTAATACAACCAACGCCGAGTCAATGGGTAGAAGAAAGGGCAAAAGAGAATGGTCGTCAATCAGAGACAAAAGACAGAAACGATGGGAGGAAAGAGGATGAAGATTAGGGTATGAATTACGTGCTGTTGGACTTTGGAGGAGCAGCAACAGCAAATTAAGGTGTCGGGAGAACCGTGGACGAGACGGACTTCGCTGTCGTCACAGACTCTTACAATACGGGAAAAATGGATTCCAGACTTGAGTCGCCCGAAACCTCGTCTGGCCTATTCGGGACTAGCGTGCAGAGAGACCCTGCACCGTGAGACGCCACGACCAATAACCAGGAGGCAACTAGGATGCATGCGGTATGAAGACCCGTTGGCGGCATCCGTACCTGCCCGGTTTGGCAAGCACCTCTTTTGCATCCTGCCCGTCAGCCCCACTCACTCCGCCGAATCGGTCGAGATCCCCCCCGTACGGTAATGACCATCGGGCCCCTTTAGGTAATCAGCCTGCGGGCCTTAACTACCTTTCTTTAGACCGGGAGTATACAAATAATGAACAGAAGAAGAAGGATACTGAAGATGTCAAAATAATGAATATTGCATGTTCATGTTCATGTTGATGGTCAGGCCGAAAGTGGAGGTCCCCGTTACCACTGCCCACGGGTGCGTTCACCAAAGAGACTTGGTGCTGCAACGAGCTCCGACTTGTCAAACGCTGGAATGTAACTCGTCGTTGGCTATTTTGCACTGCCTCAATTGATCCCCGTCTTGGAACTCTCTTTTTTTCTTTTTCCTTTTTTTTTCACCTCCCCCTCCCCTTTTTAGGAGGACTTATTTCTGATTATGATAATGATTATTTTTTTTCATTTTACTTTTATTTTTCAGATTTGATCTTCGCTTCAACGAATTTTCATTGAAGTCGACTCACAAAGACTGAATTATATTTATGCTCCCTTCGTATCCACACACTGCCAACCTTCTAGACGGTTTCTAATTAATTAGGCCGGCACCACTTCAACTTATTTCCGCCACTGTCATGGCATTTATATTTTATTATCATCATTTAATCTTCACACATCCACCGCCAGTCCGGAAAACTTGACGACTTGTAGAGCCGCCCCCTCGTTCATATCGAATTCTAATCCTATCTACTAGTAGTAGCTCCTCCATAAGCGTTCTAGCATTGCCAACCAACCAACACTCAACAAGAGGATCAATCACGATCGATCGTATAATAATTGCGGCGGTCAGAACCGAGAACCAGAAATGGGGGCTCCACTCGGCGATGAGTTCGATATACTACATTACTACTACTCCGTACGTGCGACTGCGTACTTCATACTCTCTACGGAGTACGTAGTACTTACTACTGGGCAGTGAGCACTGAATAGGCCAGAGGCTGTCACTGGAGCGCCATCATCACGAATTGACTATTCGATTTCCCGCCGCCACTAATGCAGTCTCCGTCCACCGGAACTTTAAAAGCTCCTAACAGATCCCGAGATATTCACAATTTAACTGTCAGTGTTCGGCGTTTATACGGAGTTGTGTTCACTATTCAGTATTCACAACTTCATAATCATATGGAGAAAGCACGGGAATCCCCCGGCCTCTCGCCTACATGTCAGACGAATATCGGTCTGTCTTCCAGTTTACCGAGGGAATGACCCGAATGAACCAGACCGACACAGTTGATCAGGATCTTCAGGCCCACAGTGTCAAAAGGAAAAAAAAAAAAAAAAAAAAGAAAAAAGAAAACGAAAAAAAAGTCATACATAATGAATGAATGACGGAGCAATTAGGGTCTGTGGGTCTTGGCAAATGGGCGGTGCAGGCAAGGACCCATAACCACGTCCATCCACTCCGTTCTGGCCTCCTTTTTTTTGGGTCCCTTTTTTTTTCATGCACTCTCCTATCTTGCTCAGCGGGTGCGGAGGACTGAGTTTGCGGAACCATATAGTTACTCCCTCCATAGATAAGTACGTAAGTAGGTAGGTAGAGCAGGAAAGCGCTGATGTGGCCTGTGGCCTGTGGCCTGTGTACGACATAACCAAACGATGATGCCATAATTTGAACCACCGTAACCACCTAAATAGGAATTAGATTACTCCATCAAATACGGAATCCATACTACTGGACGACCATCACCTTGTTTACCTAGGCTGGCAAGTGGTCAGTGGCCACTGCCAAACTAGCCAACTAGACTAGCACTATCATCTAATATTTACTCCAACAGCGCCTGAACCGTTACACTTCCACTTCCTTCCACCTACCCGACCTTACAATCCCGGCTGCAAATGAAAGCGCACTTCCGGAGTAAGTGGACCTAGTCACAGCACTATCCAGTCGTGATCCTTGCGTCTTCGAGGTTGAGAAACATATAGCGTATGCGGGTGACGTAGTAGATGATGGCTGGGTTGAGGCTAACTAACCATTGGGGTAACTAGATGGAGCTCATGAGCCCATGGTGGCGTGGCATGATGATTGATATGCTCTCCGGTGGGGGAAGGTTATATCAGGTACAGGACCTTGTTAATTGCTAGGGACCATTGAAGTCCGTCGTGCACCCTTATCAGTTACATATCCTATCCTATCCTGCAATTCCAAGAACATCTACGATGCACATAGAATGACAGAAGGATGTCACTCAAGCTCAAACATACTTTTCACAAGCACAATAGCTCCAAAGCTAACCTCAACGCCTCTGTATGCCTGAATGCGTGCATGGATAGCTAAGCCTCGATTGACATCATTATTGTCTCACTCACACCCAACCAACCAGACAATGCTATTTAGCTCAAGGTACCGGGCCTTCCATAAGTATGGCCTACCCCATTAGTAGATATCCACGACCTATCTATACATGTAATACCGACTTGTGAACTGAATCCAAGCATCATATATCCCCAACCTGACCCGAAAATCCATACTATATCTATATATATAAAAGCGGTCTGATGCAACCGGCCTAGTCGATAAGGACTGAAGACCCAAGCCCAACGCTGTACAAACTGGCTCTTCCCCGGGAGAGACAGGTTAGACAGTTTCAATAGCTATGAATATATACATGTGTTACGTCGCACCGCCGACGGACATACATACGTACATCGAAAGTTGGGTAGAGCGGTGCAGGTGGCACGGAGGATAGGAATGGGGGTCATTAAGTAGGTTAGTGGAATTACGAGTAGGGTAGGACGACCCAATAAATGAATGTAGGTTGTGCTACTGTCCTAGTTGGGTCTTTGGTGCCTGTTTAGGACATAGTCTGAGGGGGTGGTGTAACCTTCTAGACACCCTTGATTCTAGGTCAGATGATAAGGTAGGTAGGTATTCTTCGTTATCGATCTAAATTGAGAAGTGGCCACCGAGAATAATGATAATCGTGAAATCGAATCAAGTGACGGCCGGAGGAAAGCGTCGCTTGTTCTCTCTTGTATCTTGTATGCAGTCGAGCTAAATAGAATAAAAACTGTCCCCCGTCAAAGCGCCCCCAGAAATACTCCTCATAAATCCAGTCCAAATGCAATCAGCTGGGGCTTTTGACCGGTCTCCCCATTCCTGCCAGTTCATATTCGGACAAGGGATGGGGTAATAGAAACACAAAAATAAAAGCAATGGGGATAATATACAAGGCCCCCTTTTCAACGCATCATACAGTACATTCAGTCTGACCCGGGGAGATTCCCATCTTGGGGCACCCTGACGTTCCAAAGTCCCAGAGATTCACCACCCAGGAGCTTCTTTTCGGGGTCCGCTCCTGTGTTGACCATGGCTTTGCTGGAAAGAGCCAGAGCTTCGACCAGCTCCCTCATGCGGCGAGATGTAACGAAGCAGCGGGTCAAGAACTCGTTTTCGGCTAGTTGGATTCCTAGATTCATGCATTGCACTAGATTATCGCTCGTGAGGACACGTGCCGAGTAATAGAGAGCAGCATGGTAGTCAAGGAACAATTCCGGAATGTAAGTGTTCCGGATCTCCTCTAGCTGAGCTTGTTCATTCTCTGTGACATCAACGCCTATTAGTTTCGGGTTCAACCACTAACTAAACATGAAAAGAAGCATCGAATCTTACCGTTCGCAGCAATGGTCAACCATTCATCCAACACCGCATCAACATGCACTGCTATTTCATCCAAGGCTTCTTGAAGTGCCTCTCGCAAATCATGGATGGTGCCAGAATCGCGTCGGTGTTTGGTCCTAATTTCGGTTTGGTTAGCCCAAATATCCCCCCGTAGATTTGTCAGTTGGCTAAACATACTTATCAATCTTGTCATACGTATTGGCAAAGGCCTCCAGGGCTTCAAAGCCTAGAACCAATTCTTCCAATTCCCGCATGAGTCGTGACTGTTGAATGAGAATATTGGTCTCGCCGCTCGACGGAACTCCATTGGTGGCGGACCGACTGCGTCGGTGAGACCCGAACAATCTCTTGGTCGGGCTGGTCGGCTCGATAATAGAATCCAACCCATCAATGATGTTGACGGGGAATTCAGTGACGTCAAATCCAAAGAGTTCGCGCGACACATCAGACAATCCCATGCGGTGGGTCAGCTCTCGCGCAGCCGCAAATTTACCACTTACTATTTGATAGGGTCAATAAACGGGGAAAAAATAAAGTTGCAACGGCTAGCGCTGGGACCGTGGGAGTACATACGATAGAATTGCTTATAAAGCTGAGCACCCAGGTGGCAGATCCTGCCCCATTGTCCATCGACATAACGGAGCCACTCGAGACTGCGAATAATTCGTTCGTCGGCGCCGGAGAGATCGGTTCCGATAAGATCTTTCTTGACAGGGGCGAGCTCGCGGACTCCATCCTTTCGAATGACCACCTTGGGGTAAGTGTTGCGAGACCTTTTATGCTCCACAGAAGAAACGCTGTCGCTGATCCAGTTCCATTGGTCTTGAAGTACGGCTTCAATGTCAATGGCGTGCTTGTCCATGAGTCTGACGAGCAATTTCCTTTCCTGCGGATCGACGACCTCAATCAAGACCTGCCCAAGAACGGAGTGTGCCATGTTTCTCGGTAGCAAAGATGCATAAGAGGGTATAAGATCCACGAGACCTGCCTCCTCGAGGTTGGCGATGTACCCGATCACATTCACGGCTGCGACATCGGAAAACTGAGTATCCGTGCGGACGTTTCCAAGGGAGTTGGCAATGACGTAGAGATGGGTGGCAATGCGCAGAGCGTCGCCATCTTCGGCCGCGATGAGAAGGGAGTCTTCGACGTTGATCGGTGACAAGTCGGGGACGAAAGTCGTTATCTCTGACTTGGTCGTCGCCGCCTGCGAGACTGCCTTGGCCAGGGAATGGAAGAAATTATCATATCCTTTGCTTATGATCGCAGCCTGGATGGTGCGATATGGGTTGCGCGCCTCGACTCCGACGCGTTCGTTGCCCTTGGTGTACAAGACGAACTTGTGCACGTCTCCGTAGCCAGCCGGTTCGGGTACAAATGCCACGGGAGTTGTGGGCGAGTAGGTCAGCTTTCGCTGGAATTGCTTGCAGAACCCTTGGTAGCGAGAGAGTACGACCTTGTTGAAGTAAACATAGATGTAGTCATCCCAGTTTTGACTGACCTTGAAGGCTGCCTCTGTCTCGCCGCTAAGAAGCCCGTAAACGGCCCGCTCGAAATCCTCGGCGTGTTGGTTGCGAGCAAGCGCAGAGCAGGCAGCTCTCCAGGTGTTCTGCGATCGGCAATTCATCATGCGCGTAGCGCTATCATCGACCGGCGTTCGTTCGCTATGCGCCTTTTTATCCACGCTGGATCCACACAGGCTGACTGCCCGCCAATTCTCCAGACGTGCTTGTGCCCACTCACGAATCCGAGTCCAGTCCTCCCCCTGTCTGAGCATCTTCCAGCAAGCCATCCACGTGGCGCGCTCGTGGTACTGGTCCTGTTTTTGGAGACCGTGCTTCTGGCGAGTGATGGCATCGGGGTCCAGCTGCGTGATCAGGGGTTCCGTTTTCTCGGAGTTCAGGAGAGACGTTGCGATTCCGGGATCGTTGGGTTCAAGGGGTTGTGGCCAGGCCCTAAGCCGCTTCTGACCCTTGATGGCCTCCTTCGTATAGAGCCAGCCATGAGTCCATAAGCCTTCTCCCCTTTCGGCTTGTTTCTCCAGCTCAGTCATAACCGAGTCGATATCCTGGGCCGAGGACTTCGCGGTAAGCTCCAACCATTTCATAATGATCACACATTCTAGCGCGTAGTGGTCTGCCTCCAGGAACTGCTCCCAGATTTCGCGATCGGACGAATAGCGGTGGAGTTTTTGGAAGGCGGTCTCCTGGGCTTGCTTGGCACTGGCTATGCTGGGGGGGTCATTGATACTGATGAGATTGAGTAAAAGCTGCCAGGTGTTTGCTTCCAAGTGAAGACGCTGCAATTCCTCCTCGGTCTTGGGGTCATGCGCGGATCCGTTGGCTCGATTCGAGTTCCAGCCCAGTTTGGCGCGTCGCAAGGTGCTCTGCTTGGAGATGTCGTTGATGGCGTCCTGCGCGATGGTTTGGTAGTTCTTCACCAGCTGGTAGGCAGCTTGGTAGCTTCCAAATTCATCGGCGCGACTGCCCTGTTGCTTGAAGCGATCCAACTTGTCCGCGAAAGCCTCGATTTGGCGCGTTACCCGGTCGGCGGTGCGGCGAAGGGGGTGTAGCGCTTCTTGCGCACCAGCGGATGTAAACAATTCGGGAGCGGGAGCATTCAAGGTTTCTTGCATAAAGTCAGCCATTTTCCCCAATGGGCAAAACCGCGTGGACAACGGAAACATACTGTGACCATTCGGGGCAGGAGCCAAATCCAAAGGCGACTCACTGCCATTCAGGCCGTTGGTCTCATCACCGTAGTCGTCCTGGGACTCGTCCTCGCCGTCCTCCGTCTCATCCATTTCTTCGTCTTCGTCTTCTTCGCCCTCGTCCTCATCCTCATCTTCATCCTCATTTGTGTCTAGACCCTCATCCTCGTCCATAGCTTGATCATCGACGATTTCATCGCTGTCGTCATCGAGCTCGATAACCTCGTGTCCGTTCGAAGGAAATGGCTGCGAAGACTTTAATCAGAAGGAACGGATGACGAACCGGGTCAGCTAAACAAGTTCTCGGAGAGGCAGTAAAAAAAAAAACAAGTACTCACATTGACGGGGGCAAAGCCGGCGGAACCGGTCGGGCCCGTAGCTCTCGTCAAGGGAGCCATGAGAAGCACGGCCGGCGTGTCTGGCGGGGATCAAAAGCGCTTTCACGGAACTGAAGCTTCTCGAGAGCCGAGCGTCCGAAGGAGATTAGGATGGGGGGAAGCGGAGGAGAAGAGAAGCAGCAGCAGCGAACTTCTTCCTCGTTCCGCGTGTTTTGGCGCCAGCGGGCCACTAGCGCCCAAGGGGGTTTAGCGCGGACCAGCGCACGCATTGAAAAACCGCGGATTTTCTCCTCGCTTTTTCTCTTCCTTTTTCTTTCTTTTCTTTCTCTAATGTCATTTAGGCAGTCATTAGAGTCTCGAGACGAGCGCTTCAATCTTCGTCTAGGTCTATAAGGCCTCTCTGCGTGCTCACGATTGTCTTAGAGAAATTCTGGCAATTACTCAACTAGTCTAGCTCTGATTCCTAACATGAGGGCTGAGACTGCAAAGGAATTGTCACATCCCGATTTTTCGATTTGGATTCGCTTGATGGTGTGAACTCGCCAAATCACTTCGAAAAACTCTTCCAATCTATTCTCTACGCTTTATACCACAATGCTATGTACAAGGTCATCGATGGCCGTCTTGAACGAAAGACTTAAGGGGGCAAGGGAAAATTCGTAGGTCGTTAGGAAGACTCCTGTGCCCGTTGCTTCATCTTCAGCCTCAGCAGATCGGGTTTAGGACAACTAGGGGTTTTCGCTTCCTCGCCTCGATCTTGGTAGAACGAATTGCAGCATTCATATAGGGCATTGATTTGTGCCTGGCACTTTGCCTCCTGGTAAGAATTTTTTGTCAGGCAGGCTGGTTCAGGGTTAGCATGCGGTAAAGGAAATGATCCATGACCAAATATATACCTTGGATAGCACACTACTCGACCAGTCAACATTGCATTGGATTTTTACCAGATCAGTATCTAGTCAAGACTTACTGCTCGTGGATGACAGGGGGGATCGGAGGCCAAATCTTCTCTCGTGTTTCCCTGTATTTCTACTAGTTATTCACCATCCCAGGACCTGCGGTGCTCTGCGTGGTGCTCTGCGTGCCGTGAGAGCTCTTACCATGATGTAATGTTAACTAGCAAAATGAGTGGCAGGTGAAAAAGACTTCAATTATTCACTGGACACTTGCGTTTCTTTCACTGCAAGCTGCAGGCTCTTTGCTCTGGCTAGCAAGCGACCAATTAGTCCAAAGAAGCTAGGGCAGAAGGAAATGGCGTGAAGTGATTGATTGCATGCAGAGTGATCCTGCACCCAACCGGCCTCCCAACTCCCCCAGTCAACCTCTTCCGCCTCACCGCCTTCACTGCCCTGCACCGCAAAAACAGATTATCCGAGGTCTCTCTGCTGGTGGGGTTTCCAGTTGCTTCTCAGCCATGAGATTCACACCTCCGATCTCTCGCTCTCCCTCTGCCTCTCCTGTGTCATCTCCTTCTCCCGTCTTCCATACCTGCTCCAAAGATCGCTCCGGCTCTGACCATTCGTCATCTCAGATCCCTCCAGCTCATCCAGGTAAGTTGTCATCCCAACCCATTTCTCGCCTGCCTCGCTCGTTCCCCTCTTTGCGACTTGCGACGGTGAGGGGCGAATCCTCTACGAAAACCAGGCTGACGGGCTCTGCCACTCCAACAGCCACTCTACCCGTCTCACAGAATCATCCATCTCGCAACAACATCGAAATGTCCGACTCTGTACCTCCCGCCGGCGAGGCTCCCGTAGAGCATTTGAACATCAAGGTCACGGACAACAACAACGAGGTCTTCTTCAAGATCAAGCGCTCCACTCAGCTGAAAAAACTCATGGATGCCTTCTGCGACCGCCAAGGCAAGCAGCTGTCTACCGTTCGCTTCCTGTTCGACGGAACCCGTGTGCGCCCCGAAGACACCCCGGACACTGTATGCTCTATCGCTTGTCGCATTTTATTTCCCCTCCTCTTCCTCCACTTTTCCCCCAATTGAAGATCATTCCCGCTAACCTCTTTCATTACATCCAGTTGGAGATGGCCGACGGCGACACTCTCGAAGTCCACCAGGAGCAGATCGGAGGCTAGATCTAAATCGCGAAAGAATTCGAATTCTGTCCTTTCGTTCTTAGCTTCTTTTATCTATCTCTACGTCTCGTCATGTGGACATGTTCGATATCCTCATCTTTGTTTCTCCCCGTTTCCCTCTGACTATTCAATGTTTTTTACGTCTTATTTTCCCTCGCATACGAGACGGGCGCTGTGGTGTTTGCATTGGAACCTTTCAAGTTTTTGACATGACTTGATTGGTGGCATGGACGAAATGATGTCTTGTCTTTTCTTCACGATTGACTACCTACCTGTCTACCCTTACGATCTACTTTTTTTAGACCAAAAAAAAGAAGATTTAACTTGTACTCAAAAAGGCCATTTAAAAAAATACCTGCATTCGACCGAAATAGGCATGCTTTTTTCTACTTGAAACCTTCAAACGTCGTCTTCAAAACTTTCCTGGTTACGTCCCTACCAGAGGGCTCCGGGAAGCAGAGAGGGCAGTAGTTCTGTTACACTCGAGTTAAGGATTGGCCATTGAAGTGAGAAATACTGAAGAATGTAAGCCAGTTGCGGCATCATAGTTAGTGCAACTGGGACCTCTTTCAGTATGTCCGCTTGCGTTCCGCCCTTTTTTTGCGTTTTTGGTTCCAGTCATGGGTATAAAAAAACTTTTCTTGTTCATTGTAGACTAATAATAGGCCCTTGCATACACCCGGAAAAACAGACCCCACCATCCATCCCATAACCCCTCATAATTATGATTACATCCAAACCCCAGAGCGAAAGAACCTTAATCAAACAGCCCCACAGAAGACCAAATATATGTAAACAGACAAAAGACGGACAGACAAAACAGAAAATGAGAGGTTAAGGAGATAGAATATATAACAAGAGAAACCACCCAAAGAGGAAGTACAATAAGTCAAGTCAAGTAAAGCTAGTTGGCCAGACCAAGGCAAGCATGCTCACATATCCCAAACAGCCGCCTTGGCCCGCTCCTCATCCTCCTTCGCCTTAGCCGCCTCCTCGCGTTCGCGATTCCGCCGCCGGATCTCCTGCTCCTTCACGGTGCGGTCATACGCGCGCTGTTCCTCCGTCCTCTTCGGCGCCCGCATGCCCAATGCCCCCGCAATCATCCGTCCCGCGACAGCCGTCTGCTTCTCGGGCCTCCTGTTTGGTGATCGGGCGCCCGAAGACGCAGACGACGACGGCCCCGTGCTCGTGTACGCCGGGGTCGTAACCCACGGCTGCGACGTCTGCGGAGAGATGGGGGTAGGTGGGGGATCTAGCGGGCCCTCGGCCGTGACGGAGGGGGAGAGGAGGGTTGAATCTGCATCTTGATCTGGGGAAGCGAGGTCCGGAGACGAAGAAGATGAATCGTCGGCTTCGTCTTCCCAAGAGTCGGCGACGGGAGCGGCCTTCTTTTTCTTGGGCGCGGCGGCATTGCTGCCCAGGCGGTTGGACGACATGTTTGTTGTTTGCACGGTGGGGCGGGGTATGTCCTTTACGGGGCTCTGGCCGATGGAGAGACTGTGCAGAGATGAATGAAGCTCGGAGGTTGCTGCTGCGGAGGCTGACATTGGGCCGAGAGAGGGAGGAAGAGGACGTTAGTTGAATGACTGGTTGATTGGATTGGGATGTGGATTTTGGATTGATGAAGGACTTTTGAGGCAATTGAACTAGCTAACTGAGGAGGGCAGGTAGATGAACAGTAGATATAGAGAAAGGAACAGCTCGATAGAGGGAAACAAGAGACTAAGACAGAAGGAAAGGTCACAGAGGGAGTAGTCTGGAGGAAGGAGCTTCGGGGCAAGAGAGGCAAAGACGGGGGAAGGAATATTACACACACAGCGATTCCACCGATCTGCCAGATGGGCCACAGTGGACCGGAGAGATGGAACGGAACGGTGAGTACTACTCCGTAAGTTCTCCGTAAAAGCCAGAGGAAGATCAGACGGAGTCGATAGCCGGTCGAGAACAATGGCAACGGGGAGGGAGATATTAATAGCGAGCAAGAGTTACGGAATGGATGGCGTCAGGCGTGGAGAAAGCAGACCCCGCCTTCGCTCGGTCGCCGCGGGTCATTGGCTCAATGGCTCTGCTGCGCTGGGCTGGCGGTTGATCGCGTTTCATCGTCGTGTCGATGGCTGCTGCTGATCGGTGCAGGTCTGCAGGGAGCTGGACATGTTTCTGCTCTCTGCTTTCTGAGCTGGGGAGTTAGTCCCTTGAAGCGGGATCCCCGGTGGTGCGTAGTATCCGTGGTCTGTACGTAGTAGATTCAGATGGAATGACGTGCCGAAGACAGAGTGTCGGTGGTAACCCTACATTCTGTTCTGGGGTGAGTTCTGACGTAGGAATGAACGAGTGATCATACTATTGCTGTATAATTGCATGTCTTCTCCCTCTTAAAAGTATTTCCACATCGTCTGAGCAACTTCCTGAAAAAGGAGGAGCCCATATCTGCCTGATTGCCTGACTGCCTGAATGCCTCGGGCGATTCACGTGATGACAGTCTGCCAAGAGGACACAGTTCCGAGAGACCCAATCAGCGCCTGTGATCTTCTCTCGTAAACCCCGGTCCCTCGGAAACCACCGGCAATGTAGGTCCGAGACCGGCGAAATGACCGTCTAAAAGGCGGCGGATCTCCCGAGGTCTTTCATCTTCACCTGCACCCCCTCTCCACTTATACAGTGTTGAGACAGACCCTCACGTCGCAATTGCACCATGACTGGCATTTACTCTCTTCCTGCGCGGGCGCAGAGAACGTCGATTTGCCAAACACCCGTGAAGAGATTGAATCGCTTCTCTACCTTAGGACCGAGGTATAGCTATGCGGACACACTACCGAATCTGAAGATTGGCGCGCATACTAGAGTTCTGTTTCAAGGATTTACGGGTGAGAGAGCATATGCAGATAAGAATTGATAGATAGCTATCCCAAGCTAACAATTGACCCAGGCAAACAAGTACATATTTAGACCAGCCTTATGACATAATTGACGGCATCGGGTGCTAACGAGTCCAGGCCACTGCGAATGTGAAAGAGTCTCTAGCTTGGGGAACCAAGGTCGTCGGCGGCGTCAAACCAGGAGTCGAAGGGGAACACCTGGGACTCCCTGTTTTCCCCTCTGTTCGGGCGGTACGCTTTTCTAGCCCCCAATCCACTCAAACACCCGACTTATAGACACAGGCCCAAGATAAAGCGAAACCCGACGCGTCGGCCATCTACGTACCAGGGAACTCCACAGCCAAGGCAGTGGAAGAAGCGATTGAGGCAGAGATTCCCCTCGTTGTAGCCGTCGCCGAACATGTTCCCATCCATGACATCTTAAGGGTACCTTGTCCCCAGTTTCTCGTTTCATATAAGGACATGCAGGGTATTAACTTCCCCCGCAGATCCACTGCATGCTTCAAACCCAATCGAAGACGAGACTGGTTGGCGCAAATTGTCCCGGAATCATTTCGGCGATTGGAAAATGCCGCATTGGCTTCCAGCCCCTCCCCTGCTTCGCGCCCGGTAATGTCGGCATCGTGGCGAAGTCAGGCACCCTGAGTTATGAGACCGTTGCATCGACCACGCGGGCAGGCCTGGGTCAGAGTCTTTGCATCAGCATGGGAGGCGACGTCCTGGCCGGGACGAATTTCGTTGATGCCTTAAAGATCTTCGAGCATGACCCCGACACCGAGGGAATCATTCTTGTTGGTGAGATTGGTGGAACAGCGGAGATTGATGCGGCGGAGTGGATTAAGGACTATCATCGGAGGAATGCGAATCCTAAGTACGCCAGTCTCATTGAGAAAGTCTCAAAGAATCTTGCTGATATCTCAATAGACCCATCATGGCTCTTGTCGGTGGCCGATACGCACCTCCAGGCCGTATCATGGGCCATGCTGGAGCATGGACAGCCCCTGGAGAGCCGGATGCGAGCGCCAAATACAAAGCTCTGGAGAACGCTGGAGCGGTCATGGTTGACCACCCCGAGGACTTTGGACAGGGAATGAAGACCCTATTCAGTAACCGGGGGCGTGTCCAAAGCACAACGGTACGTTTCAACCTAAACAAAAAATGAGCCATGAGGGTTGACAAGATAAAGTTCGCCAATCCGGCCAACCAGAAACGAGGTCTTCATACAATGAAACGCGTGGTCCCCAGACAAAACAGATCCCAGTTCCTCCCACAGTCACAGACTCGCTCCCTCTTCGTCAAACAATTTCAAGCCCTCGACATGCTGAAACAGAAATCCGTCTCCGTTAACGACGCACCACCTTCGGAGTCGGATATCTTCTTATCCTTGACCGTTGATAGAACAGCACTAACCCCCTGCGTTGTAGCCTCCACCAAGGCGGATTTCGACCCCTCGCACACAGCCCGTTTTCCATTCCCATACAAGACTACAGACTTCAATACCTCTAGCCCTCTGATCGGAAATATCGCATCTCAATTACAGCTCCCGGAAACTGCGCGTGGAGGACTAGCGAACCTAGTCCAGGTTTTGTGGCAGATCTTCAAGGAAAAGGAAGCATATCTGCTCGAAGTCCGAGCTAAACCTTCCACGCAAGGGACCTTGGAAGTACGAGGAGCGCGCTTCGGATTCGACGACGCTGCATTCCGAAGCTCAGGGCGTCAAGCCGAGGTTCATCAATTGAGAAACACCGCTGAGGAAGTCCCCGAGGAAGTCGAGGCAGAGAAAGACGGCATCGTCTATGTCAAGTACGTTATATCTTCCGATAAAAAGAAACATTAATCATGACACTATACTTACTAAGATAAAACCAGACTCGACGGTGAAGGCAGTATCGGCACTCTAGGTAACCGAACTTCTTTTCAGTGGCATAAAGGATAACAAAGCTAACAAGACATCCACAGTGAACGGCGCCGGCCTGGCAATGAACACAGTCGACGCACTCACTCTCCACGGCGGCCACTGCGCCAACTTTCTCGACACCGGCGGGAAAGCCACGTCGGAGACCGTCAAGTCGTCATTCCGGATCATCATCTCGGATGCGCGCGTGAAGGCCATTTTCGTGAACATCTTTGGCGGATTGACTCGGTGTGACATGATCGCTGAGGGAATCATCATGGCATTCCGGGACTTGAATATGAGCGTGCCCGTTGTGGTGAGATTGAGGGGAACGAATGAGGAGGAGGGGCAGAAGATGGTAAGATGATTTGTTTCTTCGATGATGTGTGATGGATACTGATATTTTCGAATGTCTAGATTGCCGAAAGTGGCCTGCCTCTTCACGCCTTTGATAAGTTTGAAGATGCAGCAAAGAAGGTGATCGGTCTTGCTTCAGGGAAGCCCTCTAGTGCATGATATAGAGTGTTCCGTTATCAGGTGGGATAGATAATGGTAGATGCCAAGATATAGGTATACATTTGATATAAATCTCTTAGATGAAATAAATGAGCGCTTATTACCCTGTGAGGCTTTTTACGAGTCAACGTCGCTGTAGAGAAATCGGGTGCCAGGGATGGCCTGCCGAAATGGTCAAAAATGAATGAATTGGATTGCTTAAGTTGATTGCGATGATCAACTATAGAGGGGAAAAGAGGTCAAATTTACTCCTGTCTTGACAAAGATGACCAAATACATGTTATCTTCATGGCTAATTTCATGGCTTCTTCCTTTCGTACAGAGGTTTTTGGAACTTGTCTTTGAGAGACCTTCGGAACGTGCCTTTGACGGATCGCCCAACCCTGTCGCCAACCCCCGGAGAGCCCATAGTATCAAGTGTAGACACAGGTTTTGGTTCCGAAGAAACCACACGCCAGTCTGTGGAAAAGCAGGGGCAGCCCAGAATTAAACCTCGAAGCTCTGGGATAGATATTCTTTCGTCGGGATTGTTTTCAAGGATGCGGCTCAAGATGACAATAGCCTCGTCGGACAGAGGTAGGATTGCTTTCAAGAAATACGGGTCCTTTAAGTAGGCCCGATACGTGGAATCCTCTATGGAAGCCAATTTCCATGGATTGCAGCCACATATCAGATTGACAAGGTTGATGCCAAGGCTCCAGATATCATGGGGAGCTGAGGCGTACACTTCTGAATTTGGTTTCGACGACAAAGATTCTTTGCATCGAGATTAGATTGTCAGTGGAGCTATACCTAGCAAGCATGAAAGAGAAGCATGAGCTTACCTGGAGACGCATAGAATTTGCGCTTATAGTTGAATGCCACTGAGTAAGGACTTGCGGTAGCAAGCTCGAAACTAGATAGCTTGAGAGTATTTCCTTGATCCGCGACAGATATGTGCTCTGGTTGGATATTGAAGTGGTAGACCCCAAGCTCATGGCACTGGTGAACGGCATCCAGAATTTGAACGAAGACTAGCTTGATCAATGTATCATTCCCAACATACATTCCCTTCTGAGTGATACCATGAAACAGGTCACCCTCCGGATAAAACTCCATAACAACGTATGTGCAGTTGGGCGAATCCATAATACGGATCAATGGAACCACATTGGGATGTCGAGTGGCCATATGATGGAGTCTTATCTCTTGCTGTGCCTATGCCCTTTCTTTTTCATCATCAGCTTTCGGGAACGCCTTAACTGTGTAAAGTATTCTGGTTTGAATATCTAAACCCGTGTATATGGCATGGCCACGACTATCAATATCCAGGTTACTTATCAGTTCAATCTGATTGGCTAATATAAAGCCCACGAGATTCTCTTGTGGAGTTTCATGGGCTTCATGTTGGTTGGTAAAAGTCATAGCCTGGAAACCGTCGATACTCAAGAGTCGACCTCTAGGCTTACTGATATCGGTTCTAGGGAGATCTTCCTACACTACTCAAGGCGCACGTGCCAAAAAATGGACAATACGAATTTGCGAAGAAGATCAAGTTCAGTCTGCAGAAAGATGATCTAGAAAGGCAAATCAGAGATCTTAACGAAGTCACTGAGAAGCTACGCAGAATACGAGAGACGAGCGCGGCCAAGACCGAAGTGACGCTGCAATCTACATCTCAGACAATCGCAAAGTTCACGTCGGCTCTGGGTACTGTTCGGAATTATGCACATCAGTTGTATTTAGCTGTTTCGGCCGCTTACACGGCGGACTGTCACAGTGGGCATGAAACAAGATTGTTTCTTCAAACTCGATCGGCACTGATGGAGAGAAAAAGGAAGCAAGTGGGGCTTAAGAAGACGCCTGTTGCATTTACCGTGGCATTTCTTCCAAGCGACATTCAGCCAAAGCCGACAGTAAGCTACGAGACTGACGTGAAAGTGCTAGAAGAAGAAATCGACAATAACCATGCAAAGTGGGTCATCATTAAATTGATCTGTAATGAGTACTAACATAGTACCAGCATCAAGACAGGGCCGCAACATACCATAGTTACTATCAATTTGCCAGAGAAAAAGCACAGCCCGCCACCTCAAGACCTGGATGATCTCTGTTACTCCATACAACAAGCAACGGATGGCGGCTAGGGCCTCGACTTGTATCTTTCCCAAGGCGGATGTCTCTGTTACCACCATAAGCCTTTCAATTCTGGCGCTCCCGCAGGAAATGGTGCAGAAACTAGACATATTGTATCTTTAGACGAAGTTCTCACATCAATGATGCAACCAGGCCAATTTCGCGCCATCCGGTGGACTCTTAACCAACGAATGGCTCTATCATTTAATATAGCCTCTTCAATTATGCAGCTTCACTCTACCCCTTGGCTGTCCGCTTCGCTCACAAGCAAAACCGTCTGTTTTACGCACAACAGTGTATCACCTACGCAGATGAAGATGGATCAGTATACAGACATCCCTCGACCTTTTATACGACAAAAATTTTCTGTAACCTCGGGGAAACCTGAAGAAGGTACGAACCACGTGAAGCGCTCTATGCTCGAGCTGGGGATAATTCTGATGGAACTATGGCATGGCAAAACTTTCGACACATATGCGAATGAGACAGGACTTGACCTGGGAATCAGTTATGGCAGCCGATACGATGCGGCAGTTAAGTGGCTTGAGCTGAGCATGTACCACATATTGCCATTTTATTTGGACGTGGTTACAAGATGCGTTGAATGCACGTTCGCAATGAGCTCTGCATTCCCCGATTGGAGGGATATCGCATTCAGGAAGTCCGTATGTGAGTATGTCTTGCGGCCGCTTTGGGAGAATTGTCCTGCCGATTTTCGATGAAATGGATGACCATATAGTTTATAAGGAAGCTTTTACAAGACACCAAGATACAATATTTATCTCATTATCTCATCTCTACAGAGTAGATGAATTTATATAGGAATTGACTGCCGTTGACAAATGGCTATCCCACAAATAACCAATCAACAGGACCAGCCAGCCAGCATCTACAAGCAGTGTTTACGAGTCAAGTCAATCAAAGATTCGCCCTCCTGCTTGCCACTTTCCAGTTTTCCTCCCATTTCCTCCTGACCTGAGTGGATTCCTCTGCACGTCTTACCAACGCCGCATGTAAATCGGCATAGACTCCTCCCTCACGTGGCAAATCAACCTTCTTCCCGGTCCGGTGGTTGAAGAAAACCATCCACCCTTCTGCCTCGGCCACAGCAACTCTCTGCTTCGTTGACCAAACGGAGAAACGCCAGAAGAATTGATCCGGACGGACCTCTGAGATGCGAGCTCCAGTGATAAGCTAACAATAAAGTAAGTTCGTCATTCTTCTTTGGTCATTTGTTCTGAGCATTCAACGTACCAAATCCGGATACTCAACAACTCTCCTCACATCCATCGTGATTCTCCTGCTCATGGCATTGATCCCGCTAGCTGCCATGAATTCCTGGAACTTGTCTCCAAGATGCTTGTGGAAGGATTCGACGATGCGATTGAAGCACTGGCCGGTGATATGACCGTAAGCTTGCCACATGACATGGCCAAAGGGGTCTTGGTCTTCAGCCCAGGCAACGCTATGTTGAGTGAGAGTGGGGTACTAGTATCCCTGTTCGAGCATGTCTTGAATCATTTCTTGCACTTGTCGGCGTAAAGCCTCATCTTTGTTGGGGTGAAAGTACGAGGATGCCTCGAGGGCACTTTTGGGTTGAGACATGGTAAGTCGTATTTTTGTTTAACAGAACGGACAAAAAAAAAAGGTCAATTCAAATGACTTATCGGGATTGAAACAGGTAAGAGCAACAAAAAGACTCTGGGTTAACTGATGGATCTCATTGATGATTTTACAGGCTACTAGACCAGGTATTTATACCCATGACTGGAACCAAAAAGTCAAAAGAGGCGTGACATGAACGGACAAATTGAACGAGATCCCAGCTGCACTATAATGCCACAACTGGCTTAAATTCTTCAGTAACTTTAGGCCTCCAAATCGCTGAATCTAGCAATTGCCTGATGCAAACTTCATACAAAGTTTTGTAGACGGCGTTTGAAGGTTTCAATGACAAATGCCGATGTTGTCTCCTTGCTCCCTGGATCACCAATCAGATTCACCAAGTATGCGAAAGAACATGAATTGAGAACCGAGATACTTGATTTCTTCTGTCTAATTGACCTGAAGGGTAATCTGTGGGTCAAGGCTAACATTCCTTATTAGCGGCAAGTAGCTAAAAATCGATGTTATGCCATTTACGGACGGAATGCTACGCACGTCGCTTTATAAGGCTATGCATGCATGCCATCATCTCTGGAAACTAGATTTAACCTTAATAGGACCGGAAAGTATATCCACGGGAGGATGGCCGAAGGTAAAGACGTAGCTTGAAAAGATAAGACATGCAGAAAAATGGGATGGTTTCCGCTCCATCCGGATCTCGAGGAATCTTGCGAACTTGGTTTCAACTTCAGCTGGGATTTAGAGGAATTCAACTCGATCACTGAAGACTAGAGAGCTGACATTTTACAGTGTCCAGTAGGCCAGATACACGCCTGCCCAGTAAGAGTGTGGAGGTATAATTGATTTCGAAAGTTCCTGTACAAATTCGAAGGGAAAAAAAGGATAAGTCATCGAGAACATATTCTATTGAGATGGATAGAAATTGAACTAATAAACTGGTGACAGGACATTGTGAAGATTCCTTCGTCTCAGAGATCTCTCATTTCCTCAGATATGATTCCCCTCCGCATCATACTTAATCTCTTTGCCTGGATTAGGAGGAGCAACGAGCCCTAGCTGCTGTAGAGCCGTCAGAGCCTGCTCTTCGCCAATCTCGTCCACGATCTTCCCATTCTTCATTGTGAAGATAGTCGTCCCCGAGAAATAGACCTCTCTTCCAGTGCTTGGCCTGTCGAGCTTGCCCACTGCAAGGTCATCAAACTCCCGGCCGGTGTGCTTGCCGCCCCCGATTTAGCGGCCGACCACGTAGTCACCCCCCGCAATCAAGGGGAACTTGTAGGCGTGGAAGGAGATGTTTGGGAATGCCTATTGGTGATGGAATGAAAATATTAGATCAGGTCTCGCCAGGTCTGTTTCTTGAGAGGGGTTCTCTTACCTCTCGAAACTCAAGGAGCATTTTCTTGGCGGCTTCTTTACCACGACGGGGGCCATGCATGGGATAATCGATGATGAAGTTGTGGGCGCATACCTCGTCCACGACGGCGACGTTCCCCTTGCCCCAGTACTCTTCAAAGTACTTCTGCACGACGGCTTTGTTCTTCTCCTGGAGGGTGGACATGCTGCAGATTGTATGGATATTTGTAGACTGTGTTGGGGACTGAGAACTGACAATGGGAGAATGTGATGTTGAAATATACAAGATCTGAATTGGTTACTGGATATTCTTCTTATAGATATCCATACCTGGGCCCTTGGATTGCAGATGGCAAAGCTTGTTGCTGAAGTGACCAATCGAGTCCGAATAAGGTGTCGATATGTTTCATAGCATGATTTAGAATTGGCGAATCAGGTGAGGGATTTAACTGTGACCGGCGGATGGGGTCAATATATGATTGGCCAATTTGTGGAAATGTATCAAGCGGCGCGTTGGTATGATTGGCTAATTCCAGGACAGTATATGGACACTGGCCATCGTAAGTATCATTAGACATAACTGCGCAATGACTACGTTCTCATGGCGATCAAAGGATTCCACTAAGGTTCCATTGTTATTTTCAAGTTGGACAATATTTCATCAATTCATTTCAACATGCCGGAGTTTATTGTTTTCAGAGGCTCTGACAGTGGGGAGATTGTGGAACGTCAAACTCAATGTCCCGACCCTATTGAGAATGAAGTCCTCGTCCGAATACTCATTCCGGTCTGTGTGGAACCGACGAGCACTACAGACATGCCAATATTGTTCTCGGACACGAAGGAGCTGGAGTTGTCGAAGCAGTCGGCCCCAAAGTTGCCTCTCAAGATGTAGGCTTGCATTTACCTGTATGCGCATTTATTAGGCCCTAACTAACCTTCATGGAAACAGAGGAGACCGCGTGGGCTGGGGGTAGGCACATGGTAGTTGTCTTCACGGACTCTCCTCCCGTGATGGAGCCTCTGGATCACCTCCTGGTCACGTCAGCGAAGCAGCCAAATTGGGACGTTATTTTCCAGATCATGGCGTCCGGGGGAACCATCTATGCTTTGACGGTGGATATGGATGAGATGAAGGCCCCCTATCTACCCTTGGTCATGAAAGCTTTGCGCATCCAAGGCAGTCTGCCCGCAGCTCGAGGTAGCCAACGCGAGATGTTGCAGTGTGCTGTCCGGCACCGCATCAGGCCCATTGTGATGGAATTTCCGCTAAGTCAGAATGGAATTGAGACGGCGATGGAGACTCTTCGGGAGGGAAGAATGAGATATAGAGGGGTTTTGGTCCATGATGCTTGAGTAGGGGATAATGAAACTGTAGCGTTAGATAATGCGGGCGATGCAGGTGCTGTTGAATTATGAGAGTTCAACATCTGGTACCTGCGTTCCTATTTCATGGAGTCCTGCATCATGAGGGAATTTAGAGCGGAATGGCGACATTGATACTACTTACTATAGCTGGGAGAATGTCAATCATTTGAATCTTCAATACTCAGGTCTGCGTTCTAAGAGTGGCTTCCTCGGTCATCTGAGATGTAGAAAAGAACTGGCTTTCTACTATGTCACGGATGAAATAGAGCTTTGAAGCAAAGTGTCTTGGAGCCATACTGCCAGATTTTTGTGTCAATAAATACTTTTGGTTGAGTTGAAAATTGCCTGGGCTGCCAATGAGCCACGTGCAAGTCGGAGCCCTAGGACTCGCGACTCAATTATGCATGCGGATAACCACCGAGTTGAATCAAGTGTAGGAAAAGGAAGTATCAGAGTATAAGATAGATTGAAACGCCATGATCTCTGGACAGAGCCAAGCTGAGGCTAACTGGTTGCAGTGTAGAGATACCAACTTTCACCATGGCGGATATAGATCTGCAAAGTCCTAATGGACCATTTTATTCAACTCCTGAGGCTTTTTTTCTGCAGAATAACTCCATGATCCCATTGATACTTATAGCAGATGGTGATGTCCCGGAGACGACATACCTAATGTGGTGAATACTCCAACTTTCCGCTCCGATCATCGGCGCTGCACGCGATGCCCCTCATTCCGCAGATCACGCAAGACCTGCCAATGCAGAGAACTCTCCTGGACAGTCAAACACAGACATATCGACAAGAGACCTCTAAAATCATTGACATACAGAGAACGGTCTACTCCGTATATTGAAATCAATATACCGACAGGATCATCAGCCTGAGACCTAGCGCCATCTACTCCGTAACTACTGGGGGAGTACGCGCACGCAATCCCGCGATCAGCACCCCACTCTGTGACAGGACCGCCACGTACCTTCTTCATCCTTTCTTTCTTCTCTCTTCTTCCCTTTCCTATTTCTTCCTCCATTTCTGTCAATTCCTTTCTGTTCAATTGTTCTTGCTATTCTATACACTAAGAACGATCAAGATGGCCACGTACGTTCCCTCCCCCTCCCCAATCTATCCTCCAATATCGCCTCCCTGAAAATTCCACCCCCCTCCATTCCATTACCCCTCCATGCCCATATCCAAGCCCACCATCCATCCCACCATCCACCTCCCAAATAACTTATAACTAACCTAAGCCCAGAAACATCACCTTCCACGCCAGCGCCCTCACGCGCGCCGAGCGCAGCACCCTCCGCAACCAAAAGGGCCTCACAATCTGGCTGACCGGCCTCTCCGCCTCCGGCAAATCGACCATCGCCGTGGAGCTCGAGCACCAACTGCTCCAGGCCCGCGGCGTGCACGCCTACCGTCTCGACGGCGACAACGTGCGCTTCGGCCTAAACAAAGACCTGGGCTTCAGCGAGAAGGACCGCAACGAGAATATCCGCCGCATCGCGGAGGTCGCGAAGCTCTTTGCCGACAGCGCCTCCGTCGCGATCACTTCGTTCATCTCGCCGTACCGGGTGGATCGCGACACGGCGCGCAGCCTGCATGAGGTTCCTACCCCGGGTGAGGAGACGGGCTTGCCGTTCGTGGAGGTGTATGTTGATGTGCCTGTGGAGGTGGCTGAGCAGCGGGATCCGAAGGGGTTGTATAAGAAGGCTAGGGAGGGGGTGATCAAGGACTTTACGGGCGTGAGTGCGCCGTATGAGGAGCCGTTGAAGCCGGAGGTGCATATTAAGAATGTGGACTTGCCCGTGAAGGACGCTGTGGCGCAGATTATTCAGTACCTTGATGAGCAGGGGTATTTGCCTGCTAAGAAGGAGTAAACTGTCTGAGTCGGGGTTTGAAGTTGCGGGTGGGTCGCAAACGGGTTTAGATAGATTTGACTTGACTGTTATGATTGATTCCTGTTGTTGATATCCTTGTGTCCTTTCTTGTACGTGTACATAGATGGACGGTGTCTTTTGTTGCTTGATCGGTTGATTGATTCAATCATCATTATGAACTCTGGGAGATTCTTCTGTTGCAAATGGTTGTCTGTACTCTGTACTCTGTATACTGTAAAGATGATGGCCTACTATTTTGTTCGGTTAGAGTATGTAACTTCATGGTATGATAGATCAAGCTGCAAAGCAAATGTATGTACGGTACGCTACCAAAAAAGCAAGGTATCAAGTATACCAGCCAAAGATTGCAGAACGAAAATATATCACAGAGATCATCCCCTCTCGTCAGCTTAGTTGAATTCAAAATCATAGTACACGTACGCCGTGTACTCGCCGCCTCCCTCGCCGTGCATCTCGCCCGGGTCGTCTCGCTTGACCCGGCCCTTCTTGTCGCGGCCAAAGGCGTTGCCGGCCAGATACGAGTACTTCTCGTCGAGGTTGTACTTGGCCTTGTCGGCCTGTTTCGAACTGGGGGTCTAATGTACCTGTTAGTCTAGCTCGTTTTGAGTCACAAGGAATCAAACATACTCGGATAATGGTGCAGACAAAGTCCAGAGGCAGGCCGTATCGCAGAACGGTCTCAACGAACACCCGCAGGACCAGCACATGCATCCAGACCATGACGGCCTCGCTCCACGCCGTGCGGCCCAGTCGCAGCGTCTCACCCCAGAGCTTGCGCTCGTCGCCGCCCACGCGCTCGAACTCCTTGCGCTCCTCCTCCTTGCCGCCTTCGACGTACTTGAAGTCGCGGGGAATCCACTTGTTCTCACGGACCTTGTGCACAAACTCGACGCTGTGTTTCCGGAACGTGGTGACCGCGTACAGCGTGAACTCGTCGTCCGAGGCGACCAGCGTCGCCGACCGCGGAACCACCATCGGCGAGACGGTCTCGTACGTCTTCAGGAACTCCTTGATCTGCTGGGACGGCACGGCGACCAGATGGGTCTCGAGGTATTCGGAATCTTGAACGATGGCGCGCGGGTCGACGACGGAGGCGAGCGACTTGGTCGATAGGTTACCTCTGTATACGTGTTAGAATCCGAATGTAGAAGTCCGCGGGGTGGTCCAGATCACGTACGTCTGCTTCCGCTGGAGAGTCGCCAGGTTACCCTTCACCTGGTTGTATTGGGAGTATTTCGTCCGGATGTCGTTGTCGATGCTAGCGGCTTCCTATGCGCGAGTTAAACCCAACCCCCAAATAACCAAGACCCGACCCACGAGCCCATGTCGAGACATACCTTCTGCAGAAGATCGATCAATTCACCCAGCGACTTATCCGCCCGATACTTGACCTTGTTCCACGAGAACGTCCGCAGGTACTGGTCCACCGGCTCTACATCATCCCCCGATCACGTTAACCGACCGTCACTCATGAAGCCACAGGTTATCCGGAACCCAGACAGGTAGGTAGGCACAACATACTATCATTCACGGTCTTCATCTTCTCGATCTGCGCTTCGTCGCCGTCCAGGATGTTCTTCAACGCATCTCCGACCTTCACGGCCACGGCCTGGCAGGCGGTCTCGAGCTTGGCCAGCTCGTCGGCCTGCTGCACGAGGGCGTCTAACGTGCCGATCTTGAACTCCGGGATGGGGAAGGGCGCGACCGATCCGTTTTCCGGGGCGACGGTGGCGGAGACGGCGTCGAGGGCATCGTCGCGATGGTGGGAGGGAGTGATGGAGGTGGGGAGGGAGACGAGGAGGTACTTGGCTGTCTTGGACATGATGAGAGAGGGGTGGGGATAGATGTGATATGAACAGATAAACTAGTAGAGAGGAGAGTCCGTCGCCGCGCTCGAGGAAGCGGGCATGGAGGTGACACGGAGGAGTTGGGGGAGGGAAAGTCGGGGATAGAGAGAGGTGGAAGGCGAGTCCGTCATGCTGCGAATCTCGCCGGAGCTGCAGCTGGCCGGAGGCGGTCAATCCGATTCTCTCCCGCGGGAGGAGAGGCTACGTAAGAGATAACCCGCCGTGCCCATCCATGTCTATCCATAAAATCCGTCTATTAAGGATACTCTTACATATTCTAGTCAATGACGGGCAATATGCTCCGTCCGAAAGAGAAAATATTATGTACAATGACAAATATAAGCCCATCTATACGCCGGCCTTGTCCCGAACCCCGGGATATAGACATCCCCCCAGATAGCCCCCATTTAGTCTAATTTCTAGTTGGTGACTTTGTAGAGACTCGACATAGCCTGTGAATAATGTTGTCAGCGTACTTTCTCATTTCGTCTCAAGCCAGTCGGTGATCCTACCGCAGCCTGCTTGGGCTCGACAAACAGCGCCTTCGCTTCCACCAGGACAACCGGCTCCTTGCCCTCCTCAGGCAAAGTCTCGATGCGTCCCTCCACCCACGCCTTCCGGCCATCGACCTTCACGGTTTCGGCCCGCAGCACGACGTAGGCCTCGGCCATGGCGGGCCGACGGTAGTCGATGCTCAGGTTGGCCGTCACGCCCACCCCGTTCGGCAGAGCAGGGAAACAGCACCGCCCCATGGCTTCGTCCAGCAGAGTAGCCAACAGACCGCCGTGCACAATACCCGGGTGACCACAGATATTCGAGCCCAGGTAAAACATAGAGATCAGGCTCTTGCCACCCTCCTCGCAGAAGATATACGGCGGCACCACGATCTTTTCCGGGCCCGCGAGCGTACCGGCCGTCAGATTGCGGGTGCGCATCTGCTCTGGGATCTTCAGATGAGGGCGCGATTCGGTGAACGCCGGGTTCTCCCGCAGCGACACGGCGAGCGGGTGGTTGCGGATGAAGTCTTCCACCTCCTGGGAGATCGCATCGGGAGGGATGAACGACGTGAGGGTCTCCTCGTCGGTGGGCAGGGCAACCGTCATCATGCGCGACACGGTTTTCTGGGTCTGGTAGGCTAATCCGGCGGCGAAGGCAAGGACTGCGATGGACGTGAATCCCACGAAGCGACGAAAGCGGGACTGAGGCTTGGGGAGCTCGGGTGAGACAGGAGAGGAGGCAGCTTCTGCCGTGAGGGATTCAGGGGATCAGCAAGTCGTCGGACGGCCGGGAGCATGGAGTATGAATCAGGGAAAAGGACGGCCACCTACCGGCAGAGTACAATCGAAGACGATTCTGACGGGTTAGACGCACGAACCACGGGGCATTATTTGTAGGATTCAAGGTGAGACCGAGCCTGGTCGTGGTGGGGACCGCCCGAAAGAATCTCGACGCCGGGACTCGCGGCATGGCGGAGACGGAGGAATGGATCCCAGAGGCAGGCTTCCGAGGCTCTTTTGCTTTCTAGCGTTTACAGGGAACGCGATGGGACTGAAAAATGGGGACTCCCGATCAGCGCAAGTGATGGCAGCGTGACCCAGGGAGGTTCATCGCCAACGGTCTTTCATGCACCGAAGATCCTCGGGGCATTCTCCTCGTCTGATTGGCGGAGGGGGAGGCGGACAAGACCGAGAGAACCTCGGCTGATTAAAGCCCACGAGATAACTATGAGGAGAAGAAAGAGAAAGAAGAGGGGACAGATGAAGGGAAAGAAGAAGGGAGGTCCATGATGCCGAGAGTCACGCTTCAATCCTCGAGCGATGCCCTCTTGGACTCTCTGAAAAGCGCGCGATGAGCCCTCACGGTATGCCTGCCCCTGGCACGTGACGGGCGCCCTCTCCCAAGTGGACCTTCTTCCTTTTCCTTTCTTCATCTGTGGTCAGGGATCCACCTGCAACGGCCGGCGGAGAACTTTCGATCTGATGCCGTCCCATAATGGTCCAGGAATGCGGGCTTGGATGGGAAAGAATAGACGGCCTTGATCGAACTCCGGGACTCCACGACCTTAAATGTCGTCTCCGGGTGGAATGATGTCTGGCCGCATCATCGTCCGGACTGCATGTCGGCCCGAGTCCAAACAAGGGAAGGTAAACAGTCGAGTCCGTCGAATTTCTCCGTCTCCCGTCGTCTGGAGTCTGTACGAAGGCTGTACGACATGGACACGGGGTGACTCCGTAGCTCCATCCTGTCAGGGCATGGCGCTGAATCTCCCCGGATTGGATCGATCCTCCACATTTATCGACTCTAGCGTGAACCGCTCATTTCCCTTAGCCCTAACCGATAACCATTCTCTCCTACTGTTGGTGAGACATGCGTCGATCTTCAGGGGCACGTTGCATTTTTCTCGTCGCCTGCAGCATGCCTGCAGTTATATTAGCTCTAGCTATCGAAGACTCCCTATCATGAAATGGCCCATTCCCAGAGTCCGGCGCCCCTTGCTGGGCTGTTGCCAGACAGCATGCCGGGAAGGAACCCTCTGGCCGGCGTAAAGCAATTATTGTCATCGACTCGCCATTCTTGAATACTCCTGTCACTCTTTCAATCTGTCAACTGTAATTTTCCCCAGTAATTATGGCCCTTCGTCGCGCGTTCGCGCTTCTGGCCGTAACGCCATGCGTTCTGGGCTCGTCCGACGACTCCCTTCCTCCGGCGCCTGACAATCACGATGTCCTACAATACGTCGATCCACTCATTGGGAGTGCAAATGGAGGTATCTGCCTGCTCTGCGGAATCGTCTCGGTACATCGTCTTCTTGCTCGTCCAATGCTAATGAGGATGATTTTCTCGTCCAGGAAATGTCTTCGCAGGCGCCTCCCTGCCTTACGGCATGGCCAAAGCCGTGGCCGATACCGACTCTCAGAGCAACCAGGGAGGCTTCGCGTACGATGGTAGTCGGATCACCGGATTCTCCAGTCTGCATGATTCGGGAACCGGAGGTCAGGCCTCTCTCGGAAACTATCCTCTGTTCCCCTACGTGAAATGTCGCGACGACGATGTCAATGGCTGTGTATATCCTAAGAAACAGCGGAAGACGACTTACGTATCCGAGTCGGTCAAGGCAAACCCGGGTTACTTTGGGCTTACGATGGAGTCGGGCATCCATGTGGACATGACGGTGGCTCACCACACGTCCCTAGTTCAGTTCAAGTTCCCGACGGATGATAAATCGAGTCCGCTGATTCTTCTGGACCTGACCGATTTATCGGACACACGTCAGGACAATGGGACTGTCTCCGTCGATCCCATAACAAGCCGCATGACCGGGCATGCTCGCTTTCAACCGAGCTTTGGTAGCGGCACCTACGTTCCTTATTTTTGCGTCGACTTTGACAGTGCGGCGAAAGTGCGCGACCACGGCATTTTCATCAACTCGCGAGCAAGCACCGATGTAAATCACCTCGACATCTCGCGAAGCATAAATGGGTATCCACTTCCGGTTCGTGCCCCACTCCCTGTCTCCCATACTTGGAGCTGACATTTTGTAGGGCGGCGCATTTGTCCGTTTTGAATCAGCCCCGAATATCACGGTGCAGGCGCGAACCGGTCTCAGTTTCATCAGCAGCGAACAGGCATGCCGAAACGCCGAAGCCGAAATCCCCAACTTTGACTTTGAGGCTACCCATTCTGCGGCAGTCGAGTTGTGGACGGAGAAGATGGCCCCAATCCGCGTGTCAAAACAGGGAGTTAACTCGTCGATCTTGACAAACTTCTACAGTGGTATTTATCGCACTATGATCAACCCTCAAGATTACACTGGGGAGAACCCTCTATGGAAGAGCAAGGAGCCGTATTTTGATTCGTTCTACTGGTATGTATGCCTATTCTCTGTGGATCCTCTTTCTAATAGTCAACCAGCCTCTGGGATTCTTTCCGGTCTCAATTGCCTTTCCTGACCATCTTTGACCCGGCGTCTCTGGCCCGAATGATCCGCTCGTTGATCGATACCCAAAAGAACCTGGGATGGCTTCCTGATTGCCGCATGTCTCTCTGCAAGGGTTTGTGTCCCATCTATCGTCGGTACGGTAGTGACTAACCCCATGTTAGGGTATACCCAAGGTGGTTCCAACGCGGATGTTATTCTTGCGGACGCATACCTTAAGGGCATTACGAAAGACATTGACTGGCAGGCAGGATATGCAGCGGTGAAGAAGGACGCCGAAGAGGAGCCCTATGACTGGTCCAACGAAGGCCGAGGGGGACTGGTCAGCTGGAAATCACTCAATTACATCCCGGTGGAAGATTTCGACTATCACGGGTTTGGGCCCATGACGCGGAGTATCTCTCGTACGCTGGAATACTGCTACGACGACTTCACTATCGCGCAGATGGCCCGTGGCTTGGGCAAGACGGATGACGCAGAGAAATACGAAACTAGCTCTCGCTACTGGGAGAACCTGTTTCGAGAGGATCAGACCTCGTTCCTCAATGGGACGGATACGGGATTCAGAGGCTTCTTCCAGCCGAAGTATCTGAATGGGACCTGGGGATACCAGGTATACTATCTTGTGTTTTACCCATGATATAACACTAACCACTCACGAAATCCAGGATCCTATCACCTGCTCCAACATCGACACCAGCGGGCGAGCATGCTCGCTTCAAAACAACGCCGCCGAAACATTCGAGTCCAGCATCTGGGAATACCAATTGTACATTCCATCCTCCCCGCTGCCTCCGCACAACTACTAACATACAAATCCAGCTTCGTCCCTCACGACATGGCCACCCTAATCACCCACCTCGGCGGCCCCTCCCAATTCGTCCGCCGCCTCGACTACCTCCACGACACCGGCATCACCTACATCGGCAACGAGCCCTCCTTCCTCACCGTCTTCCAATACCACTACGCCGCTCGCCCCGCCAAATCCACCGCCCGCGCCCACTTCTACATCCCCAAATACTTCAACCCCGCCCCCGCCGGCCTCCCGGGCAACGACGACTCCGGCGCCATGGGCTCCTTCGTCGCCATGACCATGATGGGCCTCTTCCCGAACCCGGGCCAGAACGTGTACCTCATCACGACCCCGTTCTTCGAGTCCGTGTCCATCACTTCCCCGCTCACCGGGAACGTGGCTACCCTGCGCGCTGTCAACTTCGATCCTAGTTATCAGGATGTGTATATTCAGTCTGCGACGCTGGATGGGAAGCCGTATACGAAGAGCTGGGTGGGTCATGACTTCTTCACGGAGGGGAGAGAGCTGGTGTTGGTTTTGGGGAGGAATGAGAGTTCCTGGGGCACGGGAGAGAATGATCTGCCGCCTTCGTTGTCGACTTAGGTTTTATTTCTGCTTCTTTTTCTTAAGGATGGAGGAAGGAGTGTTGGTAGGGTATTCTTACCTATTTGACTAGATACCTACTGTATTATTTCGGCAGTAGGGTAGGTAGAGTAAAGACCACGTTTGGGTTAGTTATTTTACTATGTGTCTATGTAATTAATGAAAATCAATAGACCGTAGTTCCTCAATGTTACTTCGTGATCCAACCAGGGAGAATTTCATCCACGTCATTGTCAGTGAGACCAATCTATTTATCTATGTTGAAATCGCATATCACAACCGACCGCTCAGTTCATTTTATAGTAATCCTAACGACGCTAATTGCCTAGCTTTCCTGATTGGAAAAAGATAAAGATAAGGATGTTGAAATAGGTAGGTAGGTAGGTAGGTAGGTAGGATATACATCCTCAACGACACAGATAGACATGACAAACGTATGAATGGTGGATGAATGGATGTGTAGGTAGGTAAGGTCGTGAGTAAGTATGAGACAAAGTTCAAATTGGAACAAATGAGATAAAGGGGAAACCAAAAACGAAGAATAAGGGAAATAATATCGTGATGTCTATATACAATTTGAAAGCCGTTCGTCAATACTAGACGAACTACCCATTCTCATACCCAATACTGAGCTAAGGTTGACTAGCTCAGTTTGGCCACCTTCGGCTCACTCGTAAGGAGAGAGAAGAATATAAGAGGGTGGGGTAAGTAAGGCAAGACAAGGCAAGTGAAGCTGGGTATGTTTTGGTTCATAATGTTGTTTGAAATTTTTTTTTTTTTCTCTTTCTTTTCTTTTTGTTCCTAACCGCGGTAGAACTTGCTCTCGATCCATGGCATACCGACGACACTCGCCTTGCGAAGTCGATTCCGTACAAGGACACCAACCTCGGTGCCCTTCTTATGCATCCCCTGCTTGATATACCCCATGGCGATGTTCGTGCCATCCAGCGACGGACTGGGCAGCCCGGACGTGACGACCCCGATCTGGGTCTTGGAGTCATCGTTCAAGTCGACGATGACGGCGCCCTCGCGGGCCGGGGAGCCCTTCTCGACGGTGAAGCCGACGCGGCGCTGCGAGAGCGTCTTGGACGGAGACGCGATCTGGGGGAGGATGGCGGCGGAGCCGTTGAAGTTGGATGAGGGGGAGGTGGGGTCGCGACGGTCCTTGCCGACGACCCAGCCGAGCGAGGCCGCGGGGGGTGTTTGTGCCGTGGAGATGTCGTTGCCGTAGAGACACATGCCCGCTTCGAGGCGGAGGGAGTCGCGCGCCGCGAGACCCGCGAGACGGACCTGCGAAGGGTTGGAGAGAAGGAGGTCCGTTACTTGCGCGGGGAGGTCGGGGTGGCCGGCGGAGGGGATGGAGATCTCGAAGCCGTCTTCGCCCGTGTAGCCGGTGCGGGAGATCAGGAGGGGGTGGGCGGTGGGGGAGCCGTTGGGGAGAGTGAGGTGGAGGGAACGGCAGTTGCCGAAGTAGAGGGTGGTGAGGTCGGTTTCCGGGCCGGAGCCGTGGATGTGCGATTGCAGGACCTCGGCGGCGAGAGGGCCCTGGAGGGCCACGAGGGCGCGATCGCTGAGGATCTCCCATTTCAGGCTGTCGGCGCCGTTGGCGCGCTTGTAGTTGTCGATCTCGGCTTCGAGGAAGGCTAGGTCCTCGTCGCGGCGGCCGGCGTTGGTGACGAAGTAGAAGGTGTCGGCGGACCGGCGGGTGATGACGGTGTCGTCGACGATGCCGCCGGTGGCTTCCTCCAGCAGGCAGGAGAGCGTGGACTGGTTGTCCTTGAGCTTGTCGAGGGAGGACGGGGTGACCTTCATCAGGAGCTCCTGGGCACCGGGGCCGCTAAGCTGGTGTTGCACCCTGGAGGAATTGTGTTAGAGACGCTGGATTCTGCTGGATAATGGCTCAATAGGGAACGCTGGGATACACACATGTGGCTCACGTCGAACAAGCTTGCTTTCTCCCGGGTCCATTTGTGACTCTCCACATGGCTGAGGTCGGAGTACTGGAGGGGCATGGAGTACCCCGCAAAGGGCACCATCTTGGCACCGCGGGCGACATGAAGGTCATAGAGCTGCGTCTGCTTGACGGGGCCCGAGGAGCTGGATGAGGCATAACGAGCACCACCGTTGGCAGCTAGAGAGCCTGTACGGGGAGAAGGGCGGGCAGCAGCAGCGAGCGGGGAGCGGAGACCGCGCGGAGAAGCGAAGTGCCGCGGGACGAGAGAAGAGCCATTGGCAACGGCAGGGGCAGTTTGGGAGAGCGATCTCGATCCCAGGAGATGAAGGCCTCTTCGCAAGGGCCGTACGGCAGACATGATGCAGTTCTGAAGAGTGTGTATAGGATGATTTACGGAAACAGAATCGGAGGAGCAACGCGAGGGTTGAAGAGCGGGACGGTCATGCGGAGATAGCGGGAAAGTCACATGGCGATAGGGCAGTCTTCCCGCGGACAACATCGGGCAACTTCTCTGCCTCCACAATTCGCAGTCGGGGATACGGTATAGAGTGTGGATACGGCTGTTATCACGGAATCTCAGTGATATTCAATTGTTTGAGTCTGAATTCTTCCCAGAAATTGAACAAGAGGGACGTCATTTGAGTCGAGCTTCAAGCACCCGACCCTAACCAGTAATCCCGAGGTAGATCCAGGATCTTCTATATACAAGTGGTGTTTATCAGCTAATCTAATCATATCAAAACAGAATATTATCTACTTGTTTTACCTGATCCTCCGGTTCTATTCTATCAACATGCTACCCCAGACGAAGCGGTGCGTGCCCGCACTGGGCAGTGATCCGACTCATATACTATCACGGAGTAAGTAGAGCGAGTGATCTACAACGACGATATAAATGCCCCAGGACCTGCTGCAAACAAGGGACAGGAGCAATGCTGCACTATCCATGAATCCCACCCTGGGTCTGGGACGGTCTCCAAGCCCCTTTTCTTTCAGCAGACCAGCTTCTGGCTGATCTACAGGGCTTTCTTGCTCGCGAGCAGTATGTTTTTCTTTTGTATTGACCCATGACAATAAAGGTTGGTCTGTATGAAAGATCAAGATCCCTGGGTAGAAAACGGAAGATCTGCCCGCATCAGATAAGTCCGGCCATGAAGTCCATCGACATTAACACCGTCCCTTTCCTTGAGGGGTATTCGACATCGCAACATAAATTTCAGTCCTTTCCTCGAAACAGCACAATGAAAAAAAAAAAAATCAATCATGTCATGAAAATTAATCATTAAAGTCCGTTATTGGCGCAGGAAAAGGGGCTTCCCACGGTTCCGGCCCGATAGTTCAAGATCACACTCTCAACAGAAGCCTAATGTCTCGTTAGTAAGTCTGCCCTATAACCAAATTGGTAAAAGAAAGAAAAGGCTTACATAGGTGCCCGGTCCCAGGAAGAAGAACCCCACGCAAATCAAGAAGACGTTCAGAATGGCTCCGGCCCAGCCGCGAAAGCCTCGGGTTTTATAGAACCCCGGCCCGTAGTCCTCGCGTCTCATCCGGAGGTACGCAACGCCCCAGAAAATGAAACCGAAGAAGGAATCGAAGAGCGAACTCATGATGGAGAGCAGATCGGAAAAGAATGGGATGACCTGAGAGATGATAAAGGCCAAAATCCACAGGACAACCAAGATACCGGTCCACGAGGCCCAGCCGACGACTGTATGATTGCCCTTGTGACGAGTGCCATCGAACAGGCGGAAGAAGATGAAGCGCGCAGACACCGAAGCATACAGGACCCCGAGGAAGATCAATGTCGGAACCATGAAGGAGAAAGACACCTTCTTGTAGATGTCATTTCCCAGCGAACCAAATGCCGGCGCAGTCATGTACTGGTTACCGGTGTAGACATAGACAATGGATCCCGCCAAACTGAACACGATGATTTCGGCGATCGTGACCGCAGTAACCGATTTCCAGAAATCCTTGGGCTCCTTCATTTCGGCGATGAAACTTGGCAGGGTGATCTGGCCAATGAAGGTATAGCTGATGTTCAGGAAAGCGCTCACACCAGCGACAAAGGTCGTTCCCTTCACAGGGATGGCCGTTATGATGGGTTCACCCAACTTAGCGCTGTATCCCGCAGGATGGTCCTCAATTCCCGAAAAGATCATGGCCAGCAGAACCGAGATGAAGGTAGTCAGAGCCGAGAAGGTCGCCACTTTCGATAGAGTGCTAAACGTGCGCGGAAGCGAGAAGATAAGGGAAATAATGGCCGTGACCAGAGCAAACACGATCGAGCAGGTGGGGTGATTGGTGACCGTGTTCAAGTACTCAGCGCCGACTAAGCAGTGCAAACCCTAACTAGACGTCAGCTCTATTTCAATGCCAGAAGAGAACTGGGAGAAAACCAACCTGAATGAAAGTATTGTTCAGCAAGAACATAATGGCGGTCCCATACCAGGCGATTTTCGAATCCCAGAAGAGGATCTGACCAATGTCGCACACGTCACGCACATTGGGATGACGCAAACAAAATCTCCTAAGTCACTCATCAGTATGCGCGTGCCCGAACCGACAGCCAACGGCACACGAACCAGACAATCAGCGATGTATACAGTACAACCGCCGCGATAAATACGGTTAAGATCAACCCCGGAACGAGACCCAGAGTGGAATACGAGGAGGGAAATGACATGATCGCAAGACAGATGTACTCGGAGAAAAGCAGCGCCGCGGTCTGAAATAGTCTCCGGGTTAGCTATCGGTCAATTGCTTTTGTTTCTTGAATGCGCTTGCGACAGTACCTTTTGCCAACTGCAAGTGCGGTACTTGATAGAGTTCCCGGCCTCCAACTCAATCTGTCGTCCGATATCTCCTCCCTCAGATCCAGAGTCCATTCCGATGGGCTGCTGAGTCTCGGGATCCAGTTTCATCTTGTCATTGGCGGGATCGAGCTGGTCGGAAGTGAAGGAGGGCCTACGGCCTGCGACCTGGGCTGTGCTGTACTCCGCCATTTGATGGAGCGGACGAACCGCAGGTGGAAAGAATCGATGGAATGAGTAAAGGAAATGACGTTCAAGGGTCGCAGATGCATGTACTGCTCCTGTCGGCGATCAGAAAAGGGAAGTACTAGGCGGAGAGGATATCTAGAGGAAGTAGGGTTAACGACGGGTGGACAAGGCAACGAGATTCCCGGGCTGTGAAGACGAGCAATGGGTTGAAATGACCGAGCAGGCGCGGACAGGAGACTTTAAGAGATCAACGCGAATGAAGCGAGTGAAGAAATACGCAAGCGAGTGTTCGCTCGGCCAGGTGGGAAGTGGGAAGTGCAATGGACCTACCGGAAAGTCGACAGGCGGCGGGCCAAGAGACCAAGGCACCGGACGAGGGGCGAAAAGTCTTGGGAGAGAATCAAGAAAGGGCGAAGCAAAGCCAAGGGACGAGACTAGAGGCTTAAGAGGGCGAGTGGGATGGGAATCCCGGATATTCTTTTTTCTTCGTTTTTATCTGGTTGTCACGTTGGCGGCGATTAACTTTCTAGCCATGGGGGTCTAATTTAATTGCATCCTTTCGGTGAAGATCGACCGATAAGAGCGGTAGGAAAGTCAGATAATAAAATTAAAATATAATTAAATATTCCATATTCAATATTTAGTATTAGGATTTTAATCTAAACTCCGAGTCCAGCCAAACGTGATCAATGCGGCCAATCCGCCATGGCCACTGCTGACCCTACAGCTAGACTGCTACAGACCATGACGTGCTCGGCGTGGGGCGCTGGATGGTGACGGCACTTAACTTTGAATCCCTGGCCTTTCCTCCCTGTTGCTTTCCACGGACCTGGATGCCCCCTGAGCAAATGGGAAATTACCACGGCCATGGCTGTCCTACGATCACACCGAGCGATTCAAGTGGAATTTTTTCCTCGCCGCTTTTCTTATTGCATGGAGGCTTACCCGAAGCGAGCTAGTGGCAGCATTCCACGATATACAGCGGGCCTGGGGCAACCTTTCTGACTTTCTCCCCCAAGTCTCCACCCCCCGTGTTGACTTCCCGCCAATGAGCCAGGCGGAGTCATCCGAGTTTTCTCGGGCCCCGCAAGCGTCTTTCTTTTCCGGCGGTTGTCTTTGGCTTGCCTCTTTCGGGCTTTCTTGGCTGTCGGCTGCGTGCGACCTGCGAACACGGTCGATGATTCATCCACTCTCTTTTTATGAACAGTTTTATGCACGACCATGCGGATAATTCTTGGCAGATGACAGGACTGCAGATGCGGGGAACGTAGAAAAAGAAAAAGAAAACGAACAGAACAGAACGGCCGCTGGTTGGTTTTAACCTCGAGCACGCTATGCACTAGCTGATGGCGTGATCGTCGTTCCACGTGTGCCTTCACTCTCTACGCCTTCGTTTGCCTCTCCAGGCCACTCCCCAGTGCCAGCCCAGTCACGGGCGGTTCCTGAGCCCTGGCGTCGTATGACGGGGATGCCTCGTTATCATATGGTCTTTTATCTCCAAGCACCGTTTCTTTGTCTGACGAAACCACCCCCTCCCTCTCTACATCGCAACGGAAGCCACCTACCTCATCGGCGCCAATCATAGTCACTCTCCCTCTGCATCAGGCTCCCAATGCAGAATCCTTGACTCTCCAGTTCAGCTGTCTGCAGGGTTCTGGTAGATAGTGAATCCATTCTACCAGCACATCTAGGATCTCTCGAGGTTCCACGGCTCAATTTCCCCATCTGCTCCAGACCTTTTGCAAACCGTTACGGTCGGGGAATTTCCAAACCTAAAGTGTACCTGTCGGGGATGAGGGAGGGTGGTGCTGGTATCTACTTGGTGCATACAAACATGTTCACATGTTACTCCTTCCTAGCAGTCCCTGCCCTGCCCACCGGGCTCTCCTTGCATGTTCTCGATCTTTGTGCCTGTCCCACTCACCGATGCCATGCCATGCCATGCCACTGCACCCCCACTTCCCGATGCCGACTGTCGGGTTTAGGGCTGGCCTAGCCTCAGTAAGGTGTGCATCCCACCCAGGAAGTCCTAAATCCGCGTAGGGCAACCAGATGAAAAACAATGCATTAAGCACGCCATCGACCTCTTGGGGCGAAGGAGTAAGATTAAGGCATCTATCTCACACAGACGCCAACAGTATCCTCGTATCCAGTTCCCTAATACGGAGTACCACGGTCTAAGACAAGTGAAGTGATCCAGAACAGGAGTCGAGCGGATTCAAAATTTATAGTTTCCTTTTAGCTAGCCGGGGCCAGGTTAGCAGTTAGCTACTGTAGCCCCATCGGAGCTCAGCAATGCTTGTCATTTGGCCCCCGGTTCGCGTCCAATCGTTGCCTCGTCGCAACATGCAGGTGGTTCTACGTCGATGGTATCAGATTAGCGGTGATTGCACCATCTCGGGTCGGCCCACTTGGATGCGCCTTAGCATTCAATTCACTATATGTGGTTAGTAGTTAGTGGTAGGACGGAGTACGGAGTTCGAGCATCTACTTTTTATTTGTGGTGATGAAATTAAAGGAAAGTGCCATGAACCTATGTGAAGGGTGGTTTCTTTTCTCCTATATTTCGTACTGGGGTCAAGCTCACTCGAAGATACGGTAGATGCTCATCTATTCGGTCGCTGTAGATATCTCTCTAATTGATGCTTCATCCTTGTTCTCTTGTTCCTCATGCTTGTCGCTGTGGTTCTGTCTCGAAATCATATACGCCTAGATCGACAGGGGAAAGGTGGCTGTGGTTAAGCAAATCCGCAGTCCTACCGATTGCTATAGTTTGCATAAGGCCTCATCGCATCTCGAACAAATTGAAAGGCTATTCTCCGGGACCTCCGATTTGGATATAGGATCCTGTCTGGGACAAGTCCACGTCCGTCTAAGGTTTCTTGGGTGTCGATAATCATATAGTTGATGGGCCTGATACCGTTCGCTTTGGAGACATTACAAATAATATCTCCATGACGGTTGAGACAGGATTGATTTGATGATTAACAGTGATGACCCGTGTGCTTTGCATTGGTTTTGCTCTTCTCTTTTTGGAGTGGTTCTATAGTATATCACGATGGATAGATAGACATCGATTGGTCTTGTAGTCTGCACAGCATAAGTCATAACATACGTTAAATCCAAATGTCCTGGAGGCTAATGCTTCATTAATATGTATCTCGCTATCTAGCTTTCTGACTAAATACTTTCAGCCGCCACGCCCCCATACCAGCTTAATGCTTTTCATCTCAGCCCGGTGTTGTCCAATCGTGACTAATACAAAGGCGTAGGCTGAAAGAAGACCAAACTTGATTTTCGCTCGCTTCATATAGTCGGCGAGCTGGGCTAATAGCTCAAAGTAGTTTGACCAACGACCTTACACACTAATCTTTACACAATTTATAATAACTAATTACCTCTCTCTTTCGGTAGTTATGTATGCCCTACCACGCGAATATCCTTGAGCTAATTAGGCCACTCTCCATCCAATTCCCCACGAGCCTCCAATTCGGCACACGCGATTGAGAAAGCAACGTAGGCCGTTCTCTTATCCTTCTGTGCCGCCCTGGCGACTAGCTCCCCCATTAGCCTGTGGTGCTGTGCGGTCAATCTCCCCCTCCTCATTTTTATATGCTTCTCCAAGATCATAGTCTTTGACCCATGGCGTTTTGAGCTCCCCCACAACTTTCAAGGCTCCGTAGGGTGTAAGGCATACCTGGGTGGGAATTTGAAGGTGATAGTTCATGGGTAGGCAGTGGGCCTTGCAGTTGCCGAATGCTAAATCGATCTGTAACGTGGTGCAGACTCATGTCTCAACTTCCAGAACATAGGAGTTTGGTGCCCTATGCTACATTCTGCCGGACCTGGTCAAATAGATCTCTTCAAGGATACAGAGGCACTGCTATCATAAGAAAGTGTGGTCTCATTTTTGCGGCCGCCTATATCAAATTATCGATTCGGACAAGCGATATTTTTTCTGCATCTATTGTTCGAGATCCGTTGCCGCTGCTCGTTCATACAGACTAGTACGTCTCTCTCGGTCACAATTGCGACACATTATTGTAAGGTCTGAAACACCGGAATAACCATACTCTGTATCCGTATGAGAAGGTCCTCAATGCCGGTAAGCGGCCCCAGCGAGGTTTTTGAATGCTAGGACCTCGGCTTGTTCTCCCATTGAGATCCACGAACATGGTCGCATCTCCCGAAATAAGGTGTTTATCGCAGTAATGCTGAATGTTGCTGATCACAGTACGCCCCATTGGGGCGCCGAATTCTTTAATTCGGTAGGGATGGCTTTGAATGTCCCATCCTGTTCGCGAGCAGAGGTCACATTCCTGCTTGCGCGTTTCCTGACTTCTCCGCGGCTGTTTAGAAACTCGGGATACTTGAGGAATCTGTATCTCTGCTCATAGTCCTTTCCAATATTTGTACAACAGTTTCCCATCGCGGTAGTATTCTATAGATAGGGGCCTGAAAGCCCGCTCCCGCCCCCTGTCCCACGACATACCAAAACGCCTCTAGGATGGTGATGTCCCCCACATTCTGGCCGACCTTGTCGTTGTGTTGGATTGGAGTGCTGTATTCTAGCACCCAATTGCCGGCAGTGTCCTGCACTTGCTGCAGGAAAATTGTCTCATCGTAAGTGGATATAAAACCGTATGTACCTCAGCTGCCTCAGGCGCATGTACCGCGCTTCTTGGCCTGATTCAAGGCTAGGTTAGCACATAGCTTTTCTTGTCTTTGCAATGGATTGATCTCCTTACCGAGTACTCTTCGCAGCACAAAACTTTGTGTTTTCCTTTCAGCAAAAGCATTCTAGGGCACGAAATCAGTGTATGCCATCGGCGCTGGACTGTTCCTGCCCCAGTGGCATTCGAATGTCGAGTTTAGGAAATGAGACAGATCTTCTTTGCCGGGTTAAAGAAACTGTCCGTAAGATAGCCATGCGATTTTGGTATCAGGCCAGCCCGACAATCTGGCACCAGAACCTGGAAGAGGTCTCTTTATCAAAATCGGGCGCAGATAGGGGGCAGCCGGTTGTACCGCTCTTATAAGCGGGGGAAACACCACCTGGCAAGTCTGTAACTATGCCAATCGATCTGGCCAGTTTCAAGCTTGCTATTTGTGTAGAATATAGCCACAGTCAACATACTTGAGACAGGATTCTGGCGTTCTAGATAAATTCGCCGGGCCAATATGTTCCCGCTTCAGAAGGCGTGGGTTTAATAGGCTCAGCCCTAATAGTAATAGATCTTTGTTAGCCAACTGCGCGCAAACATCAAACCTGCGTTGTGTTCGAGACTTACCTTTTTCATAGCTTTTCTTTGATCTTAATTCGTTGGTATGTAAGGTAACAACCTCTTTCGATGGATTTAGGAATCCGTTCCCCATCCTCTAAGTATCTGTGCCACAGGGCCCAGTATACGCCGTCTACGCGAGGTCCCTTGCTTCCCTCGAATAAGCCACTTCTTCCAAAGCATCCATATTGGAAGGACTATGCTTCGGTCACTTTTTTTTTTTCGAACCAGAACCCCGGATTCCTGAACAAGAGCTGCCTCTCTTTTCGAGGCTGTGGATCCCATGTAGTGGGCATCCCAGCGAGAAGCAGAAACAAAAGCACGAATCTTGACTTGAAGGAAGCCGATTCAACAAGATATTGAGGCTGGAGGATTGAAGAAGAGGAGGGAAAATACGATGGACTACGAAGGAAAGATGAAGGAAAACTTTTTACAGTAGATATATTCACATCGGATTACTATGCTATTCACCCAGCTTTTCGTCTCACATTCCCTCATCTTCATCAGCCAGCATGGCCGCGTAGTCGTCTGCCGAAGCGAATGTCGGCAGGTGCTTGAGTTTGCGGCGTTTCTGCTTCTCGGCCTGCTTCTCGTCCTTGGGAAGCTCGTCGACGGTGCCGAGTTCCACTTCCTCGTCGCTGTCCACGAACGCCTCGTCGTCGGAAACGTCCATGTCGAAGTCGTCGTCCTCGTCGAATTCGTCCTCGGCCTTCTTGGGCTTGGGCTGGGCCTTAGGTTTGGCGGCAGGTTTGTCCTCGTCCTCGTCCATGTCCTCGTCGTCGTCGGATTCGTCGTTGAAGATGACGCCTTCGTCACCGCTGGCTTCTTCCTCGTCGGATTTGTCGTAAGCGGACTCAAGGTCATCCATGTCGAGGTCGTCGTCGCTGTCACCGCCTTCAACCTCAGGTCTCGAATCCACGAGAGCCTGCCAGATCTCGGACTCGGCGTCACTGAGCTCTTCGTCGTCCTCTCCGGCTTTGCCAGACTCCTGGCTCTTCTTCTTGCGAGCAGCCTTCTCCTTGTCCTTTCCGAGACGGTTGAAGTACTCATGGAAGAAGACATCTTCGGCGGCAATGTCTTCGGATTTCTTCTGCCAGAAGGCCTCCGAGTTGAGGGGCAGGTGGTGGGCGTGCTTGCCGGAGCTGACCAGTCGGTCCTTGGCGTCGCTGCCGGCAAGGGGCTGCATGATAGACGATCCACGGACACCAGCAGAAGCCTTGGGGGTTCGGTAGACGAAACGGTCAAGGAAATGAGTCAGCGTGTGGATGGTCATATCCGGCTTGCCACTCATTGGCTTGTGATCAAGTAGATTCTCGGCATTGATGGACACGGACGGGTGGAAATGGGACAGATAGGGTAGCTGTAAAGTGGTGTATTAGCATGTGCACATGGAACGTGTTCGGGGGCGGACAACTCACCAATTCCCAGAGACACGTGCGGTCGGCATTACTGTGCTCAGGGTCTCGCTTGCGGGGATCGTAGTTATTGGAAGGCTTTTGTGGGGTGGCTTGAGCAACCACTGGCTCTTCCTGCTCGTCATCCTCATCGGGCACATCCCTGAACACCTCTTCGTCGTCGTCGTCGTTCTCCTCGGGCTGGTCGAACAAGGACTGGAGTCCAGGGAACGTCTTCTCCAACTCTCGGATCAAGTAGAATACACCGCAAATGAAGGCTGGCTGGTGCAGACCGAGAACTTGGATGATACGCTTGACAAAAGCCTTAACACGTCGGGGGTTTACATCATTCTTCAATGCCTTGAAAAGCAAGTTGAGGTAGAGGGACTGTTTCGAGGATGTAGCCACCCGGGGATCGAGGAGCGACTCATACAGAGTGCGGTAAAACCGGTCGGCGGCAACTGAGTGGGTGGATGTCAATTGCTGAATCAACATGAGGGCTTGAATACTGGTGTTAAAGTTGGAGGAGTGGGTAATGCGGAACAGAGTGTCGATATGCTTGGAAAGCCTACAGATATGATTAGTAACAGTCTCATGATTGAGCAGACAGATTCAGAACATACCGCTCCGTGTCCGAGCTGGTGAAAGGATAAGCTCGATTGACACCAGTCAAGACTCCCGAGATGAGTTTGTCTCGCATTTCTTCAGTCTGAGCCTGTCCCTTCTCGTCTTCCTTGTCTTTACCGCCCTTCTGGCCGAACTTGCCATGCCTCTTCTTGTCCTTTTGGGGTTTGAAGGATTTCAACAGAACAACGAAGAAGGTGAAGTAGATGTCGAGCAGCTTAATCGCGACCTGCTCCTCTTTCAGGCTCAGAACGGTCTGGTTGAGGGTGATCATGGCATAGTACTTGGCGTGTTGGCTCTGACCGGGACGGAAAAGGACTTCCTCAACAGAATTGATGATAGTCATTCTCATCATCGGATGCGCTTGCTCGAGTTGAAGAAGTAGGTAGGAGGATCGGGAGGCGATCTTCTTCGCTTTGTCGCCCAGTTTGTTGACCAACAATCGCAGAAGGTTAGTTTCCTGTTCGGGCTTCTCCTTCAGAAGCTCGAAGACATAACTGACCGCTCGCGAGCGGGAAAATTCGATTTCATCGTTGCACCACACCTCGAGAATCTTCAGCATCTCAAAATACTGATCCTTAAGGAAGCTCTCAAAAGCCCAAACGATCAAGTGACTTTCCTCGAGACCCCCCGGAAGAGCATCACCCTCCGACCATCTGCCTCCCGCGCCTTGGAAGGCCGTCAGAAGACCCGGCTGGTTTGCAAACGACCTGAGTCTACGATCACTAGGGAGCAAAGTACCCTGCGCGAACATATCCTTCAGGGACCGGAGGACTTCCACGGCCTGGGCACGACTGCGCTTCCTGCCAAGGTTGATCAGACTTTCCAACGACTTGCTATTGTGCACAGGCGACTCTTGAACGGCAAGCGTCAAGGCTGAGATCTTATCGCTGAGCGTTCCGGATGACATGATCTGGGTGTAGAACTTGTGTGAAGACGACGCAGAAGCTTGCTGGGCCTCGGAGTACATCTTGCTCTCCTTCTCGACCAGTGTAAGGGCATGCTGGTACACGCGCTCAATCAAGTGTCGGGGTAGTGCGTTGACTTGCTTCGCAGGGATCGGAGGAAGTTCGATATTGTACCAATCAGATCGTGGTGAAACCGTCTGGTCCTGGAATTAGTATACAGTAACGCGCAACCCTTTGGTTATAAACTCACAAGCTTAGAAAATTCCTTGGGGACTTTGTGAACCGGATCTTGATTGGCTTGCTGCTTCTTCGTCTCTTTCTTGGTCGGAGGCGGGGAAACTTCCTCGTCTGACGACACGCCCTCGTCCATGTCGCTTGGTTCCTGCTCGTCCACATCCAATTCGTTATCCTCCGCTTCGTTATCTTCCTCTTCCTCTTCCTCTTCGTCCTCCTCTTCAGCCTCGGCCTCCTCGTCGGGTATATCATCAGGGACAACCTGTCCAGCAGCAGCCAGCATACTCGAAAGTTCTTTCCGTAGGAAGTCGTCGTCCGACTTGTTATTCGACTTCTTAGGGGCCTCCTTCGCGCCCTCCACCTCGGAGTCCGATTCAATCTCTGCTAGTAGATCAAAGTCTTCCTCGGTACCGCCCAGAGCCAAAATCTCCTGTCGCAGGGTATCATTTTCATCCGCTTCGTTGCGTTTCGTGGGCTGAGGTTTCTCCGCATCTTTCTTTCCTCCTTTTGCAATCACATCGCCGTTGCGATCGCGCTTCTTGCCCTGGTTGTTCTTATCGGCATCGGATCCCCGCTTGGCAGCTTGCGTCGGGGCAGCCGGCTTGTTGTTCTGCTTCGGGGCCTCCTTAGCACCCGGCTTCAGTTTGATGTTGTTCTTCTTCTCCTTCGCCGCATTCTGGTCCTTCAACTTCTGTTCGATCTTCTGTCGCAGACCGGCAAAAGCCCCCTCCTGTAGCTGGGGGGAAGCATCTCCAGCAGCGCTGGAGTCTTTGATGGACAATCCACCATCAGGGACGGTCGCATTCGCCCCGGTGGCGTGTTTACCCTTATTCTTAGCCATGAAGAGCGGTTCAAATCGGCCAAGATGTGGGATTGAATTGATTGTCTGATAACTTTTTTTTTTCTGCCGCCCGAAAATCCCAGACGGACGAGGCCGCCGGAGAAATGGTTCCGCCGAGAAGTGACCGGTGCACGGGCCATCCCGAGGCCTATCGCGATTCCGACTTGTTTGATTTGCTTTACTTCTCGACAAGATATACTTCGATCCATTGGGGGTTCTGAGGATTGCGCAGCTCGGTCGACTGGCTCAAGGTTTCTGTGAAAGTGTCAACTGAACCCCTCGTGATTCATGCTCTCCGGGTTCCGCCCGACTGCGGGCCGCTATTCGGGTCCTCATCGAGCATATCTGGGAGTCTTGCGATTCCAGAGAGTTGCAGGATGCTGTTATCATGTATGATCTCGTGAGCTCTTGTGCGGTAATAGTTGCTAATTCTGTAGACTGATGGCCGAAGCCGGATATCCAATTTCTGGATTCCGACTGGTGGCATCTCGAAGAAGAAGGTCACGGGAGAAAAAGGTACATGCGAGAACCGTCGCTCAGAATGATAGGTCTGACTTGGAACTAGAGGATGCAAATGATCTTTTGGTCAGAGGTGGCTTTCTGCGACAGGTTAGTGTTTATGCCGTGCACTCAGCAACGAGTCTGGTGGGTCTAATCTGCTTCAGGCTTACTCGGGCATTTTCCACATGCTACCTCTGGGACTTCGTGTCCAAGATAAGCTAGAGCGTCTGATCGATAAACACATGCAATTGATTGGTATGTGTATCTACCAGATTGCTGGCTCGCAAAAGCTGATCAGGACTTACAGGAGCCTCCAAGGTCTCTTTATCGTCCATATCCGCCCAAGAGCTTTGGGAGCGATCCGGACGTTTGACGGAGAGTTCCGAGGTATGAGTCCGTTGCTTCAGGCTAAGAATTGTCACTAAGAGTTACCCTTCAGGTATTCAGATTTTTTGACCGCAAAAAGTCTCGCTTTCTTCTTGCTCCTACTCACGAAGAAGAAATCACTACCCTGGTTGGGAGTCTCACCAAATCTTACCGCGATCTGCCTCTACGGGTATATCAGATCTGTAAGCTCAAATTGTTTAGTTATATACAGTGGAAGGTAGCTGATTATCATCATAGCGAGAAAGTACAGAGATGAACCAAGGCCCCGACAAGGCCTCCTTCGTGGGCGTGAATTCATCATGAAGGATCTCTACACGTTCGACCACAGCGTGGAGGAGGCGCTGAAGACATACTCATCGGTCAAAGCCGCCTACACGGATCTTTTCAACGAACTCAAAGTGCCCTACTTGGTTGCTGCTGCAGACTCGGGTAACATGGGTGGGAACATGAGCCATGAGTTCCACTTTCCCAGCGCGAAAGGCGAGGACACGATCATTAGCTGCACTAGCTGCGACAGTGTCTATAATGAAGAGTTGGCGGACGGGAGGGCCCATGGCCCTGAGCAGACATCTCAGGCCGCCTCACCGGATGGGTTTGACACCGAAGCAAGATCCATCAACGCGGCACCCACCGTTTCAACGGATCTCTGGATGGCTATTTCCAAGGACAAGCAAACCTTAATCCGGGGCTGGTACCCAAAATTCTCCATGCAGGACGCAAGCCAGGAGCCTGTGGAACGAGAGGTCAATTCCCACGCTGTCAAATCCGTCGCGACCGCAGCAGGCATCGATCTCGATCTTAGCGTCGAGAACCCCTTGGAACAGTGGACGGAACAGATCAAGTCTGCCAAGGCATCGATCGACTCTTCCTACCGACCGCGGGTCTTGGATATGTACGATTCCCAGGTGCGCGTGTACAAACGGCCTCCCCTGAGTGATCTGCTCCAGCAGGTGAACTGCAAGGCAGATGATGTCGACTACTCAATGCTCGACCGGTTCCCCGAGACGACCAGCGGTATCAACCTAGTCAAGATGCACGAGGGAGATAAATGTAGCCAGTGTACTCAGGGACACATGAAAACGCACACTGCCATCGAGCTCGGCCACACCTTCCACCTCGGCACCCGATACAGCGAGGTTCTCCAAGCATCCGTCATGGTTGATCAAGCACACACTGGCGGTGGCGTCTCGGAGGACCAGAACGTGCACATGCAGATGGGCTGTCACGGCATCGGCGTCTCCCGCATGATCACCGCAGTCGCCGACAGCCTCGCGGACTCCAAGGGTCTCAACTGGCCGCGCGCCATGGCCCCTTACGAAGTCATCGTCGTCCCGGCCAAGGGTCTACAAGAAGAAGCCGAGAAAGTGTACGATGTTCTCAGCGCGAAGGGTCCCGACGCCCCGATCGATGTCATCCTCGACGATCGCGACAAGCAAATAGGTTGGAAACTCGGCGACGCCGACCTAATCGGATACCCAGTGATCGTGGTCGTAGGTAAGGGATGGAAGGAACAGCAGACCTTGGAGGTGCAATGTCGTCGACTGGATAATTTGAGAGAAAACGTGCCACTAGACCGACTGTCCGAGTTTGTCAAATCCTTACTGGACCGACTATAGTGGAGTGTCCACCCTTGCCCTGGCCCTTGTACAATAGATAGACGGTGCAAAATATTGTATACTTGTGTCTGTCTCTATACCCCTCATCTTAAAATCTCATCTCAATTGGCAGTAAATGCAGGAATCAGCCTGCTCAATCAAACCTAAGGCGAATTCCGCCTAGAACCCAGGAAGAAAACTTTACTGTAAGGCATTTTCAGTATCTTGGCCCTGCCTATCAAGTGGGTGTGGCTGAGCGGCGTTTACTTGTACGGAGTACTCCGTAGGACAGGGCTAACGACCGCAGTTCTTGGCGTTGATGTCAACCATCACTGACTCACCGTCTTCTCTTCTATATAACCATCCCCAGTTATCTGCAACCCCTTCCCCTTATCTCTCCTTGGACCACACTCCACAGGCTCAATCACGTGCCTTTCAATCTCACTTTAAATCAAACATTCCAATCCTACCCAAACCCACCACATCCACATACATCCACATCCCGCACACTTCAGAAAACCAAGAATCAAGAACAATGAACCCCCGAATCGGCGTCGGCGCCTTCATCCTGAACGCCCAAGGGAAATTCATCCTTGGACGACGCAAGGGCAGTCACGGTGCTGGTTAATACCCATCCCCCACATCCCCCCCAATCATCCATCTCAATATCTAATATCCAAAAAATCAGGAACATGGGGTCTTCCCGGCGGTCATCTGGAATTTGGCGAGTCCTTTGAAGACTGCGCAGCGCGCGAAGTGCATGAAGAAACGGGCCTGGACCTTCCCCTGCAGAGCATCAAGTTCTTGACTGCCACCAACGACGTCATGACTGCGGAGGGAAAGCATTACGTTACTTGTTTCGTGGGATGTAGGGTTTCTTCTGCTTCTGGGGGTGGAGAGGTGGAAGTGAAGGTTTGTCTGTTTTTATTTTCTCCCCCTATCTCTCTGGAATCTTCTTCCTTTCGTTCTTTCTGATCATTATATCTGCTCGCTTTTGCTTGATATTGCTTGATTGGTTGTGGCTGATTCTAACGATTCGACAGGTCATGGAGCCAGAGAAGTGCGATGAGTGGCAGTGGGTGAGCTGGGAGGAGATTGAGCAGTGTGCGACAGCGCAGAAGGCCGCAGAGGAAGAGGGACGGATGGATTCGTTTGAAGGAAGAAGGTTGTTCATGCCGATTGTGAATCTGTTCCAGCAGCGGAAGGGCTTTCATCCGGTTCATAGCCTGAGTGCATGAGCTTGGACTTGAGTGGTTGTTCACGAGGATTAAATTGGACTTGACTGGGCCTCCACGTTTGATGAATTGATGATATCTTTTGAGAGGAGCTCGTGAAAGGGCGACGACTACATAAAACAGCATAACAGAAGTAGAGAGCAATTAAAGAATAAATCCTCTCCATTCATTTGTTGATCTCTGAGCCTGATGATATTGTATGGGAATCAAGAGCGGGGAAAAGGAGCGGTTAAGGAACGCTGCATAATCGACAGTAATACGATAGCTGTATACTGACTGATCTATAGAATTTCAACAAGGCAGAATCTACTTCGTTACATAGGACTCCTGCCCTTTTACATACTAGCGTTGGTCTTTGAGTGGGTTGGTGATAGCGATTATCTCCTACATTAGAATCGTATAGCTTAGTTATTGAACTTGAGTTGCGCTTAGACTCGCTTGATTTTGCAGTTTAAAGTCGCTTTCGATGGTGGTTGCTCACGCTAAGCATCTCTATGATAAAAGCCTATCCGCCAGTTACGTGTTATTCTTTAAGTGTCCTGGAGTTGTTTGAATATAGTATATGTAAACCGCTCGGAGTGCCGAACTTCGGGAAGTGATGCCCCTGCCCCGAGGCTATCTACAACGTGAGTTGATTTACAGCTAGGGGCGCTGGCTAGAAAGCAATGAAATATTGACAGGCCAGGTAGTTATAATGAAAATCTTGATTCGATCACCAATATCTCGCGGAACGCTTGCGTTTTTAGATAGCATGAAGAGTATGTGTGTTCCTTAACGAAGCGTTGCCGTCTTTTGCTTGCGGTGTATCGTCGAAATTTACCCGTTTGTACCGACTTTGTAGGATAGACTAGTTGGCCAGCGATGTGCTAGCGAAATGGGCCGGCGCCTATCCTTCTGTCTCTGAGGAACTTCGTCTATTTGGCTGGCTTTAGCGTGTAACTGACCTACCCACCTTTGGGCGCACTTTTTCGGGATCGGGAGGAATAATGCCTGCATTCTGCACATAGCATGTATGTTGCGGCCTTTGAGAGTCCCAATTTAGGCGGGTGACCGGTAGGGAGATCTTAGAACATCTTGAGGCATATCGCTCTATTCTTCGTGAATCCATGGACACAAGATTCTGGCAGCTGACTCCGTCATCTTCAACCTATCGGCACTCCAGATGATGAGTAGGGTCGCCAATAATTTGGCCGATGATCGACTGAAGGGAGTCAGAGCTCCAGTCCATATTGGTGAATAGCGCAAGAGGATGCGAAGTAGGTACAACCTAGGTCGAGGGAGAAAATATATAAAACAGAGCAAGTGGGGAGGCTCGTTGGTCTTTAGGGACACATCTTTCTATTAATAAAGTGCTCCGAAGGCACAATAGAATCTCCCGTGCGACCGGACGGTCTAAGCGTCTAATGAAATTGAAAATCCCTAACGACTTTCGGTGCTCATTACTACAATCGGAGCTTCTATGTTGCACGTGCTGAACACTTTTCGTTTCTCCTAGGAAAGTGGTACTTATTCCTAGGAACCCGAGGGTACCTGAGGACGTTCCGCCGACCCGGATGATTGAGACCAACGTTGTGTAAGGAAATCAACAGGGGTCCACTTTTACCGACGACTCGAGGCTGCTACTTGCCTAGGAACGGAAGTATGGTTCCTAGGGTTTAAGTATTGATTCCTGGGGATGTCTAAGCTTGCAGGAATACCCATGCCGTTTCTGGGAGCACCCATTCGGTTTCTAGGAACATATATCCAATTTCTAGGAGACTGAGTGCTGCTGGGAGCTCAAACATCTGCCCTGCGAGTCAAGCAAATTTTCATTACCGCCATCTATGTCACTATACAACCTCATGCATAACAAAATCTTGTAGCAGAGAAGGATTACTATAAAGCGGCAGATTAACCTTAGCTGTGTCTTTCAGTCGCCACTACCGCTTTGATACAATCTTCGCCTCCCATCCACGTACTACTTTTAAGATGTCAGACCCCTAATGGCTTTGGGATCCCTGACCATCTGTTAAATGGGACTCCTCTGGGAAAATAAGACCTAGTGGCCTTACTAAAAAAAGTGATGCTTGTAAGTTGATTGTGAACAAAGAGACCTTGAAAGAAGACTGGCATAAGTTGAACGACCTTGCACGAAGTCCATTTAATCTTTCCACTCTTGACTCTAAGCTTGGCGACCTTGTATACTTCTTCCTCTGTAGAAAGTGGCACTGAGCACGTCAGTACGATGATATTAAACAGCAATGGTTCGATGCAGCCGCGCGAAATCAGGCCGATGCACAAGAGTCCCCGCGCCAGTTTTCCATACATTACCGGGCTAGAAATCAACGGTCCGCAACAAGAATCAGCTAGTACTGCCTTAGAGCTAGATGAATTTGCTCTAATATGGGGCGTTGACGTGGTTTTCCCAAGGCTTCCTGCCTCTACATAGCTAGGCATATCTCCGCCTCCTAGTCGGGATATCACACCAGAAATGCTCACAATAAACCGGGGGCCCTGGGATGTTTCATCGGACGATCCGGCCATTCTATCTAGTCACAATGAACACGGTGGACTACTCCCTCCAGATTCACGCCGTCCGCCGGGAGTCCTGTCCTGATGGTGAGATGTGTCCCATTTGCTTTGAAGGAGATAGCGATGAATCCGTCATGCTACAATGCGATACATGTGATGGTGTGGTCCATTTAGGGTGCATGGAGGGCTGGCTCGCCCATCGTTTACCGGGATATAACACCTCTTGCCCGACACAGTACGTATTTCACAACCCTCTGTTCCCCGATTCATTCACTAACCTAGATATAGTCGACGCCATGGATCGTTCAGTGCTCTCTCTTACGCTCATCGGCCGTTAGAAATACTACTGGCGAGCCGACAGCAGAAACACCATTCGATGCCACATACACACTAGTAGAAAAGACAAGTGTGCCAACCGCACCTCCACAGCGTCGGTCGACACAACCTACCCGGCGTTCAGACCGTCTTCGGGTCTCCTCAAGCTTATCTCTTAATCGTCGATCACCTCGATCGAGACGGGTCCCCGAGCGCTTTCGTCCCTAGGCGTAGATTTCAGATAGACGAGAGCTGAGTGATGAATACACGAATCCGCTCAATCTAACACGGGTTCATCTTGAGACAATGTTTAGCACCATTCCTGCAATAATCAGTAGACATTTTTAATTGCTATTGAGGATGCATGATCAGACATGGTTGGGCCGGTTCAGGGCGGGTATCACCGCGGTGATTGTTTGTCTAACTGCAACTCTCGACTTAACCACTAAGGTAGTTGAACAACCGTAGGCACAAACAGCCATGCACGGCTCAATATTTCAGTGTTAAATTAGCTCCACAGCGAGGCAGCCACGACCTTATCTCTAGACCTCATTATAACATAGTGATTGCCTCAACGTCTCTGGATACAATTTTCCCACTACTCATATAGACGATTTGAGCAATACGACGTTGCTTGGATACTTTAGATCCATCCTACCTCCTGAACACATTCCTTGCAAAATAGATTCCATACAGCGCCAGCCCTCTGACTTTGTGGCGAGACGGAACGCCTGATTGAGACGCTTTGGAAACATCTCGTCCTTCTGCGCCGTCTGCTAGGACCCAGCCCGTTCCAGCGGTAACCCCTTCTTCTGTGTCCCTTCCACTCCCAGTGCTGTATGCAGATCAAAGTATAGCCCAAACAACTGCGCCGCCTTTCCAAATACCATGGTTGGCGTACGAGGCGATCGTGGCGATCTTTCAAGGACAGTCTGTCTTTCTGGCCCGACACAGGAAAAACAAAGCAACACTCTTCAACATCCATCTTTGGAAGCAACAGCTCTCATCCGTCTTTGGAGGAGGTATTATGTATGTTGTGGAAGATCCTACCCTAACATTGACAAATCACGCGCCGTGAGTACCCGCGAAACGATCGGTCGGGGCTGCCCTGATCACTATCAAGCCACATGGAGCGACCTAATTAATGCTTTCACATTTGTGCTCGGGTAATGTGTTACTTCGAGTCATGATAAGCATTGGAATGTAATGGCTTTGATATGGGAGAGTGGGAGATTATCAATTGAGTTGATAACTGCCGTGGTCAGATGAAGACTCCCTTTAGACAATTGGTTTTCTACCAGTAATTTGATATGGCAATTGGAGATTTTAGGATGTTATTTCATCATTCATTCAACTACTAGAAGAATACTCATAAAGATGCAAGTGATTTCCATGACTCTTATTCTATTTAATCAAATTCTTCACTCTGAATGATGTATTCTACGCTTTTTCTTCGAGCATTTCGCTGCTAAATCAAGTCAAAACTTCAACGGTCAATTTCTAACAAAGTTAAACAACGGTGGTCACAAGTCAATCGATGCATTGAAAAATCCAACTGAATCACTAGAAAATGCTCAAAAGATCAATATCAAACCAAGAGGTCCAAACAAGGCGAAAGAAAAGCACATTGATGGGTGAGTTGTGACAGGTGCTAGTGAATTTCTATAAGCGGGGAACTATAAGTTAAAAATAGCTAGATACAGGCTCTCCCATGACATCAAGACGAGGCGTGATTCCCAATCCTGGCAAATTTGGTGCGCTGAGGCGCCCTTCGACAATCTCGAAAGGACCATCGGCTGTTTTGACCGTAACAATGTCGCGTGTCCCCAGAATGCACCGAAGGTATTTCTCAGGGATTGTCTGGGCAATATGAACAATAGCGGCAACTGGGATATCCGAGCTGACTGTATCTTGAACAGTAATTGAATATCCTATTGAAAGGCAGCTATCTCGCTGGTGACGACATTTCGTAAGACCACCGTTCTTCGAGATCTTCATTCCTATACCGTCCGCGGCGTCATCTGTAATAAGCTGAATAACAGATGAATCTGTTGTTGCGAGCTCATCAAAACAGATTGGAACATTTGTCCTGCGTTGCAAAGAGACACATTCTCTCCAAGTAGCACACGGGCCTCCAAGAACGAAGCCCAGCCCAACAGGTAGAAGACGCAGCAAGGGCAGGGCAGTTTCGACGGTAAGTCTTCCATTGGCATCGACAAGGAAGAATTCACCAGGCTGTTTATCGGCAAGTGCAGCGGTGATACATGCTGCATCAGCCACAGGCTCACTGCCGACCTTAATTGTATGTCCCATATAATCATGGCGCCGGTGTTCTGCAACTCGCGTACGCATTTCCTTCGGCTCCCCAACGTATTCAGAAGATATGATGGGTAGATTCACACCCGTTCGACCACCATGGAGGTCACATATTGGTATACCAACTGACTTGCCGAATATATCCCAACACGCAATGTCGATAGCAGTCTTCGCATGTTCGTTTCCCAGGAGTGCCTCATCCATTGCCTGGTTTATGCGTTCGACTCGTCGCGGATCGAGTCCAATTCGGCAATACCAGCTCGCACACCAAGGGCATGAGTAGCAACATGTGTGGAGCCAAATGGCGTGCTTTCACCCCACCCCTCAATGCCATTATGTGTAGTTATACGAACAAAGGTGGCGTCAAAGCTGCGATACTCCCGTCCGCCTGATAGAACCTAGACACCACCTGAATATGGGAGAGTTGTCTGGAAGACATCGATTCGTGTAATGAATAGTTGCGAATTTCTAGTCTTGAGTTCATCTATTCCTCCTGGGGATACACCAAGCCGCACTGAGACCGCGCATCATCCATGCGGGACATGATCGTGAGAGTAGTGTGCTGGGAGCAAGTGTCGTTTTCTAGCCTCCCTGCTCTAATATCCTCCGCAACAGCGTCAGCCTCGTAGTGGAAGCCCCTTCCAGGAACCTCAAAGTCCAATCTCTTATCCTCTTCGCCATTGAGCCGCACTACCAAGTAGTCTGGTTTCGATGTTCCAGGTCCTCCGATAGCAATGGAGCCTTTGGAACCTACCACACAAGCAAATTCTTCTCCCGTCTGGTATATCAAAGAAGAAGTACAAATTGCATGAGCTTTCAGATCCGGGTACTGGAGAATCACGGACGTCAGCTCATCGACCTTTTTGTCCAAATCCGTTTCGCTACCGAATATCATGCTGGCCTTGAGGCTAGGGTTGGTATTGGCAAGGCGATCCGGGGATGTGTCCAGAATCAAGGACGCCCAAGTGAGGGTATAGATTCCAATGTCCAGAAGGGCACCTGCGCCGAGCGCTCGACTAGCAGTGCGGCGGGTCGGGTCAGCCTCAGCGATAGGCATGTAAAGCCCAAAGTCAACAAAGACAGAAGCAATTTGTCCAATGACCTTGTCCTCGTGCAAGAGTGACTGAAGCTTTTTGGCAATGGGGAAGAAGCGCGTCCAGACCGCTGGTTATCTATACCGTTAGCAGTGTCACCTTTAGAGGGAGCCAGGATTATTAACCTTCCATCAGGAAAACATTCTTCTCACGAGCAGCGTCAGTTATCTTCTTTGCATCCCGGGCGTTGATGGCAATAGGTTTTTCGCAGAGGACATGCTTCCCTGCAGCAATAGCATCTAGAGCGTTCTGGCAGTGCAAGACATGAGGCGTGCCAATATAGACAATATCGACGTTAGGGTCGCTATAGACCGCATCATACGAATCATAGACGTCAGGTTGTTGCGAAGGGCAATGGCTGGCAACAAAGGCTGACCCTTTCTCTATGGAAGAAGACCCCACAGCCTGGACGATGTGTCTCGTGGTGGCGTCCGGTCGCTTCAGACACAGATCGGAGACGAACCATGAGGAGATCAAGCCGCATCCTAACCAGGTAGAGAAATTTATTAGCAATGCGAACCTGGAGGTGTACGCAATTTTCGGGTGACTGGCATACCGACAATGCCCCAGCAGAGAACAGGGAGTTCTTCTTTTCCAGGCATGTTGTTGGTGCAGCGATACAGAAGCCACAAAAGCCAGACTTGCGTATGGCCTACTTACACTCTAGGTTGGGCCAGGGTTTAAATACAATCAAAGGCAGTAGATGGGACCTTTCGGACAAGATAGCCCGATAATGACTGAAGCGAACGGTCGTCGTCCGGGACTCCGCGAAAAGGCCCTAGGTGGGGCTCCGCGAAAAGGCACGACAAATACGCATCTATCAGCTCGAAGACTCTATGTATTACAGAGAGCCGGTGGTGTCAAGAATTGTGAGGGTCAAATGAAAAACTCAAGGAAGTGTATCGCATTTTCAGGGTTCAAGAGAAAATATCTTCATAATTGAGCTATGCCCTAGAATCGAGCTTTGATATCAACTAGAAAGGCTATCATCACAGCTTGTTTTGCCTAGTACCCTACACCATATCCGTGACGCATGGCCATCGCAAAAATCTCAAGGTCCTGCAAAGCATCTTCTACTGTTGTCTTCGGCTGCTTTCCGTTCACAACCATTTCCCAAAGCGTTTTCAGCTCTAGGGTATACGGATCCTCATAAGACTTCCGAATGGTGGTTTCTTTATAAACTCCATCTGCGTTCTCAGCAATGTGCATAATCACTGGTAAGCCTTTGACGTATGGCGTATCGTATTGAATCTTGACCGTCTTTTCGGTACCATATACTTCCAGATGGGCATCAAAGCGAGGAACATTGTCGATTCCCGACTCGTATGAAACTGTAAAGGTTCGGTATTTATACAAGACGCTATACAGAGTGTTCCGGTTAGCATTTTATTTCCGACCAGGTTCGTAGCCAGGGAGACGTACTTCCAGAAGGGAAACCCAAGAGAAGAGCCGACGACATTTTCAGGCATTCCAAGAGCTTCCCTCATAATGGAAAGGTCGTGAGAACCGAGACCACTAAAGATGCGCCACATGAGAGTAGATTCAGGAGATCGAGGAACGCCGCCGCAGTCGTCTTTGAGGGCAGTCTCCGCCATTTCTTTCGCTCGCGAGTCCTTGTCTGCGGTGTCGGCAGCAGAAAAGTCGGCAAATCGTTTGGGGAAAGTCCCAGATTGATTCACAAAGTGGGCGTTGGGCCCGATAATGTCTGTAAAGTTGTCAGTCTCTGCTAGTGGCCTATGATGTTATCCGCTACCAACTCACCTCGCACTCGCGCGTACAGGATCTTGTCCATGCCTCCAATTTCCCGAACTGCATCCTCAAACGGAGCAGCATATCGCCTCATATACGCAACCATGGCTCTCCCCCTGCTGCGCTTCTTAACCTCTGCGATAGCCAGGACATCTCGCTTCGTGAGTGCTACAGGTTTCTCTACGAGAACGTGCTTATCATGTTCAAGAGCCAAGATGGCGTGGGAAGCGTGATACTCGTCAGAGCTAACTACTACCACAACATCAACCTGGTCAGAACTGCAAAGCTCGGTGGGGTCGCTGGTGATGGCCGGTACATTGTTGAGCTTGGCCGCGCAGTGCTCGAGTGAAGCTGGAGAGATGTCACAAAGATAGGTGACTCGAAACCAGTCGCTCATGAAGGACAACGTGGGAATGTAGACAACCTGAGCGACCTCGCCGCAGCCGATGAGTCCAACATTAACGACTTTGCTTGGGGATGACGCGGGCATGGTGAGAGATTGCCTGACCAAAATGACGATGAGGACGAGAATAGTTTCAAGGGGTAGAGACCGATGAATTTAGAGGGCTTGAAGATAGAGCTTAATAGGTGTGACTCTACGTTGATCGAGCTCGTGCCTGTCCCGGCCAATTCCGAGCGGCACGGGGACGATGTATGCTGATGCTTCCAGTAGCGTTGCAAGGAGCCACACAGACAACAGCTTGAGAACAAATATAGCGAACTCCGACGCTCCCCGACGACTCCACTAGCTCCACATGCCCGAGACTCCGCGAGCCCCACGTCCCAAACCCAGAGGCCACTCATGATATCAAGCCCGTGTCTCCCCGTGAATATTATCTTCTTGCATGTCTCGTCCTTCCACAATGTCGCATTGCTTCCAGCCTTCGGCTGTTCCCTCGCTATCCTATCCAACCTGCCAACGTGTACCCGACCCTACGTCGGCAGGGGGGCTCCCATGTCCTGATTCAAGTCCGGGGAGATGCAAGCGGGGATATACGACTAACCCCGTCTCCGGAGACTCCACGCTGACAACGTCACGAAAGCGTCAACGGTCTGACGGCTCAAGAGTTTTGAAGACCTACCCAAGGATGCGGGCTCTCACTGCATGCCAGCTATGTCGCTCAAAAAAGGTCAAGTGCAACAACGCGCGTCCTTCATGTAGTCATTGTGAGAAATCAAAGGCCACATGCGTTTACGGGGACTCTCAGGATATCTCTTCGTACGTGTGATTTCTGCTCAAAAAAGAAGCACTAGTTGACTAACCTATCGTAGCTTTGACTCTGCGAGCCTGCTGATCTTGGACAAGCTAAACCACGTCCTTTCTCGGTTGGATGATATTCAAGTTCCCGTCACTAGACTTGCTCCATTGATGAGCCAGGTCGGCGGCCCCGATATCACAGCAACGGAAGCGGATAGAACGCCAACGCAGATTGACATGCGCGACCATGAAACTGAAGGGCAAGACCAAGACTCAGACGAACTTCACATACCGTCTTCAAGGGCCAACGTAGATGCTGTTCTCCAGTGGCCCATCTTTGGTACCCTATTTCCGCCCAACTACATCACAGACGCCGTTTTCGGGTTGGAGTGCTGCGATGAGGCTCAAGAACTCGAAGGTACGTCTCGAGGCTCAAACCAGCGACTTGTCATGAAGACATCATCCTTGGGTATTGATGAAGAGGAGATTATCGATCTGGTACAAGCATTTCTTGAGCTTGTACACATCAAGAATCCTATCCTGGACATTGGAATGCTCTGCTCTTATGCTCGCAGTGTTGTCGAGGATGGGCTGAAATGGGACCCGGCTTCATGCCTCGTAGTGAGTTCACACAAATTGACCTCCGTTCGAGGCTTACTCAACCTAGCTTCTTTCGTGTGCGCTCGGCAGAGTGGCGACACGGTTTGTGCCCGCGCAGGTCAACGAGACGGAAACACAATCGACATCGCTCGACGCGCAAGCCCAGGATCTCCGTCAAGGCGAGGCATACTATAACTTAGCTCGAAGAAGGTTTGGTATCCTAGGGACAGGGATTCTCTCTTCACAGTGTTACTTCTTAGCCGGCGTGTACAACATGTACATCATGCGACCGTTGACCGCATGGTCACAGTTCCAGTCAGCCACCAAGTCCTACTGGCTTTACCTGCAATGCCAGGCGAAAAAGCTTCCTCATCAGATAGTGGGCTCGACTGAGGCTTCCAAACGACGAAGTATGGAGCAGAGATTGTACTGGAGCTGCTACAAAGCCGAGTGCGAACTGCGAGCCGAGATTAACCTCCCGAATAGTTCCTTAGCGGATATCCACTATTCTGACATGCATCCTTCGCCTCCGGATATAGACGATGACGGAGTCATCGCCGAGTTTGGGTTATCCCCTCAAGAAAGACCTAGTTGGTCGAGATCGGCCATCCGCACGACTTTCGGGTCGCGTCAACAACATGAGCAGACCTGGTACTACTACTTGACTGAGATAACGCTGCGTCGCATAGCCAACCGCGTGCTCAACCTTTTTTATGCAGGGGATTATAGCAATTGGACAAGCGACTTGGTGCCTTTCATGGTTAAAGCTGCCGAGCAGTTCGAGCAGCAGCTACAGGAGTGGTACGCGGGTCTTCCGCCTCTCATCCAATTTCGCGACGATGCGCCTCCAATAGAAGAGCTACCGTATCACGTCCGAGACCGCGTACTCGAGATTAAGACCTGGATCTACGCGCCTTTCTTGCACTACGCCATTCATTCACCACCTGGAGCGCCCTACCGAGATATTATCCAGCCGCTTGTCGAGAAATCAGTGGCATACAGTTTTTATATGATGCGGGATAAACCAAACTGGCATCGCCATCACGGAAGCTGGTACATGATCCGCAGTATCGCGTCGTCATGTTTGCTCATCCTCGGCGCGATACGGTGCTGTACCATCCCTGTGCCTGGGGAATGGAGAGAAGAAATACGGGCAGCTATTAGAAGGATGCAGTACTGGGCGGCAGAAGGACCAGGCATTTATCGCGCCATCGAAGTGCTTGAGACCTACCTGAAAGATGCTTGACGCTGTTCCTGTTCTGGTGGCTTGGCCCTTTCGTTTCGAGCTGGTGATGGTAGATGGGCTTTTACAACACGATACGCAATTGGTTGGCCAAATGGATCACACCAACCATTAATACCCATGCATCACCTGGCTGCTGCGGCCTCACCATATGGTATAAAGTTGCTTCATATTCCACCGCCGTGAAACGCCTGCGATTTCATCTTGTTTCGGCGTCAGAGCTATGAGCCGCCTTTCATGTTTCATCTGCGGACGTGTGGCTAGACTTGAGGCACATTCATGAATATGGCGCTTAGAGGAATGGGTCGGGCTTCTCAAAGCAAGGAATGGAATAGGATGCATTTTCTGTGTCGTGATATGTGATATATAGAGCATTCTATGTGGGCCGTCATGTGTATCCGTGCTGGACACGTGAGCGTATTCGACTTAGAATTGCCAGATTAAGAAGACCGTTCTGAGAGAGAACCCTTCTTGTGAGGAAATGCACCATGTGAGTCTCGACTTGGAACTAAAGGACCGCAGTCACGGAAGGACTGCAGTCCACAGTTACACTACTCGGGCCCAGGAATGATGAAGAATAAGCTATAGAGACATCTACGGAAAACAACTTTCCGTCCAAATTTTTTGCCTTCTAACTTTAGACACAGCTAGATTGGACCAAAACACCAAACCTAATACACAGTAATTTCAAGTCAGTTAGCACTTTCCAACTACTTGTCGTCTGTATCTTCGTGCAGAAACCGAGTCAGTGAAAGATCTCAAGTCGAAGTGCTCAATTTCCTGGGCTTAAGGTCCCCCGACCCGTGAACTACTAGTATGTTTTCGGTCTCCCTTCGTTGACCGATACGGGGAGGGAATGATTAATGGACTCGAGCAGCTCCTCTCTTTGACCGTCACCCGACACCACGACCCAGCTCTTGCCCATGGGATCTTCCATCGATCTCGGCTGATTCACCGGTGCTGTCTTCTCAATTATTCTAAACATTCCTCGGCAAACACGCCTTTTGGGTGATAGAGAGATCACCGAAAGCCCGCAGGTCATTTTCCCTTAATGGGCATTGCATCCCATAGGGCTATGCGAGCCTAGATTAGCGTTCGCCCATTGGAAAAGAGCTTCTGTCATCCGTCATTTCTTTTATGAGCGGAGGGGCTTGGACATCGCTCCATGGTCTAGGCCCATGGTGAACCTGTGTCCACAATTATTGGCTTAGCCTTCTCCTTTCTCCACCTTGGAGTAAAACGTCTCTATGGAAACCCCTGGAAGATCCCGACACCGCGCACTCCATCATAAACCAACCGCGGCGGTACCATGCTTGAACTGTCCTGCCAGGAACCATGAAAGCAGCAATTTACGCCCTAACAAGCAAAAAAATCGTAGAGATATTCGCACTTTTCGGGATTAAGAAGAGTGAGCGGATAGACTCACTGATCACCGAGCTGTCCGGAATAGGTAAGTAGGTGGCTTGATTTACAGTGCGATTTTTGGTTAAAATATTCTCCGCCTACCTCTTTAACAATTTGGAGATCAATCAAGCTGTGGTGCAAGATGTGCGTCAGGAACAACTGCAACGAGGATAGTCTATTACTACTACCTCAGAAGCCTTCATCTAGCGCAAGCATGCCTTGGATCAGTGTTAGTAAGAGATGCAGAGTCAGAAATTAGGCTGTAGTTACAAGGATACCAACGAAAACTCCCACGAAAGTCAAGGTAGCTAGTATAATAAATACAGAAATTCAAGACTATCATCTTCGCTGCAAAAGTCACTGCACAGGCCACTGCACAGGCCACTACACAGGCCACTACACAGGCCACTACACAAGATATTATCCGAGTCTTGCCTCCTTGGGGTTTGGAATGATATTGAGAGACGTCGATTGATATCCATGAGTGGCTCGACTCGGATTGTATAACCAAGGTCTTGCCTGGTTGACCTTGTTGTCATTATGATGTGACCCTGTCGTACATCCGGAAAGAAACGCTCGACGCCAAAGTTCTGACCTTCTTCGATGGAGCCGTATGATTTCACGACATTGTAGTTGTCGTATATAAGCAACCAACCATAATTCATGACCTCGCTCAGCCATCTTTTGGTCTCCTTAACGGCCTCTTCGGTGTCTTCGTTTTCGATGATCTCGCTCAATTTCCCCCACGAAGGATGATCGAGAAGGATACGCTTTGCCATTACCATAAAGTTTAATTTCAAAGTGCTCAAGGTGGTAGCGTCAAGCCAAAACACTGCTGAATATTTATTCCAATGACGCATCACGTATGCCACCGCAAGTTGAAACTTACCAGATCTAGCACGTCCTTGTAAGACAGCCGTTCCATCAGAGAGGTTGGCTAGGAGCTTCTGCTGAATATGCGCGAGCTCTTGTTCTCGCCCCATAGTGTATGTTATTCGAGGGATATCGATGGTGTTGAACCTAACAAAGAACATCTCTGTATCGTCATAGTTAGTTATTGCCACTATCGAGAAGCGTTATATTAACCTACCGTCCAACCCTATACGACTCCTTGCAGAGCCGTAGGCCTGTTCCTGGCTCAATGAAACTTCCGATAGCAGTTCTTTCGCATAAGCAGCTGCCGTGATGGCCACATGACCTTGCCAGTCCTTGTTCTTGTGGGAGTCGGCATAATCAGAGATCCCTCGGATCACCAGACAAGGAAAATGGTCCATGAGCCCCGCTGCCTCCATCTCAAAACACAGGACCCCCAACTCCTGTGTCCGGCCATCTTTCATGACTTGGTTGCCAGACGCAATGATACCATAATGAACTCTTGGTGCTGGAATAGATCGCCGCTTTCGGGCCACTCTTTGACTGTGATCACAGGAAGAACAGTCCAGAGAATATGCCTCATGATCGTAAGCAGCATTGAACAACATATCCCGGTCTTCCCCCGGAGAGCGAAAAATGGATGGGTCGCCAATGCTTTGGGGACGGATATCAGAAAGATAGTCCCGAAACTTGTACTTCCCGACCATGTGGTTGGATTCCACTTTTGAGAGCGCAGTAAGCAGAGCTTGGGGTGGCAGGTTCCGCGTTCCGATGCGTTCCAGACGCCCCGATGCCAAAGTCTTACCATAGTCGTATTGCACAACACCCGGTGTAACGCCGGTGGGTTTACTTACCACAACATCCCCCAGACGGATATCCGTCGAGGGAGACGGAACACCGCCACCGATACCGACCATCAGCCCGAAACGGATTGACCGGAACGTGAACAGAATTTGTTTCGCTACGACTGCTGCAGAAATAGTCCCGTAGATGCCCGATGGAAGACATGCGACAACACATTGTGGCCAGAAACTTTCCCGAGGACATACGTGTTATGATCATCTTGTGGTTGCTGAAGCCTAGTGTGGACTTCGTCCAGCATAGCCCTGGCGGCGGCCATCTCCAACAGGAGGGCACAGATCCATCCGACAGTATACTCATTATGCCACCGCGCGGGCATGTTGATCCTGTTGATGATCTTCTGGGTGGATGGGAGGTGACAAGCTGAGGACAACTCTGAGCACAATGCCGCAGTTTATGGAACGGGTGAGCAGAAGGTAGTTGTGGAAGCTGACATCCGCCAAACTAGCGTGTCATGAGCCTGACCGACCAGGCCCTGGTCCAACCAAAGGTCCAACCAACTCCGACAAGGCTGAACAGTTATGCGAGAGATGACGAGGTATTCGGCGTTGTGGGGTTCCTCTTCCAGTTGTTGCGACGAAGAGATCAGGTTATGTATATTGTTAGGGATGCCGATATTCACCTCTGTGATGGCAATGAGGATGGAAGGAGCCACAGTCATCTGGCCTCCTTATTGGAGACAGGAAAGCGTACATTGGCCACGGAAAGCTTTGCCGACAAGTCTTACTGATGAGCGATAGCTCTGATAAGGCTCGAAAATCGGATGGAAACGCTTGATTCTTTCTAATACTACACAACTGCAGAGGTTCTAGAGATGCAGCGGCCCAGTGTGGGTCAGCGGACTGACTAGCTACGTGCAGCCTAGCGCCGCATGCCATACATCAGGCTCCAACACTTACTAACTTATATGATCCTCCTTGCAAAGGCATGTCAGACGAACTGGTGCAATATCTGCTCACCTGCCAGCTGAATATGCACTCGTCTGGTAGTGTTGTGAAATGCGCAGGGGAAGGAGGGCAGAATGACACTGTATCGGCTATACGCACGTAGCCTACTAAGGAGCGAATGCCTTTCGAATGATAGGGCTCTTAATTCTCTTGCATAACGACTTATCTATCTTCTTGTGTTGGGTTCGATTGTGCGGGCCAAGCCGCTAGATCACGTAATCTCATAGATGCGTATCAGGTAGTAGCATTGGTATATAAAGATAAACGCGAAATGGAAGCCGATTCAACTCGACTTAGCAACGTTACATGTCGGCTGCCGCCGTCCTTGGTTATTCGGACCTTCCGGTGTGGCACGACGACTAGTTACTAGTCCGCGCTTTGGACAGGAACACTAATGCACTGCGGCACAGACACTCCTGGCTCACGCAAAAGAGCGGCTGACCTCACCAAGTGGTCATCTGAGCCGAGTCTTACTATTTTCATCTAATTTTCTTCAGTGACACTGTTCCTGTGGAGCCAATAGCGAGATATAGCGCAGGTGTTGACAAATACGGACACAGATCTACAGGAGATCATGTTGCGAAGTGAAGTGCTCTTCGACTGGCAGCTCGTTCCGTGCCGTAGACTACCAAAAAGTGGATTGCTTCCGGGAGCACAGCCTTTTGAGCTAACCCCCAGACAGTAGCAGGGAGGTAGCCTCGCATTTCAGGTTGATCACAGCTAAAAAACACGCCACAGAATATTTTGTATATTTTATCGCACCCAAAGCCTGTTGTTTCTCCCTTGCAGGATTCTTAAATCAACTGGATCGTGAAGCGGGGGTCCCATGTAAGCGCCGGGCATTCCGTTATTAAAACAGGCAGCTTTTATCATCTCCGCGCTAAGATTGTTACCCTTCAAACACGTTAAAAAGGCTCTGGGACTTAACCAGGTTGGCCCCTTACCGTTGACATTTGCAGGGTGGGTGAGATTTAAAACTCCAAGCCAGCCTCTCTTACAGTTATCCGATCATTCTTCACGGCGTTACAAAATGGCATCTCACACAAGTGCCCGTGACCTCGTCAGGAGAATTGCAAAAGGCCACGGCCATTTGGGCGAAAAGACTCTTCAACGTATGGACCCGGAGACCCGCCGGGAGGTCGAGGAAGCCATGCTGAAAAAGGATGAGCTGATCGGGTCTACTGTTATAACGTAAGTACAGCATAATATATGCTTGCATGGACCCTAGTGACCTGGACTGACTAGCTGATATGAATCCACATTAAGTCTGGCCAAAAATGTATACAACAGCAGCGCCAGATTTGTCTTCGAGCTCTTGCAGAATGCGGATGATAACAGCTACTCCCGAGCCAGATCGCGTTCAGCAACCCCCTACGTTTCGTTTCAAGTATATCCCCGGCAAATAGTCCTGGAGTGCAATGAGGACGGCTTTACGCATGAGAATTTGGTTGCCATCTGCAATGTTGGACAGAGCTCGAAATCGGGTGCCCAGGGCTATATTGGAGAGAAAGGCATCGGATTCAAGTCAGTCTTCATGGTGGCTTGGAAGGTCCTCATACAGTCAGGAGAGTTTTCTTTCTACTTCCAGCATAGGATAGGCGACTCGGGAATGGGCATGATATCACCCATCTGGCAGGAGGTTGAGGAGAAAGTCCCGGACGGTATAACTCGCATTACGCTATTCTTGCATGATAGAGGGCCAGATGAGGTCCTGGCGAGGCAACGGGAGACAACGCTTCAGCAATTTCGGGATCTCCAAGCCACCTTTCTCTTGTTTCTGAAGAACCTCAGAAGGATCGAGGTTCGGACTTATAACGACTCGGAAGAGCAAACTTCATCTGTGATCTATTCAATGCATTACTGGCCGTACCATCTGGTCAAACTTGCAAAGGAAACACAGAGGGGAGAAACGACCCAGGTTGACATTCAAAACTTCCACATCACCAAAAAAATCGTTAAAGGTCTTCCGAAAAGTGAAAATCGAAACTATACAGAGGCTGAGGATTTGAGCAAGGCGTATGCAAACGCCGAGATTGTACTCGCGTTCCCATTGACTCCAGACTCTATTCCGGTTATTGAACCACAGGATGTTTTTGCTTTCCTTCCAATACGAAGGATTGGATTCTCAGTTAGATACCGAGCCCGCATATTTAGATAAAGGCTGACCCGGTCACAGTTCTTAATTCATGCGGATTTTGTCACAGATGCCAGTCGGCAGGATATTGTTCGATCCTCCGCTCGCAACCTCAAGCTCCTCGGCCGTATTGCTCGGGTATTCGTGAAAGCTGTGTCGCAATTTTGCCAGCATATAACCCTGCGGCACCAGTGGATGCGTTATCTTCCCCAAGCTAATGAAACCCATTGGGACTATTTTTGGGCCCAGCTACTTGACAACATCCGCCTTCACCTTTCAAGAACCCCGGTCCTGTGGACCAAAAGTTACAGCGAACTGCGCTGCATCGGGGATATGCGAAGACTCCCATCATATATGTTGGACAAAAATGGAGATCCCCTCCTAGTGGATTTGAGGCCTGAGCAATACCTCGCTTCTGAATATCCAACGAAGGATTTGGACCTTCTCGAAGGCTATGGACTTCTCTTGTTGGACGAGGCGGGGTTCCTCGACAGAATTCGTCAGGACCTTGACAGGGGAGAGTTCTCTGTGGTACGGTCATCCTTTGACGACGACTGGCATTCTCGTGTGGCAAAAATTTTAATTTCTGCCTTTTCAGCGAATTCAGAACGGATGAAAGTTCTTTCATTTATTCCGTTGATTGACGGAGAATGGAAATCAGCCCGGTCGATCATCGACAAACCCATCTATTATTCGCACTGCGCAGGGTATCCGATCCCGACTAATAGAGGGTGGAACTTGGTTAGCCCGATTGCCGAGAAGATCCCAGAACGTAGTCTACTATTTGGTCTGCTTGGAGTCCGGAGACTCGAGGTATCCCGTGTTCGACGAGCGATTATAAGATACATTTCCAAGGACTTCGTTAATCCCCAGAATTCCCGTCAGAATTTGCACTTCCTTTATCTTACTGCCCGTGTTGATCGTTCCACTGACTCTCCACCCGACTATGACGGTGTTTGTCTGATAGACCGACAGAACAGGAAGCGGCAACCGCAGAAGAGTACGTTCTTTTTCCCAGGCAACAACCCGTACGGTGCCGAGCGATTACTAGAGCCTATAGAGCCAAAGGGAACCGGCAAAGTTGCTCCAGGCCTTGATGTATCAATACTCCATTCCCATTACATGGAGGACTGTCCGACGCCACCAGAGGGTAAAGGCCGAACCTGGAAGACGTGGCTGAGTGAAATGCTGCATGTCCGTGATACCGTTCCCCTCACTCGCTTTGGGAGGCTGAGTGAAGAGTGCCTCTACATAGCAAAGCACCGTCCGGATCATTTCTTGGGCTTCTTAGTGAACTCCTGGGAGTCTGAGGGCGCCACTGTCATGGCGGATCGACAGCTGATAAAGGAGTTGCTAGACATTAATGCCCTTTGCGAAAGCGGAGACATGTACCCTCTGGGTATGGCATATGTACCTGCTCCTGAACTAGCCTATGCCAGGCAATTCCTTCTGGAAGACGACTTTTTCCCGTGGATTCAAGTGGACGCATCTCTGCGCAAAAGCGCCTGGCTTTCCGCCTTGAGTGCCATGGCTAAGTCATTGGGTTTTGGGTTTCCACGGTCGGAGCTGGAGTTTTACCTTGCCGTTCTACGCTTTATCGCCAAGGCCTCCTACAAAGTTGAAGGCCCACTGATAGAGGCTGATCGATTGTTTGATCTGTATTTTCGAATTCAAGCCCGATACAGCGAATCTGCGACTCCAAATATCAGTGGTGATATAATTAGGTAAAACATGAATTTTAACCGTCATCGTCTTATATGCTGAGTTTGAGGCACAGGAAAATTTTCATGTCCGAGAGACTCGTGTATGTGCCCCAGCTTGGTGATCAGCATGCCTTCTGGACCGATCCCAAGTGGTCTTTATGGGAAGCGCCTGAAGACATGATTTACAAACCCTCTCTAAAATCCCGATATGAAAACGTCAAGAATGGGATATACCTCGCCGAATTTTTTCAAAGCACGCTTGGCATACCAAATGCTAGCTTAGATGATTTCATGGATGAGTTGCTCGAACAAAATGCGAATGGTTCTGTTAACCTCGACCATATATGCAAATTGTACTCGGAAATTGATAAGCTAACGCAGGAGATGAACCCTGGCGTTGCAAGAGCAGTCAGGTATAGTCCCTTCCCCGGCATACGATAATTTGTTAACTCATACCTTGCAGGGAGAAGTTCGAAGAATGTCAGCTTATTTATTACACAGATGGAGACGACGGCGATTGGCACCGCCCATCTCAGTGTCTGTGGTCGACAACTACTGACATCAAAGGGATGGTGGCGCTGAACGACCTGTACGAGGACCTCTTCAGCTTTTTTGTCGAGCTTCTGGGTGTTCGCACGTTGACACTTGAGATGGTTCACGATAAACTGGTTGAGCAAGGAAGGGGCCAAACGTCCATCAACGAGGTGAAAGACACGATATGGCTGCTGAATTCATACCTCCAAGGCGAGGAAGAGCCTCCGAGTCCCACGCAGGCGCTTGCAAGCAAGGTGTTTCCAGTCCGATACCCCGATGGTATTGTCAGTCTTTGCAGCTCCGTGGTGGAGTTTACCATATTTGACCGCAAGCACTTGTCGCATTATTTTTCCGACCAAGTCAAGTCACTTGACTTTGAGCTCAACGAGTTCCCACGCCTGGCACCATTTCTCCGATGGGCTAGGCTAGAGGCGCGATATCTGTCATCATCTGTCAAGGAGATCTCGGCGCATTCTGGCGAATCCCACAGATTGACTTCACCGGGCCGAAACATCGCTCAGAAAGCCCATGGTCTGCTCCGGTGAGATCTGCAGAAGAGTGATAATGATACAAATCTACTAACCGAATTGCAGAATCGCTGTGCATTATCAGAGTCCACGTGCGATAAAGAACGAGGCCGGATTTTACGAGATTCTCAAGAACATTGATGTTAGTGAGACAGATGGCATCACCTCGGAGTTACACCTCAATCAGGACGGGAAGGATATCAGAGTTGAAGTCGCCAAAAGCGAACTACACCTCCAAGAAGACGGGTCCGCACTAAAGATATATGTTCCGAGGAATGAGAAGGCCCAGTACCTATGCTTCCTTGACAGGATGCCCAGGGCCCTTTTAGATTGGATCCTTACCGAGCCGTCTACGGGGATCTCTGAGCCATTCGACGAGAGGGCTCTGAACGTGATGCAAAATCTCATACAGGCATCGAGTGAATATGTGTCTCTAGCTCTTGACAGAGCAGGGATCTTGTTAGTTGAAACGCCAGAAGATCCGATTCATATCGACATGGAAGTTACTGCCCTTCCGGACGTGACGGCCACCGACGGCACCCACACCACACGGGCTACCGTTAGTAGCGACAGTGGACATGTCTCGGTCTGGAATTCAGATGACTCCACTTCTTATGGGCCATATGATGCCCCGATTGATATCCCCGGAGGCACTACCCCATTTCCAGGAACAGCACGCACTTCCCTTGGTGGGTTGGGTTTTTCTGCACGTTCCGCGCAAACAACGACTGGTCACATCGTTCCTCGACAATCTGATCTTGAGCCTGTCAGTCTGCCGGCGGATTCAGAATATCACAGACTCCTTCGTCACGTTGTTTCTGCCGCCAGGGATGCTGTGTTTCCGAGCCGAGATCCTTTCGATATGGCAGCACTCAGTCATGGTCTGGACGCTTATTTTTCCGAAGGTGGCGACTATTTCCGGCTCCGTACAATGGAAAAAATTGAACGTGATAAGCGCATTGGGGCAGCAGGAGAATTATTTGTGAGTCTATTCGTGATTCCTCGGCTCGTTATATGGCTTCTTGCTAAGTCCGAAGTAGGTCTTTGAATTGTTGTCACGCTTAGCCCCGACGCTGCCGGACTTCTCTCATGATAATTGGCAGAGTACAATTCGTCATTACGTGAACGTTCACGAAGATTATGAAGATCTGGCTCCGTGGAATGGGCGAGAGACAGCGGATATATTATATGCTGACAGAGACGGCATCTTCACTGCCCTATTGGTTGACAAGGGGTACTTACACGCAGATACCTGGGTAGGACGACGACCTACATACTATCTCGAAGTCAAAGCAACAACGATGTCCTGGGAAACCCCATTCTATATGAGCAAAAATCAGTATAAAAGAGTAAGTCGATATGTGTCAATCTTAGTACTATTTGCTTGTCACAAGCTGACGATCAAACGAACCAGCTGCAAAATCTTTACTGCGGAGCATCTGGGCGCGGAGCACTGGATCGTGTGTATGTGATATTCAGGGTCTTCAATTTAGGTTGTAGTTCGGTGGGAGTAAAAGTCTATGTGGATCCAGAATACATGAGAGAGAGAAGAGAGCTTTCGTTCACTGCGGAGACTTGGTCCGTCACGCCTGGACCATGTTTTGGAGGCCGCAGCCTCCAAGACTCATCACAGTTGAACGAATAACCATTACACTTGGGACTGGAAGAGGGGCGCAATTGAACGGATTTCGGGACATGAAGAGTTCCAACTTCAAAGGCTTTTGCAACGACCCGTTCTTGATTGGCGTTCGGCTATGAGACTGACATTGGCTACTAGGCTGCCGGCGTGCAAGCTGTTCCTCAACAGTAAAGTAGTGTGTGTGTGTGTGTGTGTGTGTGTGTGTGTGTGTATGTGTGTATGTGTGAGTCATTTACTCTGACTTCTCGCTATGAAAGCGATATGCAGGCTACTACAACTATGAATATCTATGTACGTACATGTAGAGTGATTCCTTCTTAAAAACGAACTTAGAGCCTCGTCAAGGCCTGCCGTGGCCTAATTGCTGCTCTCAATGTTAGGCTGCCCTCGTGGCGCGCGACTGCGGAACTGTTGTGACGCCTCAGCGAAGTCTAGCACGGCCTGGACTGTCCTGGCTTGCGAGACGGTAACTAGTTTACCTTTCTCACTTTGTTTTGAGCCTCCCAGCAGACTCAATATGCTATTGAATGCGTCCCCGGCTTCTCTTCTCAACTCTCTTCGAAGCATCCTCAAGTTTGGACAGACCACCAGTACGTGGGTGACTGTTCCTTGCGCTCCAAACTCGCACTGATCATCATCACTGAAGCCAACATGCTTGCGGTAGGTAGATAACCAATTGTGGATGAGAACAAACAGACAACACTGTCTAGAGAATAGTCTTAACCGGAGATCACAATCGACACAGAGAACCTATAAATCTGGAAGAGGCTGGCGACTGGATCCTATAGCAGCAACAGCTACTAAGGGCCTAGCTAGCCAATACTTTCAGATGAAGGTAGGACATGCAGCTACCGGATCATATCTATGCCGCATAAAATCTCGGGAAAGAGCGACCTGCCAAAATTGCCAAGCTCCTAGGAAGACAGTCTCTCATATACTAGCCAGCTGCAGACAATGGCGACGGCAACGAAAGGTACTATATACAGCTCTAGATAAAGCGGGAATAGTAAGACCTTCCGTGCAAGAAACCTACCCAGAAAGTAGGTTCTTCAAGGAGCCTAAAGCCACTAAAGCCCTACTGGACTTTATAGCTAATACAGGCGTGGCTCTTTCTGGAGAACAACACCAGAAGGACCAACACAGGGCAGAGAGAGATGATGAAAGGGGCCTAGAAACTCTAGAGGAGGCTGAACGGACCGGAGAAGGCTAACAGGAAGGGTGGCCTGGTCACATCTAGGCGTCACCCACCCCGCTAGAATCCCAAGGAGAGCAAACATGCTCAAAGGCCCTGCACAAGAAGGCGGTATGGGGCGAGGAAAAGGAACAGAATGTATACAAACGAGGGAATAGCCCTAGGAACTGATAGGGGCCTGAGGCCTAGCCTCAGGCCGACGACACACGGTCTGTCATAGCCCTAGGGGCTCGGTATGGACAATAAACTTGATTAAATAATGATAATAACTTGGATAAGGAATGAATCTGCAGAGAATGTAACAATGACTTTATTCTTTATCCCTCGATGTGTTTACTGTAATCTGGACGCAAATTTGAATCTATACGTAAACAAGCAAACAAAACCCACAAACCTGAACTTTTCTTCCTTTCAACCGAAAATCATCGTTTTCAACATATCCTTCTCCCCGCTGTTCTCTACTAGATTCTTAAACAACCCGCCCTGAATACCCATCAAGTCCTTCGGAGAGCCAAACTCAACCGCCTTGCCGGCATCCAGGACAAGAATCCGGTCGAAATCCGCAATCGTACTCAATCGGTGCGCGATGACTAGCAGGGTGGTGGCGTTGCGTCCGAACTCCGCGCGGATGGACATCTGGATCAACGCGTCGGTTTCCATGTCCACGGCGGAAGTGGCTTCGTCCAGAACCATGATCTTGGGGCGGGCGACGATAGCCCGGGCCAGACACAGGAGCTGCCGCTGTCCCTGGGAGACATTGAGGCCGCCCTCGGAAATCGTAGCGCCGAGAGATGTAAAGATGTTGGCATTGGCATTGGCGGTTGCGGTCGCCGTGTCTGGCGTCGTTGCGCCGGTGCTGCCTGGGTGTCGTGGCATGGCAGTGCGTGAAGTCAGAGTCTTATCGTCGTCAGAGGTAGAAGAGATCAAGTGCACGCGTGCCAATGTATCGTACAGGTCTTCGTCACTATATTCGTTAAACGGGTCCAAGTTCGAACGCACCGTCCCGGAGAACAGAACCGGGTCCTGCGGGATAATGGCCAATCGGCTGCGCAGATCATGAAGCTTGATCTTGGATACATCGAGTCCATCAATCATGATTTGGCCTTCGCGCGCTTCAAGGAACCGGAACAGGGCCAGAGTCAACGAAGACTTGCCTGCACCTGTCCGACCGACCACACCGACTCGCTGGTTCTTCTCGACGGTGAAGCTCAGACCATTAAGTACAGGAGGCAAGTCTGGCGCATACCCAACCACCAAGTCGGTCACCTCCAGCCGTCCTTCCGTGGGCCAGGCGGCGGGTGCATCGGCACCGCCCTGGTTCTCAAGCTCGATGGTGGAGTACTCGATAACGCGCTCGGTAGCGTTCATGTTCAGCTCGGTGCTGGCATACTGGCGCACGGCCATTGAGATGGCTGAGTTGTACTGAAGGGCAAAGCTAAGAGCGAATCCTGCCAGAGAGGCTGTGATGCCGGGAACGCAAACAACCAGGGCTGCGGTGAAAGTTGCGAAGATGGCACCAAGGAGGTTCATCCGGAAGCCAAGCCAACGGTTAAACAGCCACATGTTCCACCAGGCCTGGGCATGACAGTTGATCTTGTTGTAAATAATTCCAATGTAGGCATCGCTCTTGTTGAAGGCGCGGATGGTCACTAAGCCGGCCAAACTAGACCCGAATTGCTCAAACACAGGGCTCTTGGCAATCGACTCTATACGCTTAATCTCTCGCGCGCCAGCCAAATAGATCAGAGCCAGCTTGAGGGAGACCAAAAGCAGAGCGACGGCAAAGATGATCACCACGGGCGAGACAAGCATGCCGGCAACCAAGACCCCGAGCACCTCCAGGACCTTGGTAACCGTGAATCCAATATCGTACCCGAGTCGAGAGTCGATCATGTGGAAGTCCGCAGTGAATCTATTGAGAATTCGTCCAAGGGGAACGGTATCGAGCCATCGGAGCGGAGCGCGAAGCACAGCGAAAATCAGCCCTTTGAACAGGTTCCTCGAGCCCTTGACGGCGGCGTTGAGCATAAAATAGTATCTAGCTGTTCCAGCCACACAGGCAAGCACGGAAATGCCGACATAGACGCTCAGATACATGGCGAGATTGTCGTCTCTACGAGTCGTTCTCGGTTCATTCATCGGATGCTGCAGGAGGGCAGAGAACTGCTCGGAATGCGCCCGTGTGCTGGACGAAGAATTGGTCCAAATATTGACCCACCACGCCTGTTAGAATGAATAATCAGATGTGAGATATGTTCAGTAGGGGCATTCTACCTACTCGTCCGACCATGAGCGTCAAACTGCTGACATAGACCACGCTTGCCAGCAGCCAGTAAGTCCAATGGCCACCCTTGGACAAATAAGCCGTGTATACGGCCAGCTTTACCTTGCCAGTCTCGCGCTTCTCCTCTTCCACGAACTTCCTGGGGTTTTTGGTGCTCGTGAGCTCAGCCGGGGTAGCACCGTTCGTTGCCTTGCTCGGATGCTGACAAGAGGTATTCGAGATGACTTTCTGAGGCGCTGTTTCCTCGTCATTGAGAATCTCATCGCCCTCGGTGACTCCATCCGCAACATTTTCTTGCAGGATATCTTCCAGGTGATTTAACTTTTTCAGCTCATCGATCGTGCCCGCATACTGGACACAACCGTTATCCAGAAGCACCGAGTAGTCCGCACGAGGAAGACAGAGAGCGACATGATGCGTGACCAAAATTCGAGTGCGGTTCTGACCAAGTTCTCCAGTAAGAGCATGCTCATAGACATGACGGCCCGTGTGGGCATCCAGGGCGCTGAAAATATCATCCATGATGAGAATGCCTGCGCGAGAATACAATGCCCGAGCAAATGATACGCGCCACCGCTGGCCACCACTGAGATTGACGCCATTGGCGCCGATATCTGTCATTTCGCCATCGGGAAGCATATCGAAATCCTTTTGCAAGGCACATGCGAATAGCACCTTCTTATAGCGCTCTGGGTCGAACGGCAGCCCGAACAGGATATTGTCTTTGATCGTTGCGTTTTCAATCCACGGAATTTGGGCAACATAAGCGATGGCAGAGTCGATATTCCAGTTAGCGGAGGTTGCCAGGTGATCGAAACGGTCACCGATAGGAGGGGGAACAGGGACTTTGACAGTTCCTTCGAGAACTTCGCATTCTCCCAAAAGGCATGAAAGCAGCAGACTCTTTCCAGATCCAGTTCGACCAGACACGACACTAAGACCCTTCATGGGGAATGCCACATCCAAAACTCGAAGCGCAAACCGGTTCTCATCCACTGCCTCGTCCTCTATTTGATCTGCGGGCCATGCCACCGAAGCATTTTCAAAGGCGATATACTCAGCGGGGACCGTGTTGATGACCTTATCAGGTGTCTTCATGTACTTGTCAATGCGGTCTGCGCTGACCTTGGCTTCCAAACCATCCGCCACTATTTCTGGGACAATAGCCAGCGATTGCTCTAGGGAATTAAAAACTGACATGGCCGTGAAGGCGACTGACGCCTTGAGGCCATGATTAATCAGAGCATACACCATGAGAGACACAGCTGACAACCCAACAGGCCCGAGAATCCAAATTGAGATCAGGCCGATATCACAGAGGAACGAGGTCCACAAAGCCGTCAGCTCCGTCTCGCGCACCTCCCCGATGCGTTTCTGCCACTGCAGCTCTAGAGCAGAGAACTTGATCTGCCTGATTCCCTGAAGTACCTCCGTCACGACGGCCATTTTTTGGTCTCGGGCCTTCATCAGACGGTCCTGGGCATTGGTGTACTTCTTGGCGACGGAGACATTCAGCGGCGTGACGAGAACTGAAATACCCAGACCGGCAATTGTGCTGCGCCATCCGAGAATATTGACCAAGAAAACGCAGCCTAGGAGTACCTTGATTGTCGCGAGCGGGATGAGGTAGTAAAAGGTTGCAAAGTCCGCAATCCGCCTAGCGTCCATGGCAACAAGATTGATGACGCTCTGTCGGTTTTTCTTCAGTGCCTCTTCATCGCCGTCTTCATCTTCCTGCTCTTCCAGTAGTGTCTTGGACGAGGCGTCAGGCTTATCATCCGCACCTCTAGATTTCTTGGTATTCTTTGCATCCTTTCTGCGCATAGCCTTGGCAAAGATCGTGGCGGATAGTTCCTCGTAGATGGGAAGACCAAGCCGGTGGCAAATCACCCAGAACATCCAGGCCTCAATGCTGGAAGCCGCCAGCATCAGGATTCCCAAGGAAAGGACCCAAATCCAAGATTGGAGGGCAGCCCACGACTCCGTTCCGCGGGCTTCCATGGAGTTCAAGATATTATACAAAGCGACCTGGGGACAGAAACTCAGGAAGCAGGCTGCCACAGTCCACATCATCTGCAGACAAATGGACTTGTAGTGAGCGAAAATGATCGCTTTCCAAATCTTTCGCGATCTCAGGGCTCGCTCGAAGTTGGCTCGCAGGCTGTGTGCGCGCACGGGCAATGGCAGCTTCGGAAGACTGTCGATTTCCAGTGTCCTGTTTTTGACTGCATATTGGAGAAGAGTGTTGGCCCAGGAAAATGTGAATCGGCTGAGTACGGAGACTGTCAATTGCTGGTCTACCAGTTGGCCCTCAAAATACACGTCGGGTCGGCGCGGTAGGAGAGCGCAGAACAAGCCTCGGAAGAGTGCGCAGGCAATCTGCACGATCAGTAGAACGACCCAGGCGCGGGTGTGAGGGAGAGCTTTGCCGCCGTAAGAGGCTAAGTTGATCTGCGCCCCAGGAAGCGCTACGGCGATGAAACTGCCCCAAAGTGCATAGCCGGCGTGGTCAAATCGGTGTGTTGGCCGTGGCTCCGTGAAAAAGACAACCGTTTGAATGGAGAGAAAGACCTAGATTGGGATCAGACCTATGGTCACCGAGACAACTTTATTGGACTGAAACCATACCCAGACACCGAATTGCAGCCATACGAACGACGTGTAGTTGGTGCTGTCATTCAACGTTGTCAGAACGGCCAGAGCCAGCGTAACTAGTAGTCCGGAGATCGAGGTCAGGGTGATCAAGATTCGCTGCCATTTATCCGAAAATGCCCGCAGCGATTCCTCGGTTGCCTCGCCGTCATCATCACGATAGGCAACCTTTGCCAGTGACCGCTCATCTTCCCGGGCCGCCTTGCGCGCGACTCGGCTAGTGATACTCTTGATAGCCGGAATACAGATCAGACCGGCTAGTAACACGGCCAGACAGCCTATCGCGAAGGACATCCCCTGCGGATCAAGCATTCTCCATGTGGGATGTTGGTTCACGAGAGAAAGGGTGGAAGAAGACGGAACGGATTTTGCGAGGTTCTCACAACCCTAAGTCAACATGACATCCAAGCGGGAAAGCTTGACTCTAGAATTCTTCCAACTAATCCCTTGACTTCTGAGTCACACTGATTCCTAGGATTAGAACTCACCCTAACTTACTCAGGGCCGACTGCATGTTCTGTGGGTTGTTGCCAATCAATTTCCGTATCTTAGCGCCACGGAAGTCACCTGGTGGTGAACCTGAGGAGGTGCCCCACATTCAGCTGAGATGTAGACAGCAAGCCTTTTTATGAACTATAAACGAAGCATGTTTAGTCGACTATGGCATCGAAATCATTCCGTGCAAAACGATGGGCTTCAGGTCAGAAATAACCATGGCTCGATTGAGCATCCGCCCCCAGGTAAGTTTAGAGGAGTGGGACAAGTTCGCAGTCATGACCCACTTCCAAGAGGTCAGGTCACCTGTATTCACAGTTGATTCACAGTTCAAGGGCATGCTCAGATTTACTCAGTGAGCAAAAAGCGGCAAGGGCTGAGCAATAATACGGAAAGAGAATGCCAAGAAGTGGCAGAGGAAATTAAGTATATAGGAGTTGTAGATGTCTCAGGTACAAACTGCCTACTTTTTTCGCTGTTTGCTTAACTCCTCTAAACCTCTAAACTTGTAAAGCCTGGAAAGTCCTCTTCTTCCTCAATAAATTGATGGTTGTTCTCCAGTAGCTATAGATATTTATTTAAATTATCACCTGCAGTCTCTCTATCGATATTTACCGCCGCCCGGTTCTACACAGGTGGCTTGTAATTCGCTTATTATATCTTCTAATACCAACTCACCAGATAAACCTCTGCCGCCCAGCTATACGTAGAATAGGCGGGCAGTCGATGGTTATCAAATCCTAACTTTTATAGAATACGCTCCCTAGGACCCTGTCATATAATTATATGGAAATAGCGCCGGAGTGCATGCGCTTTGTTAACTGGTCTTTTTATTATATATTATAAGTCATCTCTTAGCATTGCACATCCCTTATACCCCATAGGAGGTCTTCAGTGAGGGCTATCGCCACTCTCTGACCGGACATTAATCAATACTACTACTACAATTCTATCGATATTTATTCGCAACACTCGCATCAATCTCTCCCGATACTCCACTCTTGGTCAATTCCTATTTTGATCACCGCGGTGACTCCGGCAACGAGGCTTCCTTCCTTATACTTCGTTAAATGAAAGGAAAGTGCAAATCGGGAAGGCAAGTATACCCTCTAATCACTCTGGAATCCTCTATGGCCTTTAACTTCTTGTTCTCATCGTGCTATCCACTCATCATCCATATATGTTCAGAACTATCCTTCAATCTTCTATACTTGGACAACTCTATTAATACTCTCACACAGCCTTTTTTACTACCATGACACAACCCTGCCTGACTCTCCCGAAAGCTCAAATGGCTAGACCTACCCAGCGCGTCGTTTTTCCTCCCTTCGAAGGCCTCTCTCAGGTCCCTCCTTTACCGAGCAATATGCAATATGCGCCAGATTACCTTCCTGAGCCGCACAATCAAGGATACAATCTTCCAGAAAGAACCAACATTACTCTGCCTACGATTTCCATACTCCAAGGCCGGCACGACTTTGACCGCTGGGTCTACTACGCCCAAGCCGCGTTGGATTGTTGGGACTTGACACAGTTGATCAATCCGCATCTACCTCGTCCCGATCCGATGAGCCGTGAATACATGAATTGGCGAAGGTGGGCCTTGTACGTATCAGGCTGGCTCAGATTACACATCTCGCCGGAGGTGGTGGAGAACATGATACTCTTTCATAAGCTGAACATGTATCCCGATGAGCTGATCTGCACGCTCTCGCAATTGCTCTTCGCCACTCTGCCCAATTTATTGGGCAATAAAGCGTACGAGACCGTGCTAAGAGGAGACTTCTATACCAGATCGGAGTATTTACATGCCATGTGGGGTAGGAGACTCTATTCGGTTCAACGGAACATAGAGGTGAATCTTTTCGGAATGGTCCTGACCATACTGAAAGCTTTGGAGAGTGAAATTCCCAAAACCGTCGCGGCTGAACGAGATACCCTTCGACAAGGTATTGTCTTGATAGTGGAGGAGACTCAGTTCAGTCAATTGCTTGTGAGGCTTTCAACTGCTGTTGAGTAGTTCTTCTGATGGATTTGAACCACGGCATTGCTGCTTATGGGATTTCAAAGGGGGGATGGATTTGTTTACTTTGTATGCTTTCTCTCTTTTACATTCTTCTGTCTTTGTAGAACTGCTATTCATGGCCAATAAATTAATATTCCAGACTATGCGAGATGCCCAACATGGTTGTCAGGGAGAAAAGGACTGTTTAAACGTTAGTTGCATATACAAACATAGTAAAGCCTCAGGCATCCAAAACACACTACAAGGAGTGCCCGCTGAATCAGCATCACGCTAAACTCAAACCAGAATCCCCGAACGTGACGCTCGAAAGAAAGATCTCCATCGTTCAACATCCGCAGCTCCTTTCGGCTCGACGGACCTCAACCCCTCAAGAGTGTCTCCGAAGCTCCTCTCCGGACCCTCGATCTCCAATTCCCTCCCCCTCAAAACTTCAGCTCACTCACCGTCCAAACCTCCCTTCGACCCTCCACACACCAAACAAAAATGCCCCCTCCAAACACCCCCGCATCCGACCCCCCTCCAGGCGCAGGTAAAGTCCCTCCTCCTCCAAATAAACACCTACAATCAAAACCCGCATAACTGACCACAACCCCTCGCCCAAAAGTCAACATCAACTCCCTCTCCTCCCAGCAGCTCCGCGCCCTGCAATCCCGCCTCTCCACGGAACTCGAACACCTGACCACCTCGCACGCCAAGCTGCGCGCCGCGCAGTCCAAGTTCCGCGACTGCGTGCGCTCCATCAACGAAGGCGTCCTGGGCTCGAAGAAGAAGGGCACCGACGGAAAAGATGATATCTTGGTGCCGTTGACTAGCTCGCTCTACGTGAAGGGGAAATTGGCGGATCGCGAAAAGGTCCTCGTTGATGTTGGGACGGGGTTTTATGTTGAGAAGGTGCGTCTTTTTTCTCCTCTCTAACCCTTTCTTTCTTGGTTTTCCTGAAGCATGGGCTCTGTTCTTTTGGATCTTTGGATTGGAGGACTTGGGGTGATTGAGGACATTTGTTGGATGGGGATGATTGCTCCGAAGATTCTGGATCGTGCAAATCAAGCCAACGCTAACTTGATGCAAATCAACAGACACCGCAAAAAGCGATCGAGTTCTACGACGACAAGATTAAGAGCCTAGATGCAAACTTGCTGGAATTGGAGAAGGTCGTGCAGACCAAGAGCTCGCAGCAGAGGCTCTTTGAAGACGGTATGTCATTCCCGGACTAGAATCGACGGTTCTATACTCGACTCCACCCGACCAGCTCTGAAAATTGGAATTCCCGCTAACGCGCTTGCTTATAGCACTGAGACAAAAACTGTTGAGTGAAGGTGCCGCTGGGGGATCGGGTCAGGCTGCCGCTGCCGGTGGCGGTTGAATTTGATGTATAGTTCCTGTGTAGGGAGTTCATGATTGGAAACTGTGAGCAGTTTCAGGTGGACTGGACTTTACTGGGTGGATGAATACCATCTTGGTAGGACTTGTGAAAATCAGATTTGAGATTATACCAGCGTAAATAGAGCTTGCTGGATTGATAGAGTCCAGTCATCAAAATGATAGGAACAAGAATTTTCGGTGATTGGTCTGTATTTGGAGACCAGAACATACGCCATAACTATAGCGACTCTTTTATTCCTACCGGAAGACTACAGTGTTCTTTACTCTACGTCCGGATTCCCCCCCGGTAGGTCCTACGGGGCTCTCCCTGCCTCTCTACACCCCTCCCTCCCTTTTCACCAGCAGTCCGCCCCCGGCAGCTGAACCTTCTTCTTTAGGAAAATTTGGAAGAAGAAAGAAAAAGAGAAGCAATTATTATTCATTAACGGAGCAGCGCAACATAAAAAACCCGAAAACCAATCACATTCCTCATTAAAACAAAGTGCCTAGGTCTGCCTGCATCAAACCGGTACCCTGAGATCCCAAAGTAGTCGGATCCTGTGAAGCAGGTCGTGGCTTCTTGGTACTGGAAAACTTCGGAGAGGAGCGCTCGGCCGCAATGTTTGGTGAAGTCGAGCCAAGGACCGCAGCTATCTTCTTGACCAAGGACATAAATTCCCAGAAGCCCGTGTTCTTGCCTTCAAACGGGGATACCTGGGCTGGGAAGAATGTATCAAGATCGGTGTTGTAACCAGCTGAATGCCCGACTGACAAATTCGCGTGGCCTCCTAGCAAATTGTCCCATTGGGGATCAAAGATAGATGCACCCCATGATGTCGATGGGACACTAGAGATTTCGCTGCTCACCATAGCCGCTAGGCCTTGCGCTTGGAAGTTTTGAGTGTTGACGCGACTATATTCGTCATATCGAGCAATTTCGAGGATGTAATCGGTGTTTTTCAGGAGATACCGCATGGCTGTCTTTTCCACAAACCTGGCCACCGGAGCTGATTGGGGAAACATCACCTTCCTCTGAGGCTCTGCACAGATGTCGCGCATGGTCCCAGAACGGCGGAATGCGATTAAACGAGAAAATGACTTCAGGGAGTCATCGATCGACGATGCTTCGTAAAACTCCAAAGACTTGACCTCGAGCTGCCAGTCGGATCTACACCAGTTTAGCTCGCTATAACTGATTAGGAAGGAGAGGCTCAGGCGGATTTACCTTTCAAAATCAATGACCCCAATCTGCAGAGGTGCCTGCCTCTCAGTATCTTGGCCACTCTTGCGAGGTCTGAGCCATCGTCTCTGCGTAATCTCATACTCTTGTGCACCGGGGCTTCTCGCAAACTCTGCTTCAAGCCGGAGCATCGAACTGTTCGAGCCTATAAACTCGAAATTGACAGAGTACGCAAGCTCTACATCCTCCAACGAAGAGCATGTAGTATCGTAGGGCTCGAATAGATGAGTTGCTTTGTAGCATCTTGCAAGAAGTCTTTTTTGGTCGACTTTCAATCTAACTCGCATTTGATTGTTAGCCGGCAGGTCGAATATCAATGAGATCAGAGAAAGAGCATACCCGGGGATCAAGCGGCCTTTGGTTTGGTCGTACAGCAGCATCTCTCGGAACTCTTCAAACCCATACCAGGATTTGTCTTCTTTGGGAAGTCGGTAATTCTCAAGAATGAATGAGCCAATATTCACTCGCATGCGCAAATGACCACGGACGAAAACAAGTCCCCGCAACGATTTTTCGACGGCGTTCAGAATGCGCCCATTGTTCTTCGACTGTATAAGCTTTGCTCGGCTGCGCCAGCTTTCCAATTCAGATTCACACAATGGGGTGCCGGAGAGCGAGGGCTTGTGCAGGGTATTGCTCTCTTGAACAACAATCTTTCTTTTCATATATCCTGCCGCTGGTGGCTCGACAATGTAAACTTTGGATACGATATTGCTATTCGCAACCCCTTCGGCCCATTTAGTTCTCAAAAGGTCGGCGATGTGCTTGATGATATCATGGTCATGACCAAGAATACGAATGAAATCTGGTGAATCCTTTGGAATGAAGACATGGCATAGGAACTTGGATCTGATTAGGTCAAGGGATTCAAGCTCGGGTCCAAGTGCCTCTTTGATGGTAGGTCCCTCTTTAGGCCAGAGAAAAAGCAACTAAGAGGCCGAGTCAGTAAGCGAGTATTGCGAGAAGAATTGTTTCATGTGCTGACCTGCTCTGGAAATACGTAGGGCATGTCCGGTGCCTTCCTCAACTGGGTCATGATGCTCTCGTGTCTCTCTACCATCTCGGCATTTGCCTCTTTGTTGACTGAATGGGCGAGGATTTTTGGCCATTCAACTTTCTTGCTGCTGAACGTACGTTGCAGACTAATGCACTTCGAAATGATACCTTCAAGCAGTTCCTTTGCAGCGGTAACCTGGGCCTCTTCACCCCATATGCACATTACCTTTCAATCATTAGTACTTCGAATTCGGTATTCTTAAGGAATCTCAGTAGCTCACCGTTTCTTTATACAAGGGTGGCTTTACATATGCACCAGTCCTCTTGCTGATAGCATCAAATACCTCCTGCTGGGGATGAGCTTCCGAATGGGCTCCGCCTAAAACATGCCTTCTTGCCACTCCAAAAAACCTGCATGTCGATTAGTATATTAGTGTATCCCACAGCGAAGATACAGAACATACTCATGTTTGAAGGAACCAAAGGGGGCGGGCAACGTCAAGGAATCTGGAAAATTTAGAGTTCGTCAGTGCTTTCTATCAATAGACATGGAACATCGATGGCACTCACAAGTTGGCTCGCTTCCCGATCTCCATTTTGACTTGGCAGGGGAGTCCTGAAAGAGATTCCTTAGCTGACGAGACGAGGGAGGAACTGCAGACCACGATGTATCACGGAACCCACCGCGGCCGCGGCTTTTCGGTGGTACGCGAGCCCAGCCTCTTGACCGATTCTCGAAGGATGACTTTCCACTAGGTATCTCAATCGGTATTCCACCCTTTGGCTTTTGGCTGGGAGGCTTTTTCGCGGCAGGGCCTTGGGTTTTGGAAATGGGCTCTTGAGTTGTAGTAGGCTTGGAAGCTGGCTTGGGCTCTTTCAGCTTGACACATCCGTATCCAGGCAAGTTCCATTCTGCAAAAAGAGTCAGCAATCTTTGTGGGTACAGTAGATAACTCACTAGACAGAGAAACTCAGATCTAATGGGGAGCAGGGAGTCAATCTAACCTTGCGCGCCTGAAGTCTCGTGGCTACAGTAGAGTTAGCTGATATAGAAAACTAGAGTAGACTGGCCATTTACTTACTCCATTCTTCGTAGGCCGAACGTGGCAACAACCAGTAAGATAACAGACGATAAGAGAGGACCGCTACTGTGAGAGCTTGATGCAATGACACTAGAGAGTCAAGCGAGAGCAGTGTGTGCTGACCAACAGTTAGACACCCTACTGCTGTACGAGCGGAATTCAGACTATGAGAAACGATAGAATGAAGTACGACAAAGAGTAGACGACTATCTACAGATAAATACAGACCAGGAACGAGAAGAGGAAAGATTACAGAAGAGGGGGGTGGTTCAGAGAGGAGCAATGAGAAGTGAAAGAAAGAAAACCAGTGAAGGAAACACTGGGGAGGGCCCAGAAGGGAATGACACGTGCCGTGCTTGTTGTCTTTGTCAAACGGGCAGGTGAGGGGAAGTACCTTCCCTGTAAATTTCCGAGCAGTGGTACCTCCCACCAGGTTTAAGACATAAGGTTAATGGCCGCCAGTGGGACCGGATAGCTGCATTGGCTGTGAATTTCTGGAGTGAATCCTGGAGACTCTCTCCTAGGTTGATAGTGCAACCTAGAAGAACCTAGAAGAACATGGAAGATATCAGAGTAGATGATTCTGAGAATTCACTGAAATCACCATGCAGAGGTGAAATCCCTCATTCCATCCATCTACCTACCTGTAGTCACTGGTGATTGTATAGATCCAACGGAGACCTTGGATTGGCTGATCAGCTGCGATCTGCGCTAAGCCCGAATGGGAAAAAAGTGGACGACGCGCCTTTCCTTTCCCGACGTGATGCTTCTTTTTCTCCCTGCGCCAGCTTTGCCTTCCCTGCCGTTCAAGCTTTCCCCCGGATATTGCTCCTAGCCATTGACGCCCTTCATGACGGAGATGACTCCAGACCCTGCGGACGAATCTAATCAATTGCAGGCTCACAAGCGCAATGCTCGAAAGCGCGCCCAGCAGTGGATGACCAAGGGAGGCCTGGTCCGCGACGACTCCGACGACGAGCTTGGCGATGAAGACCTCCCTTGGGACTGGATATACGACGAAGACGCCGAGGATAATGCGGTAGAAAACACAGCGGCCGGTGCTGCGGACGATACCCCGAGGTCAAGCCGGAGACGCTCAACCCGCCCGAACGCAAAGAACCGCCGAAGGATCGTCGGAGCTCGGATGGGCTCGTTCGAATGCCGACTGGGACAAGTGGTGCTTCTCAAGTCTCCCGAGCCTGGGAAAGATTGGGTTGGCATCATTACCGAGTTTCTGGAAGAAGATGACGATGAGGCTGAGGGAGAGGTCCTTAAATCGGTCAACATCATGTGGTTCGCCTCGCCGGATGAGTTCATGTCAACACGAAACAAGCGACGGTCGGATGCTTTGTCCAATGAGCAGTATCTGACGGCGGATCTCAACATAAACCCTCTGTCCTCGATCAATGGTAAAGCCATGGTGATGTCAAAGGATGCTTTTTACGCCAAGTACCCGAACGGCACCCCTCCGAAGGGAAAGGACGAATTGGCCGAGTACAACAAGTGCATTGTCTGCCGCAGAGGAGTCAATCAACTCCAGGGACGATACACCGATGAGTTTGTTTGGGAACAAGTCTACCAAGAAGATAAGATCTTCGACCTGATTAGCATGATCAAGAACGGCCTGAAATCGGCCAAGAAGCGCAAACAAGTTGACAATGATGTGAGTTGCCGCTCACATCATGACCCGAGGGTATTCACGATGCTAATAGATCCAATAGTATGAGGACATCAAAGAGGACGATGACTTCACACCCACGACCCCGAGAAAAAGACAGAAAGTCGCCTCGACGGCTACCACTCCTCAGTCACGACGACAAAAGCCTCTGACAACGCCAACTCACAAGAGGTAAGGCGCGCATACCTTTCCCCATAACAACCAATATAGACACTAATTGTATCTTTGATAGAATCGTTGTCAAGAGACCGCTCGAGTTCACCCCTCTCGGAACTCGCGTTCTCTCTCCTACCCACTTTGCTTCCCCATACCGTCAGGCACGCAACCTGTTGCATGTGTCCACAGTCCCCACGTCGCTTCCATGCCGAAAGAACGAGTTCGATACAGTCTATACGCACTTGAGCTCTGCGATCATGGAGGGGACCGGAACCTGTATCTATATTTCCGGGACGCCGGGAACGGGGAAGACGGCAACAGTGCGTGAGGTAGTTGCGCAGCTCAATGGCGCAGTGTTAGCGGAGGAGATGGATGATTTCATCTTCGTCGAAATCAACGGAATGAAAGTGACAGATCCTCACCAATCTTACTCGCTATTGTGGGAGGCTCTGAAAGGTGACCGCGTTTCTCCTTCCCACGCACTCGACCTATTGGAAAGGGAATTCTCACATCCGTCCCCTCGACGAGTGTCGTGTGTCGTTCTCATGGATGAACTGGATCAACTTGTCACGAAGAACCAGTCTGTGATGTACAATTTCTTCAACTGGCCAGCCCTGCGCCATTCCCGTCTCATTGTCCTTGCCGTCGCAAACACCATGGACTTGCCCGAGCGAACCCTCAGCAACAAGATCTCCAGCCGTCTAGGCCTGACTCGTATCACGTTCCCCGGCTACAAGCATACCGACCTCATGGAGATTATCAGCACCCGCCTGGCAAACGTTCCAGGAAACATTGTCGATGCGGACGCCGTCCAATTTGCCAGTCGAAAGGTAGCCGCCGTCAGTGGTGACGCTCGCCGCGCATTGGACATCTGCCGTCGCGCCGTGGAAATCGCAGAGCAGACCAGCGATGCCGCGGCCAGGGTCTCAAGCTTAGATCAACCCAATGGCGACGACACCGAGTCCCTTCCCCCGACCCCTAGCAAGACCCCGGCTCGCAAACAAAAATCCACCAAACAAGCCACCCTCCCTACGATCAGCGAATCGCCTTCAAAAGACCCTCCTCCCCAGAAACAATCTACCGGCCGCGTTACCATCGCCACCATCAAGCAAGCGATCCAAGAAGCCACCTCCACCCCCCTCCAACAATCCCTCCGCTGCCTGCCCCTCTCCGCCAAACTCTTCCTCGCCGCTCTCCTGGCCCGCATCAAAAGAACCGGCATCTCCGAATCCACCTTCGGCGACGTCATCGATGAAGCGAAACGGATCGCCGACGCCGCTGTAGCCGTGGCAGGTGCCGCCGGCACCGGAGTCAAAGAGTTCCTGCTCAGTGGCGGGAGTAACACATCACGTGTGCGATCCCTCGGCCACGCCGCCATGGAGCTCATGAACTCGGGTGTCCTGGCCGTTGAATACGGGACCGGAGCCCGAGGACCTGCCGGCAACGCCTTGCTATCGAACAGGGGAGACCGCACGGGGAAAGTGAGGCTCCGAGTGGCCGTCGAGGATGTCAAGATTGCTTTCCGAGAAGATGTCGAAGCGAAGGCGCTGGGACTGGGGATGGATTCTTAGACACCTAACTGTCCTTTTATCGTTCCCAAGGTAAACGTTAGGAAGCATATATGGCGTATATCAGTGCGGTGGTATTCAGATCATCTAGAAATTCGGCGGGTAGCTAGTACACAACCACGTAAGTCGATAGTTTAATTATAAATGATACCCATTCTACTTTATATCGATGTCAAAGCACAACAGTGAACACACAGCCATAGATAGTTTAAGTAAAGAATCTTACGTTTCATATAATACAAACAACCACAGGGTGGCAAAGAATAAAGAATAAAGAAGAGTCAGTCAATCAATTCCTTTTGCAAACCCTCCCCAATTCCAACAGATAAGTAACTGGATGACATCAAAAACGCTGAACGCCTCAAAGTGCGCAGAACATGTAAATAATTTCGAGAGATGGATGGTCAAAGTAAGTAGGTAGGTTAAAGGTTTCTTTAGGTCGGTGGATTCCCTTCTCCTTGAAAAAGATAGAGAAATTAATCCAACCGTTTAATAGCGCGGGGGTATAAGAAAGAGAGGCAGACAGGATGTAAGAAGGAATCTAATATCTCTGACGGCCCAGCGTAGGTGCCCAGGTAACGGGATGCGACTCGGGCGTGGCCTCATCATCCTGCTTCCAGACCTTGATGGTCTTATCGGCTTCGCCGGTGATCAGACGCAGACCGGTGCGGTCGAAGGTGGAGGCCATGATGCCGGCTTCGGCGTCCAGGGAACCGGGCTGGGCGGTGGTGTCGATGGACTGGAAGCGGTAACCGGTCTTCCAATCCCAGAAGGACATGGAGCCGTTGTCGCCGCCGGAGAAGAGGACGTTGTCTTCGTTGACGGCGAGCGAGTTGATGACGGCGTTGTGGCCGTCGAAGTTCTGCATGAAGTCGCCCTCCGGGCACTTCCATTGCTTGATGCTGCCGGTGCTGGCACTGGCGAAGGTGAATTCCCGGGGATGGGTGACGATGTTCCGCACGCCCTTCTTGTGGTGGGTGAGCACGCCCATGGACTTGCCCGCGGCGAGATCCCACAGTCGCACGGTGGCGTCGAGCGAGCCGGAGATGATCTGCGGGTCGGCTTCCTGGCATTGCACGTCGGCGATGGTGCCCTTGTGGCCAGTCAGGACGTGCACGTTGCTTCGGGTCCGCATGTCCCAGACTCGGACGGCGCCGTCACGACCACCAGTGACCAGGAGGTCGAGACGCGGGTGAAGACCCAGCGTGTACACACCACTGAGATGACCGTGGTAGTGGCGGATGACCTTATTCGTTTCCAAATCCCAGCACTTGACCATCTTATCTTCACCGCAGGAGAAGAGATACGGGTGGCGAGGCGACACCGCCAGGCCACGCACCGTCGAGATGTGACCCGTCAGCGTCAAGCGCAGGGCGCCCGTCGCAAGGTTCCAGATCTTGATCGTTCGGTCACCCGCACCACTAGCAAACCACTCGTTGTTCGGCTCCACGGCCAAAGCCCGCACCCATCCCAAGTGTCCGGAAATCACACGCATCAGCTTCCAAGGCGCATGCCAGTCGGGTCTCTGTTGTCGCGTCGCGGAGGGTCGCTGGATCAGACTCTTGGGTTCGTTCTCGCCACCGACGCCACCGGCCTGGGGACCAGCAGGTCTCTTCACCAGGGACATGGAGGCGCCGCTACCGTCCACGGGCGCTTGCGCCTGCATGCGAGTCTTTGGCCGCTTTGCGCGCCCGGCGGCGGCAGCGTTAGCTTGCTTTTCGGCGAGAGCTGGCGGGAGCTCCTTCACATCCTGGTATTCAGCTTTGCGGCGGTACGAGACTCCGATTGAGCCGTTTCCTGTCGAGGGCGTGACCATGAGGTAGTCGGATCCGAACAGTTCGGCGGTTCTTTTGGCAGACGTGCGCACGGCATCTTCCGGCGAAAGGGGGGATGGAGCGACGTCCATTTTTGCGATTGAAGGGTGTGTAGTGTTGTAGGGTCAAGAATCTCGAACGGTGGCGGAGCTACTTCGACGTGATCGCGAGAGGCGTGAACGAGAAAGAGCGTGTCGTTAGGATCCTAATCCCCTGTCAAGGGCTAGGGCTGTTGAATGCGGGGAATAATGGAGGTCCAAGATCCTCCAAATACTGCTCGACAAACAGAGAACACGTCCGGAAAAGCGAATGGTGGACGGCGAAAGGGAGTGGGAGGAGGAAGTGCGACGGACGGGACGAGATCGACTTAATTTCCTGTTCGACTTTTGGCGGAGAGCTGTTGATGCCTGAGGCAGTAAGGCAGTAAGATGTCGACTCCCGCTCGTTCTTATCGCATCTCCGACAATCATCCGATCTCTCCAGAACCGCCATCGATAACACCATGGATCCCGATCACGACGCCAAATTCCCTCTCCACGAGGCTGCTCGGGAGGGCAAAAGTACGCATTTCCATCCGTATGAGTACTGCGCATAATCTCTAACTTTCTCTAGCTCAAACGGCCGAATCTCTCGTGAACGTGAGTGCCCGCAAACTGCCCCGCATCCATCCGCCAAAGCTGTCTCCAGCTAATGGACAGCACCGATGATATGCTGGACAACATAATCTAACGAAATCCCAGGCGAACCCGAAGCTAGCCAACACGAAAGATGACGATGAACGTCTACCCATTCACTGGGCCGTTGCATACAACCACCTTCCCATCGTCGAGCTTCTAGTGTCGACCAAGAACTTTGATCCCGATGTCGAGGTTTGCGCCATCGTTTCATCCACGGTTCATAGAAAGAAACTCATGAGATTCATAGGACGGATCAGGCTGGACCCCGTTGATGATTGCATCCAGCTTGAAAAACGCAGAAGGCGACCCGATCATCGAGCTATTACTTCGAAAAGGCGCCGACGTAACAGCCAAGAGTAACTCCGGTCAGGTACACACCACTCCCTCCACTCCCTCCACTCCCCATGCACGCAAGAGAAGCAAAGAAAAACAGACCGCTGACCATCGAATGAACGGCATCCCTACACAGAATGCACTCCACTTCGCAACCTCCAAAGCCAATATCTCCACCGTCCGCACCCTAATAGCCAATAAATGCAGCGCCAGAGTTAAGGATAAGCGCGGACAGCTACCCCTTCACCGGGCCGCCGCGATCGGGTCGACGGCCATCATCAACATTCTGCTGAAAGATGGAAAGAGTCCAGCCAATGCGACGGATATGGATGGCATGACGGCGCTGCATCATGCTATCTGTGAAGGCCATGGCGACGCTGCGATCACGTTGCTCAAGGCAGGTGCGGAGACGGATAAGAGGGATGCTGATGGGAGATTGGCGATCGATATGGCTCCTGATGGGAAGGTTTGTTTTACTTTCCCCCTGGTTTGACGCTACCTGGTAGTTCTGGCTTGGTTGAAGATGATGCTAATGGTTTGGATCTAGGTCAAGGGGTATATAATCCAGACTGCTGAGAGGGAAGGCATTGAATTGTAAAAAGACTATGGTCCTGATGACGCGGATTAGCAAAGAGAAAGGGGGCGTAACAATCCAGATACCCAGACTTTATGTATGCAACGCCATGCAAGACCTCTTTCTTCCTACATCAATTCAATATAACCAGCATGAAGTCAAGGTCATTCAATCGCCGCGGTGACCACCGCGAATGAGATTCTACAGAGCTAGCTTTGTGTTCAAGGGCATATTGATCATAAACAGTTCACTACAAAAGATGAGTTTTCTAGTAGAATTTTGTATCACATAACGTCGTCTAAATCGGAACCCATCTACCGTGAAATGCTATATATACAAGAAAAGAATATTGTAAATAATAAAGGGGCAAAAACGACGAAAAATAAAAATTAGGGCTTTTCGGAGTCTATGCATCGCTCATTTCATAGTACTGTCGACCAACTCACGATAGATCTTCTTGAGATCGGTAATATCAGCCTGCAGCTCTTCCACCTGCTCACTCTTCTCACCTAGCATCTCCAACGTGGTCTGGTACCGCTGGTCGAGATCTTCCAGTCGATTCTCGAGTTCCTGGATCCGATCGTCAGACTCCTTCTTCTCTTCAGACTCCCGCATCAAGTCGACGACTTGCTGTCGGGCCTCGTCGCGCTGGGTGGTGATCCGGGCAAGTTCGTCTTTCGACGCTGCTCGCTCGCTCTCTAATCGACGGACCGTGGCGCTCATGCGTTCGACCAGTTGAACGGAGGGACCGGCACCGACGGTGGACTCGGAAATGATGTCGTTGATTCCGCGCGACTGCGCGCCTCCGTGAGCGGACGGGGTGCCTATCCCGGTGAAGAATTCATCCGGCTCGTACGAAATGCCAGGGGTCTCGGGGATCTGATGTATCGATATACCGTTTGCGACAGAGGCAGGGAAGGAGTTCTGTCGCGGAGGAGTGCCAATTTCTGACGACGTCATTTGCAAGGTCGAGGGACGACGGCTCGTGGGCCGGTGGTCGGACAGAGAGCCGACGGGCTCCAGGTTGCTCGATCGGCGACTGAAGCCCACGGGGGATTCTGTCCGGAGCAGGTGCATTGGCGAGGGAGAGTGATCGCGAATCTTGGACCGTTCCTCTTCGAGCTTCTGCGTCCATGTCGCATCCCACACCTTCTTCTGTTCGACGAGGTCGTTTTGGGCTGTCTTCAGATCGTCGCTGGATTTCTGTAGCTTCTGCTCTAGTTTCTGTAGCTCTTGGCCGCGTTCTTCTAGTCTGCTCTCCAGATCCTGCTCGGTTTCTTTGGCATTCTCTAGTTCTTCTTCGGTTCTCTTGACCTTAAGGCTCTATCCATGGCATTGATGTTAGCATATCGTTCCCGATTATAGAGTTTCATTTTGGTCCATACCACTTCTCGGATCTTGCGTCTCATCTCCCCTTCTCGCTTAGCGACTTCGTCTCGCTCCTTTTCGACATTGGCTAGTCGCGCCATCAAAGAGCCCTCTAAGGCTTGCCAGTTTTCACTGGCCACGGCGTACTGTGTTTGCAATGTCTCGATCTGCCGCAGAAGCTTGGCCTGAGTATCGCTGGCGACCCCAGACGAGGCTTCCTCCGCTTTCGAACGAAGCGACTCCATCTTACTCTCGAGGATTGACTGCTCGCCTTTCAGCTCAGCTTCTAACATCCGAGCTCTCTCCTTTTCTTGTCCAATGACCTCTTTCAGGTCGCTGATCTCTCTCCTGAATTTCTCCTCGCTGATATCACGCTCAATCTTGGTACTGGTCAGCTCTTCTTCCAGTGCGGAAGCATTTCGCTTTTCCTGTTCCAGGGCATCCGAATGGGCTTTCTCCTCGGCGGCCTCAGCGCGCGCAACGGCTCTAGTAAGCTGGCCTTTCATCTCCTCGACAGTCTGGCTTAGCGCATCCCGCTCGGAAGTGACTGCATCAAGATCTCGGGAGATCTTAGACTGGGAAGTGAGAGAACCGGTTGCCCGTTTCTCTGCCGCCTCCGCTCGTTTAGCCCGCACCTCTGAGCTAGCCAGATCCCTCTCCAGCCGGTCGGTTTTCTTTTTCTGTTCCGTTTGAAGCTTGGAGTTGTCCGATAACTGCTGCCGGAGCTTCTTGATTGCCGTCCGGTGGTCCATCTCGGTTTTCGAAAGTTTCTGACCTTCCTCCAATAGCAATGCTATTCTCTCATCCTTCTCTCGCAACTGCTTTTCGACACTCCCAGGGTCCGCTGTCGCTGCTGCCTTCTTCGCAGAGTCTGCAGCTTCTTTGGAAAGATATTTCAACTTAGACTGCAAGGCGTCGATTCGCTCGATATACCCGTACATTTCTTCCTGCCATCGCGATTCGGCCGCCTTGTGTTCCTCCTGCAACTGTGCGACCGTTTTATCATCGCCATTGACTGATGTATCTGGAAAGGCTGTAGCAGTTTCTACTGACGTGCGTGGAGGATTGGTAGGTTCGTCTGTTGGTGGATCTGTAGGACCAGCCACATCTTCAGAGGTTTCGGCTACAATCTCAGTCCCACTGTCGCTGGGTACAGCATCATCGGCAGACGAAGCGACAATCTCTTTCGAAGTTCGTGAAGGAACGCTCGAATCATGGCTGGTTCTCGGGTCGGCCGTTTCTTCTTGCGGGGGAGGGCTCCGGGAAAGCTTCTCGGTTTTATCGGGGGACTCGGAATTCGATTCGACATCCAAACTCGAACGCGCATCGTTGCTGGCGGCCAGACTCGAGACAGGCGAAGCGACACGGCTCGGAGGGGAGGATGAGCTAACATTTCCCGGCGCATTGTTCTTTACAACGGCTCGCGCGAGACGTTCTTGAAGGCGGTCGTTTTTGCGCGCATTGGATGAACTCCGAGATATGTCTGGAGCGTCGTTAGTACAAGTAAGACGGGGAGCAAGGATGAGCATACTGCCGCTCTGGTTCGGTTTTCCGGTCGCAGATTTAGATTGCGACTGTTTTTGCTCTTCCTCTTCCGCCAAAATCAGATCCAGTCTCGACTCTACGCCGGCGACTGCTTGCTGGAAGAAGGACCCAACCTTCCATTTCGGTTTCGAAGGTTGTTGCGCCATGGTGTGATTCCGAGCGATAATAAATTCAACTTAATCGGTTCTCTCCGTCATGAAAGGCAACAGTTCCTGACGATGACGATATGGTTCGACGTTGGGTTGTTGTTATCACCAACGAGACCAGATCAACGGGCGACCCCGGAGGGCAAATTGAACAATTAAATAGTAGAAACGAGAGACTAGGGTAGAGAAGGCAGACGAGAGCGCGCACAACCACGTAGGCAGAAGCACGACCGGAGGAACAAATGGCTTGCGTGGACGAAGGCGTTGAAGACGGGAATCCGATCGGGGCTAACGGGGCTTGGCATGGAGAACGTCAGTCGTCGCTCTCGAGACTCCCGTCGCAGCTCTCCCTCTCTCCCTCCCGCTTCCTCGTCTCTGCCTCTCTCTTCCCCTGGTTTTCTTTTCGTACCTCTTCCCTGTTTCTCGCCGTCACATCTCCGCCCGGGCAGGATCCCGTCTCTTGTTTCACCCTCCTCCCCCCTTTTTCTATTCTTCCCCACGGCCCGACACCATGTCAACCATGCCGTTGGAGCCCCCGGCCTATCTCAGCTCCCTCCAGAACAATATTCGAGCTCGTCCGATCCCCTGGGAGGGGGCCGTCCGCGCAGGTAACATCACCGATGATCATCTGAAGAAGATCAAGGCGGTCGATAAGGTCCGCAAGGAGCAGCGACGTCAGACGGTGGAGGGAGACCTTCCGGGCTATGTTGGTCTGCTAGCTGGCAGCTCCGACGGCAAGAGTGTGCTGGACTTGGCGTCCAGGAGAACCGATATTGTACAATATATTCTGGTGTTGGCAGCCGACTTGATCAATGGTAGGTTCTTTTTTGGGACCGACGGGGTCTTCTTGTGCTACGAGCCTGTAACTGACTAGAACAGATGTCCCGTCTCTATCGTCCGCACTGGTGGCGCATCCCAGCCCCTACAAGCCATTCCTTCCCCTCCTGCGTCACTCCACGAACACCGAAGATCCCATCCCCCTACTCACCTCTACATTCTTGACCAACCTCGTATCGATCAGCCTCGTTTCCACGTCTAAATCCACCCCGCGGGATGAGGAAGCGCTCCCGCAGCTTTTCACCTACCTTTCCAGCTTGACCCAGAACCAAGACAGCGGACTGCAGGATATCGGGGTCCAGGAACTGTCGGCGCTACTGCGTACGTCGCGATCTCGGAAGATTTTCTGGAAGCAGAGGAAAGAGACGGTCGATCCCCTGGTTGAGATCCTCCGTGCTGCTGCCGGAGCCAAAGATACCGGCTCCAGCACTATCGCTGGTAGCTCCCGCATCGAGCCCGGTCTCTCGGGCGGAGTTGGCCTTCAGCTGCTTTACCGCGTTCTCCTGGTTCTGTGGCAGCTAAGCTTCGAGGGCGGTCTGATCGGCGATGATCTCCAAGCGTAAGTTACCCTGGTGGGCTTGTTTCACGGAGCTCTTGTACTGACGGGATTACAGGGACCATGAGTTTATCCAACTGTACTCCCACCTCCTGCGTCTTTCCCCCAAGGAGAAGACCACGCGCCTCCTCCTTGCCACTCTTAAGAACCTCTTGTCCTCCAACCGCACGACTCTCCTCCCGATCGCCGTATTCGTGCGCCTCCCCGCGCTGCTCACCAACCTTTCCGGTCGTCATCTGACCGACCCTGACCTCCTCGAGGACCTTAAAAACTTGGCGGATATGCTGGAGGAGTACACCAAGACACAGACCACATTCGATCAGTACGCCGCCGAGCTGCAATCGGGTCACCTGCGCTGGTCCCCGCCCCACCGCAATCCCACCTTCTGGAAAGACAACGCCCGCCGCATCCTCGACGACGCCAACGCCGCGCTGCCGAAGAAGCTTGCCGAGATCATCTCCAAGCCCTGGGACAATGACAAGCAGGTGCTGGCGATCGCCTGTAACGACGTGGGACACCTGGTGAAGGAACTGCCCGAGCGACGGAACCAGCTGGAGCGACTGGGGTTAAAGGCGCGCGTGATGGAGCTAATGGCGGACAAGGACGAGACGGTCAGATGGGAGAGTCTGCGGGCAGTGGGCGAGTGGCTTCGGTATACATTTGACGACTGATTTTGTATTCTCTTGTGTGGTTGATTTGTCTGTCTATATTACCCAATCTGTTGCTTTCTTTTTTCTTGTGGTTATTTGTCCCACCTCAGACATCAGTAAGAATCGGCTGCTGTGTTGACGGTACAGCGTCATGTGCATAATAGAGATATCGGTAAATGTGATATAGAAAATATCCGGAATGAGGAGAATGATCCAGGTGCGTCCGTTATGCATCTTCGTGGCCGTATATCGATCCCTCAGCGATAAACACATCCCCCAACATACATACACCGTCCTCAACCAGTCCATTGACAGGATCAGCAATTCCTGGCTCCGCCAGACCAAAACCCACAACTCGATCTCCGGGGAAGAAACAGACGCAAAAGGCTACCCCGCATGGAGAACGGACGGTTAATCCCTGCTTTTCTCCGCTTCGACAGAACGAAAAGAACGAAGACGTCAACACCCCGTACGCCATCCCATCATCAACATTTGATCTCATCTCCAATATCCACGCCCTCATTCCGCTCCGTTCAGTCTTCTTATCCTGATTGAAGTGCTAGCCATGCTCCAGCGCGACTGAGACAAGAGGCAAGACCCTGTGGACCGCAGTCGGTGATCGGCCGCTATCTCGACACATTCCGTGGGCCCCGAACGGACTCATCTTTGGGTGTGGATTTTCCGCTGATAACCAAACCACCCTGGTCGTGGGGTTTGTATCGTTTTTTTTTTTTCTTATTTTTTTTCGCGCTATATCATCGAATCCGGAGACTTTGGGGGTTTTGGGAATCAAATCGCACTGGAATCTCATATTGAAGAGAGTTGGTACGCTACGGTGTCTGGCTGGCAGGCAGACTAGTTTCGCCGCAGATATCGAGTTCCGTCCGAGACGAAAAAGCGAAGGGGAGAGAGGGCAAACCCCAATACCCGCCGGTGTCAAATTCCCATGTCTCGATCGTTCACCGGCTGCAAACGATGTAAAGCTCGACGGCAGAAATGTGACGAACAACGACCGATTTGCGGCCGATGCAAGACGGCCGGCACGCAGTGTGGGTATGCGATGCAGCTGCAATGGGGAGGAAGAGCTTTTTCGCGATCAAGGTTCGGCGCCTGCGTGGGGACTGGGGGTATGCAGAAGCTCGGTGCGTTTTATTCCCTCGGTTTTTATCTTGACTTAGGTCATCCTTGACTGATGAATGTTATTGCTTGGTCTAGAATACTCCCCCGGGGAATTTATCTACACCACGAATGCCACCTCCCCCACCGGTGCCGTCGAAACATTTCCCCTCGTGCAACCCGTCGATCCGTTCTCCTCGCTCTCGTCGGACAAGAAGGCTCTCCTCCACCATTTCCTTAACGATGCGTCGCAGATCACGGCCTGCCATTCGGGCATGCAGCGGGATATCTGCAAGATGCTGGTCCCCATGGCCCTGCAGACCCCATCGCTGCTCTATGCGACGATGGCGCTGTCCGCGATCCACCTACAAGCCTTGTACAATCAATCGGAGAACGTCAAGTCGGCGCCGGACATCGCCCACCTGATGGCTCTCAGTCTGGAGCATTTCCGCAAGGAACTGCAAAATCCGCAAACGAGGGGCTCGGATGCGCTGCTGGCCACCGCTCGAACGCTCTGTCTCGCCGAGGTGCACTCAGGCGCTATCCATCCGAACTCGTGGCGCGCTCACATCGAAGGCGCCAGGGCTCTGATGGTCGCCGCTGATAACCGGGCAGCAGCAGGAGGGGGAGGGGTGTCGCCTGGCTCGTCGGACGGGTTCCGCAGATATCTCGACCGGTGGTATCGATCGATCGTGTCGCTGACGGCGTTAACGGGGAACGGGCCGCCCGTCGAAGTCAAGGAAGAGGTTGTGTCCGACAATAGACATATCGATGCGTCTGAATCTCCGGACTACCTTGACGACTACTGGGGCTTCACGGTCAACCTGGCGGCGATCTTCCGGCAGATCGGGGCGGCAGCCTGGCGACATCATCCGAGCCACGCGACTCAGGGCGGTCACGATGAAGTCGCGGTGCTTCACGAGGCGGCGACGCTCGAATCCTCGCTGCGACGACTCATGGACCAAGGGGCCGACTCGATCCCCACGTTCTACCCGGGGGTCGTCGAAGGCCTATCAGCCACGTGCATCCAACAATCCATCCTCTGCAACGAAGCCTTCCAGCACGGCGCGCTCATCCAGATCCACCGTCGTCTGCGACGGACACCCGCGTCAGCCCCGGAGGTGCAGGCTTCCGTGAAGCGGATTCTCGACTGCACGGCGCAGATCGGGCCCTCGTCGGGACTAAGTCCGTGGGTGTTACTCACGACACCCTTGTTTATCGCAGGCTGCGAAGCGCAGGGTGAGGACCGCGCGCAAGTCCGACAGTTGCTGTCTGCGCTGCATGATACGATCCGCGTGCCGAACGTGTTGCAGTCGTTGAAATTTCTGGAGCAGTACTGGGGGGATCAGCTTGACGAGAGCGAGAGTTGGAATCAATTTTTAGGTATGTTGAATGCCCTTTCTTCGCAGTTGTGATTTATCTGACAAGGACCAGATCGAATGAGGTTTGATTTCATTCCGTATTGAGTGCGATGTGAGGTCGTCATTCATCATGCAGTTTATGTTTACGATATCAAGCAAGCGAGAGGATGGTTCTTGTGTATATTCAAGGTGTTTCATTCAGATGTATATATTTATAATGCAGCGATGTAGGGCGTTTAGTAAATTTTACCTATCAATCAACCTTAACACATAGCCATACAAACCCTAGGTTATATGAAATATGCATACATAAACACATTCATCCAACAGTCCAACACCAAACCGACCAGTCACAAAGCCAATCTAAGCTTTTTCGCCCTCGAGGAAAAAATGCCAGTGTACTTGTACTAATACGAAATAAGGGTCCAGCCCGCCAGGCCGAAACTACCGGTCGGTCCCTTGCAGCGGTGGTGAAACTGTCAGACTCAGGAACAGGAACCAGGAATGCTGGTACGGAGGAGTTCCTTTTCAGCGAGGAAACAGGGCGGTTCTTGGCATTTTGCTTAATTTAATTTATGCTATCTTTTTTTATGTTATTTACTTAGATGGGGGTAGGTATGGGTATGTTCGGCCTTACTTTCCTCACTGAACGTGTGATTGATTGATTGATTGATTGATTGATTGATTGTATGACTAGGACCCCTTGCCAGGAAGAGGTCATTCTAATTTAGATGAAATAGCAATACATTCACCCAACATAATATAGTCACCCTAGGGAAACTGGAAAAGTAGGGCTGACCATTAATGAATTAATATGTGGCGCCCGAACTATTGTCCGTTTGATCCGGAGACATTTCCCAGTCGTGACTAGACTCGAGGCGAGCAAACGCTCTATTATCGTTTCAGCTTGGGGCGTTACAGGTAGAGGATATTTTTAGCTAAGGGATTGTATGTACACCGGAGTGAGTACTCCGTGTTCACTATTTAGATAATATTATCATTATTGGTTAGGAAATATTCCGAATGTTCATCGTGCCATTATTCTGTCGATTAAGCTGTTGGCCATCATGGGAATCACGATAGGGATACGGAACATCGAGTACACACTACGATGTACACGGTGACCAGGGAACAGTCTATAATACTAACAGTATTTGGTAGGTGGTCTCTCTAGTCCCTCGCACTGACGCCCTTCTCCAACCAGTCAGAGCCCAAGAGTCGGGGATGGTCGTGGAGAGGGAGAGGGAGCTGCGCGCTGGTCCGAGTGTCGAGGATCTGGCTGCACGCAAATAGGAGGATTATCTATTTATTTCTGTTATGCTATTTGATATAGCATGACATGATCGAGGGTTGCTTTAAGCTACGGAGGGCTGACCGGCACCGTATGATTTGGTCGGTTTAATGTCCGAGTTCGACTGCTACTATGTATAACTACATTGTATACAGGAGTTCTATGTTTAGCAGTCCCGTGCGTGTGCTACTTACTGTACTACTACAGAGTAGTACTGTCCGCAATCGGTCGAATCAAGAATGAGAGTACTGAGCAAACTGCCGTCGATCGCAACGGCCAAGAGGTTCGTGTGGCATGAACTATGAAGGATGGTTTCATCCAGGGGCCGAAGTGTGCACCTGCAAGACTGCCTGGCGCTTGTGAGTACTCCGTACAGCATACGGTGTAGATTAATCTACTTCTGTCTTCTCCGAATCAACTGAGCCAAAGTGCAAAAGTCAAAAGTCAAAGTTCCCCTGAAAGATGCGGTGGGTCGGGCTGGTAGACTCTGGCGATCGGCCGCTCTAGTCCGGCGCCTACGAGCCGTCCTGAGAGTCCTATGTACTGTAGTATTTGGGAATAGTACGGTATATTGCAGATGGTAGAATAGAGAGAGACTCTCTTGTTAGAGAGTCCGTCTGCAGAACAAGTCAACTCGTGTGAATCAGACATACTCCATCTCTATACAAAGAAGTACTCCTATATGCGAGTGACTTCTCGCGACAAGCAGTGGTGGCGGCCCTCCGTGGTCACGGCACCATCGGCGGTACATGCAGCGGCGAGGGCCCACCCGGCGCCAATCCTTCTGTCGCTTCTCCTTTTTCCCTCTCTTTTTTTCTTTCCCCCTGATGGCCAGAAGGGCTCCTTTCCTACACTCGTTTTCACCCGCTAGTCTTGGAGTCTAGCCACTACGGTCGACCAGAATGTCCCCCTAAAGCTATCGGCTGCCCCGTGCTCGACTCGCTCCTCGTCACCCATGAGGATACTGTCGATCCGTTCATGGACCAACGATGGTTTCTGATTCTCTCTCTCCCCTTTTATTTTTTATTGTTTTCTTGATCGAATTAAATTGGATTTGGACCATTGATCCGAGTCCAATCCATCAATAATAATAACCGCCGCCATGGCCCCCGGCTGGGCATCTCCGCCATCCCATCCAGGGAGTCCCCCCGGCCAGCCAAGTCTTTATCCTCATCCTCATCTTTCCCATTCTTCATCCACTCCTCCTGCTCTCCTGTCCGTCACCTCTCCTCCCTCCCCCTCCCTCGTGCGCCGTAAGCCGTTGCCCCAGAATGCCTCCCCTGTGATCCCTTCTGGCCATTCCAGGCTCTCGACCTTGTCCTCCATCACCTCCTTCCCCGGGGGCGATACGCCTGCAGATCCTCCAAACCCTACTTCCCTCTCCAATTCGGCCTCCCATCTTTCAGTCTCGGCCACCCACTATCAGTCCTCCTCTTCCCTTTCTTCCCCGTCTTCCGTGCATGACGACCCCTCCCTCTCTGTTTCCAGGGACCTGGATAGGTATGTTCGCCCCCAACTAAGCGCCCTCTCTGTTTGCTCCTTATTGTCCCTTTGGGGGGTCTTTCAGCTTTCTTATTTCTGCCCCCTCCGTCATGGCCTCCTGTAACTGCCCCCAATTGCCTTGGCCAATTCCCGTGGGGGCCTTGAACACTTTTCCTCTTCGTCGTTCCTCAACTTGACCACCTCATGCGCTTGCCTTCCCAGATCGTGGCCAAACTAACGTCGTGCTGTCGTTGCTCATCCCCAGATTTCCCCGTCCTGGTGGTCCGTCCACGTCCCGTCATTTGCGAATCGACACCTCGACCTCCTTTGTAAATCTCGACGACAGCGACGAAGACGGCACCGGTTATCCCTCCCAATTGACGAATGGGCCCCCGGTCCATAGCCGCCTTGTCAGCGAACCCTTCGTCCCGGTCCTGAAATCGCCCCCAATCCTCCATAAAAGAGCCGCGACCATGGCCCTACATCCCCCCTCCAATCGTCCGCCGCCACTGCACATCGACTCCGTGCGAGGCATGCAGGCGGCCATGGACTCCAGACACAACCACCAACACCAACAACCGAAAACCCCCGCAAATAAGATCAGTAATTTCTTCGGCTGGCGAGCCCAGTCGTCCTCCCCCGGCGCCGAATCGTCCAGCACCGAAATCTCCGACACGGGCCGGTCCCCGTTGCCATCTCCGCTGCCGCAGTCTCTTCCTAGTGCCTCCTACTCGATCACCCCCTCCACCACCGTCCCCCTCGATCACTCCAAGCACCCCGGGCCGCCCATGCGGAACCCTTCCCTGAGCAGTGCCGGGATGGCGGAGTCGGGGTCGTCCACGTTGGTGGCGGAGATCGAAAACGAGTTGCGGGAGATCAGCTCCGAATTGGCTGGTTCGATCCGCCGGGAGATGGAACTCGAGGATCTGGTAGAGCGGCTGCAATCGGAGGACACTCCGAACCGACGCACGAGCGACTACTTCTCCGATTCGGGCTCCAGCTCCATCCGATACACCTATGACGGCCGGTTAGAAGATGTGGAAAAATTCCGACGTACCGCAGAGCAAGAGCGCGCACAGTTGAAGGTCGATCTGACGCAGAAGTGGCACGAGGAACGGTCGCGCCGTGCGGCCACCGAGTCCCACGTGCAAATCCTCGAGTCACAGGTGCAGCAGGTGAGTGATCCCTTGTTCAGAATTATTTCCTGTCTTTGCAGGTTATTGACGAGTTCGTGCAGCTCCGACGAGAACGAGCCGAGTTTTCTGACCTGTCGTCCCGAGCCAAAGAACTCGAGAGTTCTCTCGACTCTGCCCGCCGAAAGCTGGCTGAGGAACGACAAATCAAAGATAATTTTGAAGATCTCCTCACTGCCATGCGCGTGGAATTGGAACAGCTTCGAAATGAGCGGGATCAGCTGCGGGACGACGTGATCCCTCAACTGCAGCACGGCCAGGGCGGCTCCGCCAACCCCTCGGAGGTGCAGCGTCTGGTTGAAGAAGTCGAGGCATTGAGAATCGAGAATGCATCGTTAGCGCAGCTGCAGGGCAGCCGATTCGCTTCCATCGCAGAAGAGGATGGCTCGTCCAGCCGACGAAGCTCGGGCTTGGGATTGTCGCGCTCAAACTCATTAGCTCGCGGTATGCACTCGAAATCGGGCGCGCCCAGCGGTCTGTCACGGTCGAACTCGCTGTCTCGCGCGAACACGGTCTCCGGTCGCGGTGAACGCGACACCAACACCCGGGAATCGCTGGCGGACCGGGTGGAAGGCGCCGAAGCTCAACGCGATGCTCTCCACGGGGCTCTGCGGCGGCTGCTCGACCGTCAGACCCACGACGCTCGCGAATACGAGAAGCGCATCAAAGTCATGGAACTGCAGGTGCTGCACGCGCAACAGTCTGGCTCCCCGCGCAAGCTGGGATACGAGCGGCAGGTGCGCAACCTGCAAGACGAAGTCAACCATCTGCGGACCCGCGCGCAGGACGCTCTCGACCAGAAGTGGCAGTGCGAGAAGGGATTGGCGGGCCTCAAGATGGATCTGGACCGTGCCGAGCAGGAGACCTCGTCCCTGCGCGAGCTGTTGCAGGAGCACGACATCACCGCTCCCCATGAAGTTGAGACCGATAGAGACGGTTTCGCCGAGGTCATTGCCACCTCGTCGTCGCTGGAGTCCGCCTATAAACAGCTGCAGGCGGACCGGGAATCTGCAGAGGCCAGCGCTGCGCAGTCGCCGCAGGAGGGCCACGAAGACCTCGCGGCCTCCGTCAGTCGCACAGAAGTCTTGGCGCAGAACGTACGCCGACAACTCGACACGAACCACACCCTACGCAGCCGTCTAGCAGACGCCATCGGCAAAGGCGAGAAGGATCAGCAGGTCTCGGCCACCCGCATCAACGAGATGCAGGCCCGACTGAAGGAGCTGGAGGACCTGCTCATGCTCGCACAACAGCATTCTGAGGATGAGATGGCCCGCCACGACGAGGAGATCCGTCACCTCGAGGAGACGCACAGCGCGCAACTCATGCGCTTGAAGGACAACGGCGGCCGCAGTCCTGCCACTTTGTCTCCCCTACCTCCTTCCACCCCCTTCGGCTCGCGGTCGCCGCGCCTGGATAAGACGACCAGTGGTGACGGCATGCCTTTGACCCAGGCCATTCAATCGGAGGCCCTGGAACAGCGGGTCAAGGAACTCGAGAGACTTCTGCGCGAAGCGGATAACGAGATGAGCGAGGTGGTCAGCCGAATGAACCGGGCTCAGATCGACGTGGCGGAACTTCAATCCGACCGGTAAGTTGTAACCTATCTCCGTCCTAATAGATCAGTCTGCTAACAAGCCCCAGGGATGACGCTCTCCGCCAAACACGCCGACTTCAGTCTGAAATCCAGGCCGAACGGGAAGCGTTCAAGGCCTTGATGGGTTGAACGCGATCCTATATATCCGCATATATCAATCAGTCCTACCTCCTCCTAGATCATGACTGATCGACTCTAACCGACATGAGAGACGGTTATATCAACAAAATAATAATCTCACGGTACATGGTGTTTCCCGGAGTTGGGTATAATTCTGCATCATCGCAAATAGAAATACCCTTGGGTTTTGATGGATGCATATTTTTGCGTCTGTCATTTTGGTTATTTGTTTTTTGGTTGTTTTCACTTTTTTTTAAAAGGCTCTTCTTTGATCCTTTGGTCGAACGAGAGTTCTTTGTATATGTGACGCTTGTATATGGTTTTATTTTTATTTTTTTTTGCCACGAGAGTATGTGGGCTGTATATATGGAGAGGAAAGATTTATCCTGGTTGATATATTGATATAATAAGAGATGATGAGTTGTGTTAATTCTATTACAGTGATCCGGTAATGGGTGGAGGTAGAGGTAGAGAAGTAGCGAGAGAGAGAGAGAGAGAGAGAGAGAGAGAGAGAGAGAGAGAGGAAAGAATTGGGATTGATGTTTTTCTCCTTGCATTCCTTTCCATTCACTCTCTTGGCTGGTCGGAATGTCATGGATGGCCCTTTCCCCATCCATGTCTAGCGAACTATCTGGTATAGACCTGCAAGTATGTTTGATTGGTCAGCCAATTTGGAACTTGATACTGAGGCACGTGACCTGTGAGTTCACTGCCCTTAGGTACAAGGGTCTCTTGAATTCGTGAATCAACGAACTTCTCCTGAAATTTGTCATCATGCCTAAAACCCGACAACTTCTTCAAGCAAAGATCACGTACTCGGATGCCAAGGCTGAAGAATTCAATATTCTTCATCGACTTCGATATCCTTCTGAACAAACTAAATTCTTCGCTCATCTATATGACAAACGTGAATGGATGAAGGCTACTGTTGCCCATCATCTTGGCCTTGAATCGTTCACTCAGTGCCAAGTAGCAGACACGGAAAATTGGCTTCACGGCAGCTTTAATGTCTGTGTCCCCATCACAATTGACAGTTGGGACGGCAAGCGGGTTCTTCTACGGTTTCCGTTACCATATCGCATTGGCGAGAGTTTCAGACCCGGAAATTGCGATGAAAAAGTCCGATGTGAAGCAGGATCCTATGCTTGGCTTCAAGAAAACTGTCCAGATGTGCCCATTCCAAAATTATATGGCTTTGCTTTGTCTACGGGTGAGACGGTATGGATCTGGATTGCCGCTAAGATATCTTATCTCTGTCGCTTATTGACTAATCCTAGTTCACTCGACTGGAAAACCTGCCATATTTGCCTAACTGTTTCCAATTCCTGCGTCAGCATCTTCTATCATGGCTGAAGGATTCAATTCCTTCCCAGTATGTCCGCCATCAGAGCACAGATCCAATCTTTACCGATGGGATAGTAAACAAAGGCTACCTTCTGATTGAGTTTATCGAGGAGACACGTGGATCTATGCTTTCTAATACGTGGAGAGAAGGGCAAAATGGCCCAAAGTTACGGATGAACTTCTTCCGTGACCTTTCCCGGCTTTTCTTGAATATTACTCGGATCCCTTTGTCTAGGATTGGTTCATTTATTATTGATAATGACGGCTTTCTTCATCTTACAAATCGGCTACTTTCAATTGAACTTCAACAATTAGAAAATGAAGAGGTTCCAACGGAGATACCTCGCAATTATACCTACTCAACCGTTGATTCCTATATTATTGATGTACTTGGATTCCATGATAATCGCTTTCGGTATCAACCTAATGCTGTCAACAATCTTGGAGACTGTGCCTACCAACTTTCTGTCTTGACTTCTATGCGAACTATTTTCCAGTCGATTTTCAGAGTAACATCTTTGTGGATGCGGACTGGCATATAACATGCTTAGTGGATTTGGAATGGACATGCACTCAGCCGGTTGAGATGTTAGGGCCTCCTTACTGGCTGGCAGATAAAGGCGTGGGCCAATTGGTTCCATCAGAATATAATGTAATCCGACACGAATTCATGGAAGCCCTGATAACAGAAGAACAGCATCGTGACTCTGCCATATTGTCTTGCAGTAATGATGGAGTATCTCAGCTATGCCTCTCAGACCTAATGAAACGGTCTTGGAAAACAGGGGCTTTTTGGTACTCACTGGCTCTCTCAAGCCCTTCAGCACTCTTTACGATATTCAGCAAGCATGTCAGGCCTCTTTTCTGCAAAGACTATGAGGAGGAGTTTGAGGTGGTTATGCCGTTTTTCTTTGAAAAAAACGTTGGATATATTGCCGGTCGCAAGCTTGCAGATAGAGAGGAATATGATAAGAAACTCCGACGAGCTTTTGAAGACAGCTCCGGCTGAGACCGCTTCGTCACCCAAGGGCTATTTCTTTCTTTATTGGTGGCCCTGACCTTGTTGTTATGAACCAAGTGGGATAGATGAACGGTTTAATTTCGACAGGCTTACGTGCGAGAGTAGATGCCAAGGAAAGACAAACCCCGGCAGATTCCGTGCGAAGTGATTTATAATATGGATATCGAAATGAACAACATCCCACGGCCAGCTGGTCGTTTTCAAGTCGGGCATGTGTAGTTGGCCTATATGGACCAGATAGATTATTCATCTGCACTACTACTTGGACGAAGAACGAGCGGGGCTTGCATCAATTACTCACCCCGGCCTGTTTTTTCTAATGCATGCCCTGCCCTTAGAGGGGTTCGACAGCTCTTAGCGGACAGCTGCCATGATCTATTTCGCTATAAAACAGTCTACCGCCAGTCATACTAGTACTCCTTATGATTGATTCAACACTAGCCAAAACTAAGGTGTGGTGATTATCTTGATGATAGTACTATTTACACAAAGTCAAAATAAGTGCCAGGGTTTATCCTTATGTCACGAATCTGCATGGTAGTGCTACCTAGGGAGGGGAAAACTGCTTGGATGCTTGGACACCCGCCCGACCTCCGAATCAGGTCTACTGTAGGTATACAAGTCAAATGCTGCAGCATTCAAAGATCACGGAAATGTTAACTACCGAGAGGTGGGGGGTTCACACTATAACAAGAATCAAGTATTTGAGACTTGTGATATTTTACTCGTTGGAATCAACTGAATAACGGATACATTCGGGTCAATCCATCGTGCATTTCGTGGCATCATACAGCTATACAGAAAATTTGCATGAGAGCTTTTTGCAGTCTTCACCAGGGTTGTCCGATTAAGTCATCGATATTCTTTCTTTTTGTTCCTGTTGCAGGTAGGTAGAAAAGAGATTTTCCATCTATCTCTCCGTAGTAACTAGTTATGTTCATAGGATGTTACAAAGTACGTCGACTCTAAAAATAAGGTTCTCCGCGCGGCTCCCGTACCACCCGCAACATCCGCCAATGCCGCCGCCTCCCCGCATCGTCCAATTTCCCCGAGCAATTCCTGCACCGCCAGTTCCTGCAGATGATTATTGCGTCCACGCTACACGCCGCGAACCCTTTCCCAATATGACAGGCAATCTAAAACGCAAGCGCTCTAGGGTCGCCTGCATGCCATGCCGAGAACGGAAGCGCAAATGCGACGGCGGAAACCCGTGCGCCACCTGCCTCGACTGGGGCTATGAATGCTACCACGGAGCGCTCCCCAGTCAGAAGAAGCAGCAACAACAGCAGAAGAATCCAGCCATACTGCCTAGTTCCGCCTCGCCGGGCAAATCATCCGATACGGTCTATAGCGTCAATAATACCACCACCACTACAACCAACAATAGCAACCACAACGACGCCCTGGCCAGCCACCGCGCCGGCCCGGACCCGCACCGCATCACCCGCTCGCTGGAGGCGAACTCCGGGGCGGCGTTCGTGCGCAATCTAGGCCTGAAGGTGGACTCCACCAATGCGCCCCGGTTGAACCTGTTCGGGTGGAATATCGGCGAGCGTCGGCTCCCGTCCGGCCTGGGGAATGGCACGGCGGTCTCGGCGCTGCCCATCGTGGATATCGTGTCGCTGGAGGACATGAAGACGCTGGCGGGCATCTACTTCGCCAAGGTGGATCCGTGCTACGGGTTTCTGGACCCCCGCCAGTTCTACGAGCGACTGGACGAGCGATGGCGGTCGCCGCTGAGTAGCGGCGTCTACGATAGCGTGCTGGCAGGCGTCGGCGCCCTGGGGTCGCTGTTCTCGCGCCGCATCATCGACGTCACTGAGTTGCTGCTGGTCGAGTCGGCGCGCTCCATTCTCGAGGTCAATAATCGCTGCGGTACGCCCTGCTTCGACTCCGCCACTGGTTGGACCCTCCGTGTCGTGTACATGCGTATGACCGCCTCGCCGCACTCGGCGTGGATCGCCAGCGCGACGCTCATGCATCTGGTCGAGGCGCTGGGTCTGCACCTCGAGTCTGCCGGCGAGACGGTCCTCTCGCGCCGCGTGCACTGCAGCAGCCCAGACATCCGTCGCCGGCTGGTCGGCGTTGCCCGCCATCTGAACATGTGGGTGTCCTACGACCTGGGCCTGTCGCGGGTGATCTTCTGGAACGACCAGTGTCTGGCACCGGCGGCGCGGCCAGGCGATTACACGACGGAGTTGTTAAGCCTGCTGCCGGTGTCGGCGAGCCTGGGGCCCGAGAAGTCGCCGGACGATCGCGATCTGGAGACGTCGCTGCTCCGCGTCCTCGAGGGCAGCCACACGCAGCCGCCGTCCGTGATGGCGCAGTGCAACCTGGCCCTGTGTCTGCTGCGGCGGCTGCTGGTCATGAACGCGAGCACGTCATCGGCCGTCAAGGAGCGGGTGCTGGCGCTGTTCCGAAAGGCGTTGCAGTGCGCGCGCAGCATGGCCATGAACTGCTGTCCGTGGCACCATATGGCCAACGTACCGTTCCAGATTATCGGCGTGCTGCTGGACATGGACACGCGGACGTCGTTGGCCCTACTGCCCGAGGCCATGCAGACGTTGAAGTTCGTCGCGTCCACCTACGACACGGATACCATGCGCGAGGCGTACAGCACCGCGTGTCTGCTAGTGCGACTGTATCAGCGACGCCGGCAGGAGGATGTGGATATGCTGAGCGGGCTGGTGAGTTCGCATCATCAGCCGGAGATGGAGGCCCCCATGGAACCGGCGGCGGCGAGTCGAGAGGAAATCTCCTGGTTGGAGGATCTGGTGGCGGAGATGCCCAGTCTGCAGGGGATTAATCTGTATGAGACGTTGGATGACGATCTGATGAATTTGTTTCCGACCAATTTGTAAATGATCCGGGAGTCGGAATGGTAAATATTCTGAGCCGTGCATTCTTCGTAGGGAGAGGATGACCCTTTTGTAGTCCATTTATTCACTCCTCGACACCCGCAATACCCGCTCCGCCCTTCCCGATTACATCACGGCGCATCGCATCGGCATCGTCTTCTGCATGTGCAACGGGTCCAGACTCATTATATAAACCATTCCAATGCACTCAATCGTCACCCCTACCTAGTGAGAAAGGATACCACCATCTTATTCCTTTATACAATCCATCCACCATGACTCTTCGCCTCTCCAAATCCCTCGCCGCCCGCTACCCCTGGGTAACGCCGCCGTTCATTGTCAGCGCCCCCATGCGCATCATGTCCGGGCCCGCGCTGGCCGTCAACGTCTCCCGCGCCGGCGGCCTGGGATTCATCGGCCCCGGCGCCAAAACGCAAGACACACTCACCGACCTCCAAGAAGCGACTGCTCTTCTTAAATCGAAATCGAAATCCCCAGGCATCACTCTCCCCAACACCCCTCTCCCCATCGGCGTCGGGTTCCAGCTCTGGAGCGACGATCTCGACACCGCCGTGCAAGGCATCCAGCTTCATCAGCCCTGCGCCGCTTGGCTGTTTGCTCCGCGCACGATGCAGGATCTCTTCACGTGGATCAAGCGCATCCGGGACGCAAGCCCATCGACCCAGATCTGGGTGCAGATCGGGACGGTGGGAGAAGCGCGCGAGATCCTGAACCACCATCACAAGAACAACAGCACGAGCATTACCTCACCAGACGTGCTTGTCATCCAAGGCGCCGAATCAGGCGGACACGGCCGCGCCACCGACGGAATGGGCCTGATGACACTTCTCCCTGAGATCGCGGATCTCGTATCCTCCTCCTCAGATGCCAAAGCGAAACAAATCCCCCTCTTCGCAGCCGGCGGGATCACCGACGCACGCGGTGCCTCCGCAGCGCTCTGTCTCGGCGCATCCGGCATCGTGCTGGGGACACGATTCCTCGCCTCCACGGAAGCGCGCATCAGCAAGGGTTACCAGAACGAGATCGTCCGGGCCGGCGACGCGGCGGTATCGACGACGCGAACGCTCCTGTATAACCATCTTCGTGGGACGACGGGGTGGCCGAAGGAGTATAGTCCGCGCGGGGTGGTGAATCGGTCGTATGTGGAGCATTGCGAGGGGAGGGCGTTTGAGGAGTTGAAGAGGGAGCATGATGAGGCGTTGAAGAAGGGCGATGAAGGGTGGGGACCGGAGGGGCGGTTGGCGACGTATGCTGGGGCTGGGGTTGGGTTGATCAAAGAGGTTCAGGATGCGGGGAGGATTGTGGAGGAGGTGAGGAAGGGGGTTTTGGGGAGGGTTAAGGGGGAGGAGAGGAGTATGCTGTAGAGTGGTATGGTGTGTGTATGTTGAGTGCGGTTTGAGTGGGGGAGAGGCGGACTTTTGTTGATACCATTGTTAGGCTAGGCATTTACTTATGACCTGAGGGAGTGATATGTTTTATTATATGGCTCATCGTATATCCATTCTAAATAACAGAGCAGGTGGGTAAATGCAGAATAATTAAAAGCGTGCTTAGGATCTTGTTTGATCAACTGTATCTAATTCTAACCTCAAAACTCATAGTATGAAACTGGGTAACTATGCTTGGCAGTGATATTCCCTCCAGTATGATTAATCAACTATAGAGTGACTAGAATGTTTCTAGACAGTAGTTATAATGGATGTATAGTTACAGTTCCATAACCAGTCTAGTCCGCCTTACATAAGATCCCTGTTTGGCTGGGGAATTGGTAACTAAAAAGTTGGGGTGTCCTTACCAATTCCCGTTTGGCTGGTTTGTCTGCACTTTGTTCCTTTTCACACGAAGCGAAATCCTCCGTTTGGCGCGACAAAGAAGCTTCGACTATAAGTTCAGATCCACCGGTCTCAGATCGTCCCTCCACATTCCGTCTCAGATATTCTGCGTATTCGGTGCTAAATCCGTACATAAGACATAGATCGCTTGCCATGGCCTCTCCCCCGAGTAAGTGACTATCGATGGATCCTTCCACCCACAACTAACCACCAACAACCGGAAGCATCCCTCGTTTCCTTCATTCAAGAGAAACTCGCCTCCGTGCCTCACTCCGAGCTCATCTCTAACCACATTCAAACCCTCCTCAACAACGAGCTCGTGCTCGCCTCCTACCAAAAACTCATGTCCTCCTCGGCCACCGCTCATCTCGAGCACGCGCGCGTCACCTACCTCGACCCTGTCGTCGACCAACTCCGCACCGCCTACCTCGATCCCTTCATCATCCAGCCTCTTGCAAACCTCCTCACCAACATGCCGGACCTTTTGTCCGTCTTCGTCCTGTTCCTGGCCCTCTTTATCTCGCTCAAGATCCTGGACTACGGGCGCCGAATGGTCATGTTCTGGGTCACCCTGGCCCTGCGCTTAGTGTACTGGGGGTTTATCATCGGCGCGGGTGTCTACGTTTATAACGTTGGTTTGGAGAAGGCCGCTCAGGATCTGGGCTGGTTTTATGGAATTATTAAGGGCGCCGCGGAGAGCTTCCAGAATGGCGCGGAGGGGCAGCGACAATCGCCCGGCGGGTATTCTTACAGGGATAATCAGGTCCGGGTGTGATTTTTGGTCTCCTGCACGTTTTTGGATAACCTGGTTTGGGTTGGGTGGGTTTTGGGTCTTTTTGAGGGACCTCGCATGGATGTAGACTTTGTTGAGCGATCGTGTGTTCAGCGGTATTCTTACTATTTCTTTTTTTCTCTTTGTTCTTTCCCTCCTCGCATCTGTAATGACTCTTGTTTGATAATGTTACGACGATTATGCGTGAATGATTTGTTATTATTGTTTGTTTTTGTCTATCCTAGTTAATTGGCGCTGAAAACATGTCGTGGATGATTCATATCATCGTATCGCTGGGTTACATCCGATTGGACTTTCTCCTCGGGTTGCATCGTTGCATCTGCCAGTTGCTCAATCAGTCCGATCTTTGCCCCTTGCAGATTCAGGAATCCTGTCGTGGGTGTCGCGGTCATCGACTGGTGTTAGAGGCGATCTAATTGCCGCCCCTGCAAACAGGCATATTCTATCCCAGGGCTGTCGGCCCTGGAATATTTGATGTCGGTCAGAAAACACGGGTTGTTTCATAAGTTCCCAGTCGAAAATCACTAGTCCGCATCCTCGTAGTCCACGTCTTGCGCATCATTGGGCTCGCGCGGCTCCTGGGCGTCGTGGTACTGAATCGCGTCGTCGATATGACTCAAGACGGCCGCGACGCTATCTTCTTGCTGCACGTCCAGCTGTAGAAACGAGACCATGCTGAAATCATCGATGAGCTGTGCGACCGCGCGATTGAGCTGGTTGAATGAGCCACCACTCATCAGCGCATCCTTGGACATCGGATCGGCCACCGCTTCCGAGCTACCGTTGGGCTCGTCCTGCAGTAACTGTACGTCGACGTTGGTGAAGCGGCGCAATTCCTTGCGACTCACCATGTCGCGAACCTGGTCCATCTTCGTCAGGATGTTCACGTGGGGCATCTCGAGCATCAGCATCGCGGACATGGCACTCAACGTGCCGGCAAAGAACTTGGCTTTATCTACCACGAACGTGCTCTCGAGAAGGTAGGCCGCGCACATGTTGACGTTCAGAGGGCCCGCGCGCGACAGGAACTGCACCAGCGACGGCAATAGCGGAACATGCGTGTAGAGCTCGATCTGGCCGGGCATGTCGAAGATGATCAAATACTCTTCGCTCAGCGGATCGATCGCGTCCGATAGGAAGTCCAAATTCTGCAGGAGGAACTCGAAACAGTAGATGAGACCGCCGTTGGGCCCGAGGCCCATCTCTTCCATGACATCTTCTAGCGTGATCAGTTCGCGGATGTCCAGATCGGGTTCGTAACTGAAGGTTTCCGCGGCCGGGTCGAGATTCACGTAGAAACAACTTCGGCGGGTATTCTGAAGGTGCTGGATCATGGCATTGCAGAAGGTGGTTTTCCCGGCGCCGGCCGGGCCCATCACCAAGACGCCGAACTTAGACATCGGGGATGTGATGGAGCTGAAAGTGATGTGATCAAAGAGACGGGGCGAAGGATGATTACGGGAGGGGGCACAGTCAGCACCGTCAGACGGAGAGGCAGTCGGACCCGAGCAGGATGAGGCGATGAGACAGGGATGCGCGAGTTAGATTGGATGGGAATATGCTAGTTCTGGAGTATGTCCACTTATACGCAAATCAACGAAAGGCGGCGGTGATATTTTTCTGCCTCCCGAGACCGCCGGAGCGATGGCGCGATCGGAGCGACGTTAATACGGCCTCTTCCCCTCTTTCTTTTTTCTCGCCGCTCCCCCCCTCTTCTCCTCCCCCTTCTCTATCCACTTTTTTTCTTCTCTCTTTCTCTCTTTCCTCTCCACCACTCATCTTTCCTTTCCTTTCCTCCCTCCTCGACTTCCGGTCTCATCTCTCATCCTCTCACTCCTCTCAATTCTCTCTTTCATTCCCTCTTTCTCCCTCTTCATCTTTCACAATGGGTAGCGTCGCTCAGAAGCCCGGAACTTTCTTGTTCACCTCCGAGTCGGTTGGTGAGGGTCACCCCGATAAGATCGCGTACGTTGCCCCTCTTTTGGTTTACAATGAATCACTGAACTGACAATTCTACAGCGATCAGGTCTCGGATGCCATCCTCGATGCCTGTCTCGCCGAGGACCCCCTCTCGAAGGTAAGGCGATGATTGTCTCTCTTTCGCGATTTCTTGGTTCCTCCCGGCCCCGTAATCGCTTCTGATTGGGCCGGTTTATTTCCGCACGAAATTTTTCGAACGGGCAATTAACAGAATTGAAATTTTAGGTCGCCTGTGAGACCGCCACCAAGACTGGTATGTTCAATGCATTAATTCTTGAATTGTGTCCTTAAGGAAAAGCATGTACTAATAACACCTCCAGGTATGATCATGGTCTTCGGTGAGATCACCACCAAGGCCAACCTCGACTACCAGAAGGTCATCCGTAACGCAATCAAGGACATCGGCTACGATGCTTCCGAGAAGGGCTTCGACTACAAGACCTGCAACGTCTTGGTTGCCATTGAGCAGCAGTCCCCTGATATCGCTCAAGGTCTTCACTACGAGGAGGCTCTGGAGAAGCTCGGTGCCGGTGACCAGGGTATCATGTTTGGCTATGCCACCGACGAGACCCCTGAGCTCCTGCCCCTGACCATCCTCCTCTCTCACAAGCTGAACCACGCCATGAAGGTTGCCCGTAACGACGGCTCCATCCCTTGGCTCCGTCCCGATACCAAGACCCAGGTCACCATCGAGTACGCCCACGACAACGGTGCCGTCAAGCCCCAGCGTGTCGACACCGTTGTCGTCTCCGCCCAGCACAGCGACGACGTGTCCACCGAGGAGCTCCGCGCTGTCATCAAGGAGAAGATCATCAAGAAGGTCATCCCCGCCGAGCTCCTGGACGACCGCACCGTCTACCACATCCAGCCCTCCGGCCGTTTCGTCATCGGTGGTCCCCAGGGTGATGCCGGTCTGACCGGCCGTAAGATCATCGTCGACACCTACGGTGGTTGGGGTGCCCACGGTGGTGGTGCTTTCTCCGGAAAGGACTACTCCAAGGTCGATCGTTCGGCCGCCTACGTTGCCCGTTGGGTCGCCAAGTCCCTGGTCAATGCCGGCCTGGCCCGTCGTGCTCTGGTCCAGCTCTCCTATGCCATCGGTGTTGCTGAGCCTCTGTCCGTCTTCGTCGAGACCTACGGCACCTCTTCTAAGAGCTCCGACGAGCTGGTGCAGATCATCCGCGCCAACTTCGATCTGCGTCCCGGTGTCATCGTCAAGGAGCTTGACCTGGCCAAGCCCATCTACAACGAGACCGCCAAGAACGGTCACTTCACCAACCAGAGCTTCTCCTGGGAGAAGCCCAAGGCTCTTAAGTTCTAAGTGCACTCGCTTCTTTCTTTGCGAGGTGACTAGGATCTTTGATCGTGCCTTGTGTGTGTGACACCTTCATTTCTTTTTACGAATGTGATGATTTTGCTTTGTTTTCAACAACTCAAAGCACGAGCATAGACATGTGAAAAAGCTTCTTTTTTGGAATGTTTGTTTAATATTTGCATGGTCGCCTACGGGCAACGGGTTCGGCGAGGATAAATTCAACATGATACCACTTTCATCTGTTGGGAGGGAAGTTTCGGCGTTTTATATCTTTTCAGGGAGCGACAGTCTTCAACACACGGCCTCCTCAGGCTTTGATATACTGGACCGGGAAGTGCTGCCTGCCCACATCTTCATCCGTGGGAGGAGAGCATTTCCACCAGAAAGCTGCCGAGACGTCCTCATTGCAAGCTGTGCTTGGGATGGGGACGTCTGGCGGAGGAGGCAACATTTTCATGGCTTGCCGAGTTTTGGGCTGGCAATCATGAGTGTGCTAATCTAAACATTAGCATTATAGAGTAATGAACATAAACATTTTCATCCATACTTGTCTTCCAATGTACTGTGTAGACGATGAAGCTGTAGTCTGGTCTGGAATCTTCAGGCATCGACTTGCTTGATCCGGTAGAATTAGGGTTACCGTTGGGTTGGTTGGCATGATCTCTCCATTGTTTTCAACCTTCTTCAGATTCAACTCCACTTGCCTTTGCTTTCTTTGAATATTTCCTTTGTATCTAACATAATTAATATAATTATATGCTCGTTGCATGTCTTCATCGTAATCTGTGAGGAATCAATCAATTCATTCCCAGGCAGCGACGCGTGACGCCAAGACGGAAGGGGACCGCGTCTCGACTCGGATTTCCAGCGTCAACACCGCATCTCATCTCACTTCTCCACTGCCTACCGATCGTTCAATCGGCCTCGGAGGTCTAGATTCATTCGCGTCTTCCTCATTCTTGTTCTCATCTTCCCTCCAAAACACAATGTATGAATAAATACACCGCCTTCATGACCTCACGCGGATCTCTCCTCGAATCATCCACCCCTCTATCCCGCTCCTTCTCAGACGCTTCGACCCGCCCGCCGCTCCTTCGAAAGCGCAAAACATGCCACACGGCCGTCGAGTGGGCGAACCAGACTATTAATATCCGGGTGCGTTGCCTGCCTACCTACCTACCTACCCACATCCTTCCAGACCTAATCCCCTCGAATGGTATACTAATTCGATCCCACGGTGCAGGCCCACGCCGCCTCTTTATCTGACGAACCGTTCGTTCTCGAACCCATTGCCCTCGTCCCCCGCTCTCGATTACCCCTTTCGTGGCTCGAACCGCCGTCTGCCCTGTCCCCTATTCAACCGGGGTGTCTATTCGTCGCGGACATCCCTGTCCTAGAGGATTCCGATGCTCATGCACATGCCCCGACTCTGTCGCGAGATCCGGCCGTGTTGGCGGTAAGGCTGATCAGCGATGGGGGCTTGTATCTGGTTGAGCGTGTCAAGGCGGGGATCTATGCGCTGTCGAAACTAGCCAGGGATGTGGAGGAGGGGGATATCTTTGTTGCGGTGAAGGGCTGGAGTCCTGCACTGGATGCAAATCGGGGACCTGTGTCTGTACCCATGTCTGTGACGCAAGGCGCGGAGTGGTGGGACCTGGCGAGAATTGAAGATCCGGTTCTAGAGGAGGGGTTATCGACGAAACGCGTGAAGGTTGATGTCTCGGTTGTGTTTGGCGGGGTGGTTCATCATGATGTCGATGCGAACATGAAGGATGGTTCGCCGTTCGAAAGCCGGGCGCAGTCGTTGGCGCCGAAGATACCTGTTGAGAGGAGTTCAAGCTCCGAGGCAGCTATGGCAGTGCAGATGCTGGGGTCTATTGATGCGGTGTCGGCGGGTGTGGATGGTGGGTCGCTGGAGGAGAACAGGCCCGATGCGTCACTGTCGCCGCAGGAGCTGCTGGATAATTTGAGGGAGCAGTACCTGCAGGCTCTCTATGTGTCTAAGGTAGGTTCCGTCTTTCATGCTGGGTACCCTGTTGCTAACATGTTAGACCTCTGTGGCGTATTTCGCCAAGGGCCCTTTGACTCGATGTCGCGTTGGGTTTCAGTCGCCTGAATCGGAGTCAGCGAAACCTGCTGACCTGATTAACTTCTATCAGGAGGCTATTTTGACGGCCAAGAAGATGGATCTGAAGTACAGAGAGACGCTACCGGCTACCATACAGGATGCTATGCTGGCTATCTCCGACGAGGAACCGGGTCGCAAGAAGAAGAAGTCCAAGAGCCAAAAGAAGAAGATGGGGAAGAATGGTCTCTACCCTGGAGAAGATCAATTCGTCCGACGATGGTGGAGAGACTGCGTCATGGCCGATATAGGCGCGACGATTGAGCTGTCGCGCGAGGCAGAAGTGAAGAAGAACGTGGCCGATTTACGAATGCGCGAGACTCAACTACAGATTCTTCTTATCTTGGAGACGTTGGCTCTCGAAGCTGCCGCTGCTGTGGCTGCCGCCGAAGAAGCAAAGAAGTCGGACGAAACCGGCGGCGAACCGTCGGATAAATCACCGAAGAAGAAGACCAAGAAGTTACAAGAGTTGAAAGTCATGCTGGAGCTGCATCTCGACCGCCTGTGTATCTGGCATGCCGTCAACTTTGAGGATACCGCCGTCTCCGAAACGGCCAAGGCAAGCAGCGCTCCTGGAAAGAAGGTCGAGAGCGATGCGGTTCGTGATTTCTGTACGGAGGTGATCATCCCCTTCTACGCTGCTCGTCTACCGGATAAATGCAAGGCCATCACGCGTAAGCTGGGTGTTTCTGGTGCCATGCCTTCATCGTCTTCTTCGAAGCAGTCTCAAGCCAAGAAGACTCCTCAGGACCCGGAACCTGGGGCGGCCGTCGAGCGAAAGCCGCCACAGAAACATGCTCGTCGCTCGTTCCAGCGAGTGCTGACCGACAGTCAAACCACGTTACAAGCACAGCACCCGTCACTGAACCGGTCCAATACAGCACCTTCCAACCCGGATGCTCGGCGCGCTTCCATCGACCCTCTCCTACCTAGTCTCAGTGCCAACGTGCGAGGCGGTATACAGAAGGCCAAGCGGGTGGAGAACCGCGAAGTAGATCTGATCGCCGTGGCGCGACAGCACGAGACCAAATTGAAGAAGGTGCAACTGCTCATGGACCAGAAGAAGGAGCTCGACGCAGCCATCCACACGCTTCGCAAGCCCAATCGCCAGCTCGTGGCCAAGGATATCGCCAAGGACGCCGACGAGCGACGAACCGCCAGTGGTCGAAAGCCCAAGAACCCGGTCCGCAATCCCTTAGGACAGGGTGTGCAGGTTGCAGCGACGCCCAAGGGAAGCCGCAAGAAAGACGCAGTGATCGGCATGCCACCTCTGCCACGCAGCCTCACGCGATCATCTACCCAACCGAAGGGCTCTTCTGCAGCCCTATTCGGTGGCGACGGATCACCTCGACGCATGTCCAGTAGCAGCGCCCTACGGCCCAATTCTTTTTCGGGTACCCCCATGTCCAAGAACCCAGGGATCGTCCAAGAAACACCGTCCCGTCGTCCGGCGGTTCAGCCACTTGGCTCCTACGACGACGCCGTCACAAGCATCGGCGAATCTCCTAGTATCTCCAAAACCCTGTTCCGTGTTCCTCCACGGCCTGCTACTGCTGTTCCTCGTTCTCAGACCACAGACATGCTAGCCCCCTCCACGCCAGTATCCTCCCGCCACGTGGACGCATACCGTGATCATCACCCCACGAGCGCGAGCATGCCAACCGAACCCCCCAAATCATCCATGGTCATGGAGACACCACCAAGACAGGGTCCCTCGGGACCCAGCATACAGGAAACGCCGCCAGCTGCAAAGATCTTCAGCACGCCGGTGAAGGGTTCAGGTTCTTCGTCGAAACTGAGAGCCCCGACTACGACAGGGCCGCCTGTCACGCCGCAGAAATCGATTTACGAGCAACTGGGATGGGATGATGAGATGGATTTGTAGTTCTTTTTTCTTTTGTAGATGCGGCTTGATTTGACTGAGCTAAGTTGGGCTGGGCTTTTATGTGTTGTTTGTTTGATTTGTTGATTAGCGGGCGTTCACCTGGCATGGTATACATGGTTGCATGGTACGACTATGAACATGGTGTGGTTGATAACTACCCATGGGATCGATAGATGGTTGTGCCGGTTATCGGAATGATTTATGAGATATTCTGCGGGGGATTCCCGAAACTATACGAAGCCAAGGCCGGCCGAATTCTAATTATCGACCCTCTCACTGGAAGTTTGAACCAAAAAGACGCAATACACGGTCCCGCGCTCGCTGTCAACCAGGGATTTCGACTCCAAAGCACTCGTCTGCGGAAGGTAGCGGCAGTGAGGAAGAACATCATTCTCCGTCTACCGCAGCAAGCGCGCAGCCAGGCGAGCCGCAAAAGATCGAGCCGCAACAGAAGTAACAAACAACGGTCCGGCGGTAGACACGGTAGGACGGAAGCAGGACAGAATTCTTAAAAAGAATAACCAGGTTACACAAGCGTACTGCATGATGGACTGCATACGCGGCATAGTCAATCGAAGTCCTCTGGACAAGGAATGCCCAAATTTACAAAGCCACCTGCAGCATTCTAGCAGTCACAGGCAATCGATAGACCCGTCAGAGTTCACGCGCAGACTTCACCGTCAACTCGTACGGAATCGAAATGAGGGATTTGAACAGTTACACGTGCGGTCGAATGGGCTACCTTGTGAAGGCAACCCTTCTAACGCACGGATACATTGTGATTATCAAAGCGACCACGGCAGAGAAGCAAGATCGTCTTCAAGCAGAGGTGAAAAATTATAATCGCCTTAGAGATCTGCAGGGCCAACAAATTCCCGTTTGTCTTGGAGCTTTCAAACCAAGCATTTCATATTGGTACCACGGAGAGTTGATGGCGCAGATTATAATCTTGGGTTGGTCTGGAATGCGGCTTCAGCACGTCATCAACGAAGAAAATTCCAGCTTCTTTGACCTGGAGCGCAAAAAAGTTCTTGCTGTGCTACGGTCGCACGGAATTATCCACGATGATAGTGAGTGGCGCAATACGTTATGGGATGATGCGGGCTGCCATTTGGTTATCATTGATTTAGAGGACATGAAGTGGTTGACACGTCCTCGTGCGCTTGAGCCAGCCTCAGGCAACACATGTCGTGTCCATCGCGTCCGGGATGAGAAGGCTGGTGTCTGCGCATGATGTTTCTAACCCCATGGTTCAGGCTTATTAATGCTGATCATATCACAAGGCGGTAACTAAAAAGAATGCTCCGAAGGACCACGTTATGGTGGATGCAGGTCACCACGACCCTTACGTAAACCTAACCGTGAATGGCCTAACCCAGTTTGGACGTCACATGACTTT